CAAATTAATCTTCCAAAAACTTGCGGGTTTGTGGAAATTTTATTATCTCATATCTGTGGTTTATGATAATTAAATCAATTAAAGAAAGTTAACTTTATACCGTTGAGATATTAATCAATTGATGCTTATACATAAGAGCTTGTATGTTAATAAACACGAACGCTGCAGAAATTTTATTTTGCTATGGGATTATTAATCAGAATAATTAGCAAAACCGTTACTTTTAACATATTTTAATATTCAAGTTTAATGTGTCTATACAATGGCCAATAATTATGAATTAATTAAGAACATGTAACGCGGAAAAATTAATAGTAATTTAATTTAAAAATATTTAAAAATTAAACTAAAAGAAAAGAATGTTAAAAGTTAATTAACGATTTTAATAATTGTTTTTATTAACTCATTTAATGTTTAATGTAATTACCAAATAAACTAACAAGTGTCAAGATGGTCTGATTGATGGTCGAGGTACTTTCCATTTAGTGCGCATAATCTGGTTTACCTATAATAAAGAAAACGTACATGAGTGTCTACTCTCATAACCCTGCTAAATACTAATTAATTTAATAACGATTCGTACAATCACCAAAATACAAAGGGATATAACATAATAATAATAGCTTGTTCATAATCAAGGCGCCTGGTAACTATAGTTACCAGGCGCCTATAGGAGCTCGCAGTTAGGTCACGAGGGGATTTAACACGCGACGTGACCTCTAGTAGGTCCTCTACCTAGTTATCACCCTTTTTCTATGGTTATCACCGTTAGACGTAAAGGGATTAAACACGCGGTACGTCTCATACTTCTCCTAGTACTGAGTTGTGCAATGAGCATGAAGGGCTAAACTCGCAACTTGCTCGCCTCAGCTACTAGAGCTTGACCTGTGGTCGACATCTGAGTAGTGCAATGGACAAAAGGTATTAGACTCGAAATTGTCCGCTCCAGATAATTTTACGTGTGTACGGACTATTATTAAATCAATCTTTAAATCGGTTATTTTCATATTCAAAGTAAATATAATAATTAATAGTAAATAACAACGCTGCCTAAATATACATTAGACTGGGCCAAAAAAATCGACTATTTTTTTTTTTGTAAAGTATATCGAAAATATTGTTTGGGGTGACAAAAAAAAATTATGGTGAAAGTTTGAGTCCATAATATTAATATTAAGAGGTCTATCATCGCAATTTTAAATTTTTTTTTCCTGAGCGAGCTTTTGTCTCAGAACTCCCAAACCATTGAGTTAAACTAATTTGACTTAAGAATATTTTTTGAAGAAAATTGAATGCTCTACAAAAAAGGTTTGATTGGAGTTTCCCGTCAGATGAACCGTTTTCTTACAATCATGCCTTAAAAATTTATATAGTTTTACAATTTGATCTTTTAACTTTGGAATTTTGTAATTCATGTAAAAATCAGTACCCGGAAAAAAATACTCTACAAAAAAAGTCTTCTATCATTTTTGGCTAAATTCACTCCATCAAAAGTTATTCAAGGTTAAATTTGAAGTCAAAACGAAATTTTAACCTTGAATAACTTTTGATTGAGTGAATTTAGCCAAAAATGTTGAGAGGCTTTTTTTGTAAAGCATTTGATTTCTCATAAGAATATTTATCGGTTTTTTATGGGTACTGATTTTTACATGAATTACAAAATTCCAATTTAAAAGATCAAAATGTAAAACTGACTTTAAGGAAATGGTTCATTTGACGGAAAATTTCACTTTAACCTTTTTTGTAGAGAATTTAATTTTTAAAAAAAAATATTTTCGAGTCAATGGTTTGGGAGTTCTGAGACAAAAACTTGCTGAGGAAAAAAAATAAAATTGCGATGATAGACCTCTTAATATTAATATTATGGACTCAAACTTTCACAATAATTTTTTTTGTCACCCCAAACCATATTTTTGATATACTTTTCAAAAAAAAAATAGTTGATTTTTTTGGCCCAGTCTAATATACATTCAGATTACTAAAGAAAAGACACTCAGTGATAAACTCACCTGTTTAGCTTGTAGTTATTTTACACCCACAAATATAAAAAGTCTTGCACTATAAAAAGTATTTGTATCAACTGAACGAATCAAGTTCAATCAACAACTTCAACACACTGGCCATACATGAATAATTCAAATGATTTTACGTTACTTAAGACTTTTATATATATGTATGTGTGTACAATAATCATAAATTAAAGCCCTTTATCGTACTTATTTCAAGAGCGGCTAAAATTTCATCAAGCAGTTAATATAAACAGTCGAGCGTGTGTTTATATATACCTCACGTTTATTTTTCGTCATTTAATATCGATAAAAAAGGTTTAATAGAATAAAGACTTACAAATAAATACCTAACTTAATATATTATATTGTATATTTACTTATATAAATGTATACAGGGTGTCCCGGAAAATGTGGGAAATCTCTCGGATTCAGATAGAACATTAAAAAATAAGATGACAAGTTCCCATAAATTTTTTTCCTAGCGGCCCTCCCTACGGAGATACGGCCTCCTAAAGGACGCCACTGGAAATCAGATTTTCTTGAATAACTTTTAAACTACTTAATATAATTTAATGAAAATTTAATAGGATAAACAGTAGTAAGGACCTCTTAAAATACTGCCCTTAAAACATAATTAGCTTGTTTAGTTTACCAGGGGCGGACTAGGTTGTATATTTTAATGCTTACATTTTTAACACCCTGTATGATAGGGAGTTAAAAAAATAAATTTGGATACCTTGAACATTAAGCTAAAGAAAAGGTACTCTTGTTTATTGTCGATAAAATTAACCGTTTTCGAGAAAAAAAATAATAAAGAATTAATGTTTTATTTTTATTAAAAAGACCATGATTTCTAATTTTAAAATATAGGTCATGTGATATATCATAAAAAAGTTCTCTAATAGGCCTTTAAAATAAGCCATCACTCACCTTTCTACTTTTAATAGTTTACGAGATATCGCTATTTTTGTAAGTACTTGCAAGACCCAAATTTATCGGAATTTTTTGATTTTCAAAAATCAATAAAACAAAAACCACCTATGGAAAAAAATTCATATATGGGATTTTTGAGTTTTTTAGTGAGGTAAAAAAATTTACCAAAAATGATCAAAATCGGAGATGGTGGGGGAAGAACCTTTGGTTGACATTAATTCTTTATTATTTTTTTTCTCGAAAACGGTTAATTTTATCGACAATAAACAGGAGTACCTTTTCTTTAGCTTAATGTTCAAGGTATCCAAATTTATTTTTTTAACTCCCTATCATACAGGGTGTTAAAAATGTAAGCATTAAAATATACAACCTAGTCCGCCCCTGGTAAACTAAACAAGCTAATTATGTTTTAAGGGCAGTATTTTAAGAGGTCCTTACTACTGTTTATCCTATTAAATTTTCATTAAATTATATTAAGTAGTTTAAAAGTTATTCAAGAAAATCTGATTTCCAGTGGCGTCCTTTAGGAGGCCGTATCTCCGTAGGGAGGGCCGCTAGGAAAAAAAATTATGAGAACTTGTCATCTTATTTTTTAATGTTCTATCTGAATCCGAGAGATTTCCCACATTTTCCGGGACACCCTGTATATACATTTATATAAACATATTTATGAAAAAATACAATAAATTATACCTTTTAAAAAATATAACATGGTTACGGTCGACGGAGACTTCATGATGGAGTTAATAAAACCAAAAATATTTATGTGATTTTTTAGGAAAATTAATAAGTTAGGTATTTGTTTGTAAGTCTTTATTCTATTAAACCTTTTTTATCGAAATTAAATGACGAAAAATAAACGTGAGAAACACACGCTCGACTGTTTATATTAACTGCTTGATGAATTTTAGCCGATCTTGAAATAAGTACGATAAAGGGCTTTAATTTATGATTATTGTACACACATATGTAGATTTTAAAATATAAAAGTCTTAAGTAACGTAAAATCATTTGAATCATTCATGTATGGCCAGTGTGTTGAAGTTGTTGTTTGGTTCAGTTGATACAAATACTTTTTTATACATATTATTTTTGATTAGGAATACTGTTGTTTTGTATGTTTTAAAAGTGTAGAAACCGTTGAGTCACATATTAATCAATGGTAGAAACATTACATACTTGTGTGGAAGTACATATGTGGGGAAAATGCCTTTAAGCGCCATCTAAAGGTGAATTTCTTAGACTGAAGGTAAAGTCTTTAAAATTCCTTTTCTATGTAACATGTGAATTTATACCTAGTATAAGTTGAAATTCTGGTATTTGCGTATTTAATATTCAGCCTTTAATTACAATGTTTGTTTATTTGAGAAATTCTTCAATGATTAGGTATGCGATTATTAGGCATAATTATAAAATAATTTAATATGATGCAATTCTGGGTAATGTTGGGAAATAAGACAAATTCTCGCTCATAATAAAGATTTATTTTAAATTATACATAAAACCTATTTAAATAATAATAATAATAATCACTAATATACATTTTCAAAAGCTTTCTTGCTCTTATCACTTTTGCAAAAATAATACAAAAAAACAACAAGTCTACAACAAGGCGTACTGAAATATACATAAAATAATAAACCTAAAGTTAAAGTCTCTTTTTTACAAATATTTTTTATATCTTTTAATAATTATTAATAAAATAATTTAATATGATGCAATTCTGGGTAATGTTGGGAAATAAGACAAATTCTCGCTCATAATAAAGATTTATTTTAAATTATACATAAAACCTATTTAAATAATAATAATAATAATCACTAATATACATTTTCAAAAGCTTTCTTGCTCTTATCACTTTTGCAAAAATAATACAAAAAAACAACAAGTCTACAACAAGGCGTACTGAAATATACATAAAATAATAAACCTAAAGTTAAAGTCTCTTTTTTACAAATATTTTTTATATCTTTTAATAATTATGAATATTATAATAGAACTGTTTAGTTTTACAGGCGTAGTATTTTATTAAATAAAAGATATACAGTACTATGGAACTTAATGCATTATGTGAGTGCTAGAACTAACGTAGGGCATCGTTTGCTGCGGCCCTCCCGAAGTCATCGAGTTTTGAGAGGCGGACTGGGGAAAAGTCGGGGGCGGCCCCACGTTGGGGTGGCTCCCATAACTGGGTAAACTAAAATGTTTGATATCAGAAAAAATATTTTCAATTTGAAGGAAGGTCGTTATTTTTCAACGATTTTTTTTTACAGTTTCTACCGAAATCGACGAGACCCTTATATTTTCTTTTTGTTTAAATTTGTTTTGTTTAAATGTATGAAATTTTTGAAAAATGGATAGAAACATCGATTTTTCTCTTTTTAGGAGTGAAATTTTTTATTGAAAATGCGATAACTTGACCAAAAATGTTTCGATCGTTTTTTTTTTTAAATTGTAGGTGAATCTTTCCTACATACAAAAAATATATAAAAAATTAAGTGAATTCACTCAATTTTTTTTAAATTGTTTTTTCTAAAAAAGGCGAAAAAAATTTAGGTCAAAATTTTGACATTACCCCATCGATTTCGGTAGAGAAACTGTAAAAAAAATTAGGTAAAAAGTAACGACCTACCCCTTTTTGCCTGGTCGATTTGAAATGGAAAGGCCCTGGTGCTTTTTCTATGTTGCTGTAAGTTAATGGTGGTTCTACTGTTTTATATGTCGTTTGGTATAAGGAGGGTGTTGTAGGATAGTAGAAATAATTATTCTAATACATATTTTATTTAGACAAAAAAATATTATTTTAAATTCATTAAAACAAATGTAAATATAAAACATTTAATTAAGATGAGGAAAAAAGCAAAAACAATGAAAAATAATATTTCTCTTTACTTTTATATATGAAAAATTATTGCTTTTATACAGTGTGTCCACGAATTGACTTAACTATACTTGTAAAAATATTTATCTACGCCAGTGAGATAAGAACTTCTTATCCCACTCATTTTGAGTGAGATAAGAAGTTCATTAACGCACGCGTTTTTCTCTGCTTTTAACCAATCAAATAAAAAAGTCAAAATGTCAAAATAACCCTAAATTAAGTCTTAGACAAAAATAATTACCGTTTATTTTTTCATTTAGAGGCGTAGATAAAAATTTGTACAATATACGTGTGATAACGCTTTATTAACGTACTTTTGCGATTGCCCAACGAGTGCGTAGCGTACGTTAATAAAGCTCTTATCCCACTTATATCGTAAATAACTATTATTTCAATTTTTCGAAGAAAAGTCATAATTTCTTCTGCTTGTTATATAAATACCATTCACGATGAAATACTTCTATTTTGTTATACAGGGTGCGTACAAAAAATACAATTGTAGATTGTTAAATATATTTTTTGAAGGTCTAATATGAAGAGCTTGTAAGGAGAAACCAAAAAGCCAAATAAAGTTTTTTCATGTGAGTTGTTACTAAGATATTTGTTATTAAAAATAAAATCAATTCATGTCCTAACTTGAGTGGTCCTATTATTTTGTATAAATTGACTGCTATCTCATTTTGTGATTATGACTCAAGGTTGTTGCTTTCAACTGGCATGTCTACAATTATTTGTTAAAATTTGAAAACTAATATCTTAAATTATCAATATCAAATATCTTAGTTTCAAAAACTCATATGAAAAAAAAATCATTTGACTTTTTGATTTCTCTTTACCATCAAACTTATACAAAATTTTAATTTTGAAAATCAGTATTTTTGCTCACCCTGTACAACAAAATGGATGTTTCTCAACGCGAATTGAGTCCATCCATGAACACACTGTATATAGATACAGATTTTGATCAAGAAAATTTAATAGTCAATTGCAGTGATGTAATGTATCGCACGGTTAATTTTATAGACGATTTCAGAAAAAAAATATATAATCATCGAAAATTGTGTTTTTGGGTTTGTCCGACTCCCAAGTAACAGGAAACATGAAAATTAAAATCCTTCATGTAGGGCATTTTAGATAGTGGCCCAAAAATATGTCAAAAGTTTGTAATTTTTTCTAAACACTAAAAATATTAAATTAAAAAAAAACTTTTTTTAAGGATAATCTCGAGGATAATAGAGCGTTTAATTTTAAGTTAAAAGCGTCTCAAAAAGTTTTTTGTAGATCGTATAGTTTTGTTCTAAAAAAAATCTTACTTACACTCACAGGCAAAATAATCGTATAGTTTTGTTCTAAAAAAAATCTTACTTACACTCACAGGCAAAATAATCGATCCACACAAATTTTCGATGAATTTCAATCGCAAATAACTTTTTTATTTGATTTCGGATTTAAACGAATATTAAACAATATTGTGGATAAATTAATGGAGAATCGCTTACATTTTAAAAAATTACTAAAGATAGACGAACGTTTATAATATACAGGTTTAAACAAAAAGATGTTTTTTACCATAAGTTTAAGACACTCTGTAAAGTGGCAAAACAACATTGCATTTTCCAATATTTTTTTGTTCTAAGAACTAAGGTTGCTATGGTCCACCCATAGCCTATGGAGGATGACAGTGATTGTTTTGTTGAATCATCCCATACTTGGACATTTTTTTGTAAATTAATGTGTGTTACTTTTGAGTTGTTTTCTTACTTTTAAAAATGGATATGTCTCCGACTGATGTTTCCAGAGCCATTGCTTTAATCCAGGATGGATGGTCTCAGTATTACCTGGATTGTACTTGGTTTTGGGTCAGTTCAATGTCCCTCAAAAACCAAAATATTTTCCCTCCTTTTCCGCACTTCACTAGCGGACTAGGCGAAAAAATTCTTTAAGAGGCCTTAACCATCGACACTGTCATTTACGGCCTTCTAGGCGAGATTTACCAGCCGGGGTAAAAATTCGGCTCCACCAAACACAGGCAATGCTGTGCAGTGGCGGGATACGTGGGAGAACTAAAAGGGGGTAAAATAACCCTGGGAAATCAGTATAAGGCGTTGGCGATGGGGCCAGTCATACGTTCGTCATATTCGTATTCAACAATAAAATAATAAAAAAACTTATGACACTGTTGTCGCCCATGTGCGATATATATATTCGTATTTAATGTATTAAAGTTTATACATATGGTTTTAGGAAACAAATACCTCAATTTGTTTAAGTATTTTGACGAAGTAGTTTCCAGTTGGTTTGGGAAATCTCTAAGTATAAGTTATGCCGAAAATATTCAACGTTTCGCATCTAAAGTCGGAGTACGGTACACAACAAAAATGCATGCCCTAGTTCATCATGTTCCAGAGTTCATTGAAAAATATCAACGAGCACTTGCCTTTTTTCTGAACAAGCGTCAGAATAAGTGCATCACTATTTTAACGTTTTCAAAAAATTTTAATTTAAATTCAAGGAATTTGCAATTTTTTAAAGAAAAACTGTTAAGGAGTATTTGTTATTATAATAGCCAGCACATATAATTACATGTATTTATTTGGACATTAAAACTTATTAAGTTAATTGAATATGATTAACCCTATTATTTTGTGAAGACTTTTTAATAACAAAACTATAGCGTCTACAGAAAACTTTATAAGACGTTTTTTACTTAAAATTAAACGCTTTATTATCCTTAAAGGAAGTTTTTTTAAAATTTAAAATTTTTAGTTTTTACAAAAAATTTAAAAATTTTGACATATTTTTGGGCCACTATATAGAGTGCCATACATGAAGGATTTTATTTCTCATGTTTCCTGTTACTTGGAAGTCGGATAAACCCGAAAACAATAGTTTCGATGATTATATATTTTTTTTCTGAAATCGTCTATAAAATTAACCGTGATCGAGATACATGTATCTAGATACTGGATCTAGATACATTTTATGTACCTAGATACGTATCGAGATTAAAAAAAAAATCAGGATCTACTTTAGTATCTAGATCCTTTTGAAAGTATCTAGATCCTGAGATACAAGATACATTTTATTTTACCCAACCTGATTGCAACTCCACACCGTGTGGGCCACACGGAAAATGAACATCCAATGGACATACTCTATGGATATCCAGGATATATACCTACATTGGATATTCTTGATATCTCCCATAAGAGATGAACAATACGAAAACCGTAGTGCTGTGTATAGTTGGCTTTGAAGGCATTTTTCTTCGTTCTGATAATTTTGAATTTGTACTACAAATTTTGTAGTAAGCTTTCATATGGCGCGTAAATATAAAATTTCCGTTTTTCATGGATATTTCGTCAATTTTATCAAAACAGTTTTATTTTATAGTTAACACGTGTTACGCTTGTTTATAAGGTCCAAAAAAATTTTTTTTGTCATTTAATTTTTAAGTTTTTTTAACATAGTATCTGGAAGTAACTTAGATACTTTTTGAATGTATCTGTATCTGTACCCAGATACTTTTGGGAAAATGTATCGGTATCTGTACCCAGATACATCTACCAGAGAGTATCTGTATCGGTGCCTAGATACTGAAAAAAATGTATCGGTTACATCACTGGTCAATTGGACAAAGAAAAAAATTGTATGCAGTCTCCTTTTTAAAAGCTTACTCTATAATGAAAAATCTAATAAAATTAACAACAATAATACACTATTTATTTTGTGTTTGAAACCATATTTTTTATTATTTTGTACTTTAATTTATATTTAATAATTTTTTATGAAAATTCCCTTTTTTATTTATTTTTTTATTTCCTTTGTTCCTTTGAACAACGAAAATTTGCTAAAACGGAAAAATTTCTTTGAGGTGGCAAAGCTTTATAGCAAACAAGTTCATACACTGTGTATGAACTTGTAGCTTTCTTTTAGAGATACAGGGTGTTAAAGTATGATCACGCCACTGATTTTTTGAGTTTGATATATTTAGATTAAGCAATTAAAAAATACAACTTTCTAGTCTCTTGTATTTTTTGCATATCTTGCTTAATTTTCAAGAAAAAAATTTAATTCGTTTATCCTCTCGCGACCATCATTTTCCACGGGAGAACGAATTTAATTTTTTTCTTGAAAATTAAACTAAAGAAAAAAATGCAAAAATGCAACAAGAATACAAAAAAATTGTATTTTTATGTTCTTATATACAGGTTGTCACCAAATAAGTTGTCATCCTATTATAAAAATTTGAATGATTTTTTTGTAAAAAATAATGGCACTACTGCAAATAAAAATTTGTATCTTCTTTTATTTAAAAGTAAAAGTGTTTGCCTTTTAGAAAATAGAGTGTGTAATTTGTTGAAGGATCTGTAGTAGTTTTTTATTTACACAAGAAGTACAATAACCAAACATTAAAACCAATATATATATATATAACGCATTTGGTAAAGATTGAAAATTTCAAATAACTAAATTTTATTTTAAAAGCAAGAAAAAATGGAAAAACTATAATAAACAATATGTTTCTGCTTACGTGTGAAACCGCCTGTCGTCCTGCCCCTGAGGCGGCATCTGCATGGGCGGCATCCCGCCCGGAGGCGGCATCATGCCGGGATGGAAATGCGGCGGCGGTGGCGCCATCTGCCCCTGGGGCGGCATGAACGGCACGCCCCTTCCAGGTTCGTGGGGCTGCTGCTGATGCGGGGGCGGCATGTTTTGGGGGTGGCCCATCGAAGGCGGCCCCCCGTGCGGCACGCCCATCGGCGGCGGCGGGTGCATGTTCGGAGGAAAACCGCTGTATGGCTGAAAAAAATTGTTAAAAAAATACAAAAAAAAACGTACTAAAATAATAAAAATAAACCAACACTGAGAAAACAGTTTGTAATTTTACTATAAAAATATTGTACAAATTTACTATCTCCTACAAGTAAATATTAAATTACGCATCAAAATAAGTTTTTTACTAAACAGTAGTATTTGCAAGCAATTAGTAATTTTACTGATTGAGTTACTTATTACCAAGTAAATTTATTACCTTTGCAGAAAATATACATGTACTTAGTAAAAAATTACTTAAGTTTTAAAAATTTACTTCGTTCTAGTAAAATTACAAATGTGAAGTAAACGCTGGCCAATCAAAAACTGGCTATTAAGTCACAGTTCCTTCTCCTCTTGCAATTCGGCGTACATTTAGCCTAAGAGATCTTTGCTTTGGGTTTTCTAAGATCTCATATTTATAATACCAATAGTGTGACACATTTCATTATTGTTTTTAGTGTTTTCAGTAAAACAATATGAAAAACATATGATATTACATAAAAATCTTCGCAGGACTTCGTTAAAGAAACAATACCAAGCGCAACAGCAAATTGTTTAAAACATAAAAAAACTATATAATATCATGTTAATTTGTAGTAAATTTAACAGTAGCAACCAAAATTAAATATTGATCTGGGATGATTCTTTTAAGTTTAAAACATTGTTTTTTTAAGTGTATTGTTTAATTTTATATTGTATTAAAATTTTCAAAACAATTCGTCTTTTTTCCATTTTACAAAGATACCTATTTAAAGTGTACAAAGTAAGTATACATATTATTTGAAATATACAAAGTACATTTTTTGAAAACTACAAAGTAATTATACTTTCCTTTTGAAAGTTACAAAGTAAATTTACGTGTTATCAAAAAAGTGCATGGTAATATAAAAATAAAAAGTAAAATTATAATGTAAATGCAATAGTAAAATAACAAAAACCTTTGATATACAAGTAAACTTTTGTTTCAGTGAAGTTGCTAAAAAGCACTAAAATCTGTAAAAAATACGTTTTTAGGGTTTTCCTTACCATTGAATGTGGAGGTTGGTAACCGTAGGGCATTGACTTGTTGACAGGCGTGAACTGTGGCTCCCTCATCAAAGTGTGGTACAAATTTAAAGCTTCGACTAAATCGGCGCTAAGCTGCGTTAGCTGCGCATGTTTTCTGTCGACTCGTTCCAATTCCGTGTCTATCAGGGGACCCATGCCATTTACTTCTCCTATAACAAAAACATTAAAACAGATCCTGTAAATTTGTCAGCGAAAACGTACCTTCCAGTTTCAACATTTCTTCAGTATCGTGCTCGGGATTGGTGGGATCGGCTTCGTGCAACAAATGCAACAACCTGTCGATTTTTTCTTCGTTGATTTCCGTCACCTCGGGTTCCTTGACGTCCGCTCTGGCCTCATCTTTAAACTGAACGTTCTTTTTCGCCTTATCTATCACTAAAAAAAACACGCTCGAAATGTACGACAAAATCGAAAGATCGCGGGGAAGAACTTACAAAATTGTTCAGGTTCCACGCTCAAGTCTGCCGTCACGAAGTTTGCCGGAAATAGGCCTTCGCCCCTTTGATTGCTACCCTTCCACCAGTTTGCGTCCGCATCGTCGATGACACAGACTAAAAATACCATTAAAATACATTTATTTATTTAAAATCTTTATTTCCAATCACATTAAAATTAAATTTCATACATGCATATAATAAAATAATAACATGAAACGAAATAGAGTAATAAGATTATATGTATATATACAACAAAAATTCTATAATAAAAACTCTCAAAGAATATGGTTCCAAAGTGATTAACATCTCTTTGACTTTGGATTTATATGTCCTAAGACTTATAATAGTTTTTTTTATATTGTACAGTTTGAGACACATATAACACGGGCTCTTTTCTGTTAAGGTTAGCCTATGATTTGGGTAGTTTTACAAATAATTTTACTATCCCAGAAAAAGTTTTTGGCGCTTGGTTCTTTTTCGATAAACGTTATCCATCTAGTCTGGGTATTGTATTGGTGGTCAAACATATTTTTATTTTTAAAAAGAAAAGAAAATTAAACATTCATATATGTATGTACACTGCATGAACTGTTAAAATGTTTGTGGTTTTGAATATACCTGTACAGTCATGTTTTTTATTATCCTCATTATTCTTTTTCGAGTTACGAATATTCCATCTATTAAGCTATTCCCTCCCCAGAAAAGAATTCCATATTTAAAAACTGATTCAAAATTTGCATGGAACAAAATCTTTAAACTGGTGTCATTCATGTATTTGGAAATTACTTTAATACCATAACATATTGAATTAAGCCTCTACACAGTTTGTATTAAATGATTTGACCAATCCAAAAATTCGTCGATACTAACTCGTCCGTTTTTTTGTTTTCTTTTTCAGGTTTTTTTTTCAAATGTTTTTTTTTCATATTTTAGTTTTTTCAAGATTAGTCCCATTTTTATGTTTCCAGTCCAATTCATGGTCAAAAATTAGCCACTAAATGACATTTAGTAAATGTAAATACAGTCTCGCGCTATACACTTTTTTCAAATTCATGTAGAGTATGGAATTTTGTGTTTTCAAAAAAACAATAGCAAATTCTTGTAGAACATTTATTCATTGGTGGTTAGGTCAACATTCCATGGACCAAAAAAGAAAGGCAAAAAAATTTCGAATTTTTTTATTACGGTATTTGTTAGGATTGAGCGTTGCACGTTTTTCATCTAAAAATCTCAAAACTACAAACTTTAAGCTTCAAATTGCTTTTTTTTACGGCTCCAATACGACCATTTTTAACGAAGATTCGAAAAATCGCAAAAATTTGGAATTTTTTTTTATAATTTTTTCTATTAGTGTAGAAGTTTTACATTGCTATTGGTTTCTTATGTGGAAACTACCAAATAATAAGAAATCAGATTTTTTAGTTTCTGTCAAAATTTTCAATGATGAAAAATGTAATATATTCTACATTTGACTTAATTATTAATATATGTACATTTTACTCAAAATTTCATTTTGAAAAATTACTCCATTTTTTAAGATTGATGTTATTTATTGATAAAATATGCTTTATTGTAGCGAAAAAAACAAATAAACCGTTTTTTTTTCTAGGTTTTTGTTCACATAAGAAAAAAACCCGTTTTTTTACATCTCTAGGTACCGCTTAAAACTACTTACTGATCTCTCCGATGCTAAAGGTGAGTTCGTTGTCCTCTGCCGCCTCGAAATCGTACAACGCCCTCACTTTCCTGAGTTCCTTGGCGGCGGGCGCAGAGGTGGCGCTGGCGGCGGGCGCTGCTGCCACGTTTACCGACGGATACAGACTGGACGAGGCCGAGTTGGCGCGCGGCGAGCCCGACGTCTCTTTCAGCGACAACTCTATCGCTTTGAGGATTTGCTCCTCTTCCTCCTGAGATTCCACCACGTTCGGGTCTTTACTCATTGCCGTTTGACGTTTGGGCTGCAAAAACAGTTTCATAATGCGATGTTTGTGATGGTAAAGTAAGCTCACCGCGCATCGCTCTATGAGATAGTTTGTGAAATAATTACAGCACACTAAAGTGCATCTATTAATTATTGACACTTAAAATTTAAACTTTAAATTGTATTTTTACTTGAAAGTGATTTTAAGAACCAAAAATTAAAAAAAGAACAGGAAATGGAAGTGGCAGAGGAAGAGAAAGGAGACGAACATTTATGTCGTCGTTGTAAATTTGTTTTGTTTTTGTTGCGGTACCTTTACGCCCAAGAAAAACCAACGCAATATTTCATTACAAAATTTTTTGAAATATAACTACTACTTTAACTTTGCAGGAATATTAAATGGACCTGATATACGACGTTTTATGAAAAATCAAGCATTCGAAAATGCTCTCAAAGTTGACGAGCTTGTCCCATATAGCAGTGTTAAAGCTGTCATTGAGAATGTTCTTGGTTCATATCGGGCCTAAAATTGGCGCCAATTCATTGAAAAAATGCTTTCCGTTTTGCAAAGATTAGCGTTAATATGCCATTTAAAATCCATTTTCTTTTTTTTCATCCTGATAAATTTGCTGAACTGATGAACATGGAGAATGATTTCAACAAGTAACTGCAAATCTAGAGCATTGGTAGATATCTATGGGTATAGCGGAAAGACGTTGGATTCATTGCTAGGATTGCAGCAAAAGATGTACGACAATAATGTGGATTAAGCACAATAATACTATAATCCAATTTGATATTTGATACGATTTAATAAATTTAAGGTAGAAAAAAGCAAAATTACGCAATGCATTAAGGTCTTAATTTGGATAAAAAATATTGAAACTTGTTTACTTTGTTGCCCTTTCAATTTAATAATTAAAATAAACGACAAAAAATTTCAAATAATGGTTGTTTTTTTACATGAAATACATACAAATTTTGGTTTTAGTATTTAAAATGTCATATTGTTAAGATAAATTTAAGCCAAAATAATTTAACAAATAATTAAAATACCAACAAAAAACTTACATTTTGAGGTGATTGAGCAGATCATTTTATTACGAAATTATTTTAAATCCTAGACGTCCTAGAGAAAAACTAATGACATTTTTTAAATCAGCGGCCCAAAATTAGTTAAACTAAGCTGGAGTACTTAATGTGTAAAACTATCATAGTCATATTAATAAATTACAATTACTAAAAACACTTAAAATAATACATAAATTAAACAAAAGGTAAATTTTAGACAGTGACATAACCCTAACAAAACAGAAGGAAATCCACAATTACAAAACTATAGAAACAGAAGAAATAAGAATAGATTGGGAAAATGAAAATACCAGCAAAAAAAGGAACATGAAACCAAAGATTTCAAAAAACTCATTAAAGAATTTATAATCCATCTAAGAGACTGAATTAATTTAGTTTTATTTGAAAAAAGAATAGTGTTTGTATACACATTACTTATCTGTAGTGTAAAAAAATGTTTAGAAATATTTGAAAGATAAAGCGAATACGGTTTTTATTTGAAATTGAAGTTTTGATGAAATAAAAATGGCGTCAGATGACGTGATTTTCAATATGAGCGAATCAAGAAATAACAGACCTTGTTGTGTGGATTTTGGAGTTGGGCAATTATTTTATATGCATTGGTGTAAAAAATTATAATTCGAAATTATGTGAGATTTACAAGATTTTTCGTTAGATCGTGAGCTTGAATGCATGCATGCATATTCATAGGATTAATAGGTACATTTATCTCAAAAACATTTTATTTTGAGAATTAGTTCCTTCACCATTGAATTGCCTATTATGAACAATGTACACACATTAAAGCAACATTGTAATATTGTAGAAGGTAAGATCCTTACCTTAAATAATTAATCTTAAAAATATGAAAATTAAAAACCTTAGTAAAACATTATTGCATACAAAAATTTAAAAAACAAAAATAATAAAAAAATCAAATGTCACATTTTAAGTTTTCCAAATGAAGTTGTAAACTAGAGTTTATAAACACCAAGATTTTGGTTACTTACAAAATAAACAATAAACAAAATAATTATAATGTCAACAATTATATTAACACAAGGTCATTTTTAATCATTGTACTTACTATTTATATGTTTTGTTGTTCTTACATTACAAATCAAATAAAGATACTTACTGGCTCACTGGATGAAAAATCGTGCCCTGAACTTCTTAATTTACTGTATAGAGAAGGTATAAGGCTCAGTTGTGGATCAGACTTAAATTCATTTTCTGCCCATTTTTTCAACGACTCTTTTAGCTTTCTAGCAACTGGAGTGTTTCCTTTTGATACTATCCTAACGAATTCTTGCTCAAATTCTCTTGATGCCACCTCTATGTGGAAAGTCTTACCTGAGTTTTTTATACAGGCATCTAAAAGCTACAAAAATTGTTTTTTTAGAAATTATGGATATGTATACTTAAATGTATATCTATCAGTGGAAGTAAATTAGTCGTTAGGTAAGATATCCATTAATAAGACATATATCCAGCTTCAGTAACTTAAGACAGTTATATCTAGCTTAACTTGACATTCTTTCAACAAAAATTTGTTATTTAGGCAGTTCTGGTGACAGCTTTGGGTTTAGCTGTACAATTTTTCAAAAATATATGTTTGTGTACTTACTGTGACAGCTTTAACACCTATATGGGGGTCAGTGTTCCCCAATCGCTTTAAAATGCACCTCAAATAGATTTTTGCGTCTTCCGAAGTCTTTCCAGCTTTATCACAAATACTAATAATCACGCCCCAATCCTCTTCGACATTTTTTTCGCTTGTTGCATTCTCTATAAGCCACACAATTAATTTAAATAATTCAAAATCGATTGGACTGTGATAATCTCGGTAAAAAACAACGATAATGAGTCACTCACCTACTTCATTTGCAATGTCATTCGAACCAAAAATACTTTTCGATTTACTCATTCTCGAGTCGGTGTTTAGTGGCGCAAATATGTTGATTTTTAATGTAAAACTTTCAAAACGCAACTATTTGTTAGCATAATTATACTATAAACAAGGAAATCTTGATGTATGAAACATGAAATGTCATACTAGAAATTTTGTGACGTCTACGCACTGCTGCCAACCGAAGAATATTATGAGTATACGGGTGGTTGTCTAAAAGTACAAAAGCGCAATTTCGGGGAAATTCAAATTATATTAATCAATTTTTCACGTAAATCATTTACGGTAAATGTATATACTACCTAGTTTTTTATACATCTACTGTAATCTATAGGTATGTAGTTCAGGAAGATTTGAAATAAAAAACTATATTTTTCTGTAAAAAATACATTTATTAAATCAATATTTATGCATCATAAACAAATATTAACAAATTGATAATATATATTATTGATATCAAACAAAATCCGTAATATTATGAACAATTTCTAAATGCCTAGGCACGGATTTGAACAAAATTTTTTTGTTGCAGATCACACAATTTGTAAAACTTTTAGGATTGTTGCTTTTTGAATTCTCTTCGTTTTTGTCGAGTAAATGAAAAACCTTGTAGTGTTCAGCTATTTTGGTAATTTCAGCCGTGAAAAAATTGCACATGGAACAAAAATACAAATTTTTGTCGTCGTGTTTTGTCGTGCAGTGATCAAAGAGACCGTTGGATGTTTTGTAGGTTTTTTCGCAGAATTGACAGTCGTAGCGGACAGTTGAAGAATATCTAAAACGAAAAGGTGGTGTTCAGAAGGATTAACCAATCAGAGCAATGTATTCTCTGTCGCCATCTAGTGTGCGGTGGAAAATGCCGTGCTTTGATTGGTTATAACTTATAACAATCTCTGACGGAAACTAAAGTCGCAAATTTCAAGAAACAATAAAACTTTGACTTTCCCTTGTAAGTATACTTTATAAAGTCTATTTGGGGCGAAAATGTAATAAAAATCGATTCAAAACAAAAATAGACTAACCTTTTGGGTTGTAACTTTTTTTCTTGCTTAATATTCTTAATTGGTACAGTTTTTTCTTCATTATTATCAACTTCAATATTTTTTACCTCATGCTCATCAATTGTTACTTCATTGCTGTTTTTTATGTTGACATGGGGTTCTTCACCTTCAATTGTTATTTTCTCATCTTCGGAATCACTATCTATAACAATTGTTTCAATATTTGAAGAACTTGCGTCTCTTTGCGTGGAAATAATAATATTATTGATATAATTGTCTGTCAATATGTTTTGCTGGAAGTTTAAATGGGGCCCATGTCCTGTATTTGAGTTTTGAATATTTAAACTGCCATTTAGTAATTCAAGAAAATGGTCAGGGTTATCATCAGAATCCGATATTTTACGTTTGAAGCTATCATCACTTTTGCTGATTTTGCGAATAACAGCGTTTTGATGTAATTTTTTTTGATTTTCAAGACATTTTTTGCGAAATTCCGATACGTTTTTCAGGAAATAAAAACACTGGCTACAAATAATCGAATTATTTTGGAGAGTGTGCTTCTAAAAATCATAAATTAAATTAAATTATTAATTAAAACAATTTACAAAAATATTTACTCACAATTTCTGGCAAACACAAATCAATAACGTCCCTAACTTTTCCAATTAATTTATAATTTAAGTGATTTTCGCCTATTAATAGACAAACGCGGCAAGCGTAATTTACCATGGTTTATAAAGTTATAAACCATAGAAAAAGAATAAACGCTTTGTTATAAATTCTTAAATGCTTATTTTGCGGTTTATGCAATCCCTCACATTTCTTAAATTAGATTACGTATACATTTATACTTCCGTAGTGGGGACGAATTGATAAATAAACTGCATTTAAAGATAAGACTTCTTGTACGAAAATGCCGTTCAATTTCCAAGAAATTGGGTGTTATATGGGTTGCCTTTCAACAAGTTGTTAACATATGTGACAGATGATCTGTCACTTGATTGAATTGAACTGTCATTACGATTCCGATTCTAACCTAAAAATGGCCCCGGTTGATAACACCCCGAACGTAAGCATGGGCGATTTTCAACTGCTGCATTCCCTGAATGCATACAACAAAATCCCGGTATCTGAATACATATCGAAAAAAACCGGGTTGACGGTGGTCATAGCCGAAGTTGACGGTCCTGTGGTGAACGGGTATTTTTGCTTGGGTAAGATTAAAAATATTAGGATATTTACCGTGCTGAGAGTTGTTTTTTTAGTTACTGAAGCTTTTGATGACGATGGTTTGCCGCATACGTTGGAACACCTTATATTTCTGGGGAGTGAGGAGTATCCATATAAAGGTGTTTTGGATTTGTTAGCGAACAGATGTTTGGCATCGGGAACCAATGCTTGGACTGATATTGATCACACTTGTTACACCATGGAGACTGCTGGTAGTGAGGGATTCTTAGCTCTGATGCCAATATTTTTGGAGCATATTTTGTACCCTGTTCTCACAGTACGCTAATGTAATATTAATAGTTTTTCAAATAAAAAAACATTTTTTTTACATAGGAAGAGGGTTTTGTGACTGAAGTTCATCATATAACAGAGTCGGGAGAGGATGCTGGTGTTGTATACTGTGAAATGCAGGGTAGAGAAAATTCTGCCGAATCCAGGTTACATCTGGCTTTAGCTAGAAATATTTACCCAGGAAAATGTGGTTATTCCTCTGAAACTGGTGGTATCATGAAAAATCTCAGAGAATCCACCACCAATGAAAAGGTTTTTATTTAATATTGGTTTATGTTTAAAAAAACAATATTAATGTTTTAATGTCCAGTTAGTGCATAGTTTAATTAATAACTTTTAGGTAAGAAACTACCATAAAGAGTTCTACAGACCGGAAAATTTAAAAGTAATAATCACAGGCCAAGTGAAGCCAGAGGAAGTTTTTAAATCCCTAGAAAAACTTGAACTTAAAATTCTCTCCAAGGTAAACACAAAAAAAACAAAATACTAAACTGAACAGGTCATTTCATAAAAATTTTAGGGTGACCGAGGTGCCTTCCAAAGACCCTGGCAAAATCCTGTCCCACCAATACCAGAATCCAAAGATTTGGTGATAAAATACCCGTCTGATGAAGAAAACAACGGATTGTTCAGCATGGCTTGGAGGGGGCCTTCTGCTGTCAAAGACATCTATCATTTGACAGCTTCTAGCTTGTTTTTGAAATATTTAACGGAGTTTTCTGTATCTCCTTTGCCAAAGGAGTTTGTGGAAATCCCTGATCCATATGCCAGCAAAGTAAGTATTAAGATTAGGAAATTTTCAAAGTATCAAATATTTAAAAATAATAACTTTCAATATTAGTTTCCTAACTTTCAGCTGTCAATTTTATTTAAATTTTACACAACCCCAACTGTCAAAATTATTGTGTCAGCTGTCAAAATTTCTTTGTTAACTGTCAAATTAATTGGATACACAAATTCAACTGATTTTTTAGGTATTTAACCTTCAAAAATATCAAAATAAATCTTTCAAATTCAGTTCATTTTTTTGAACTTTTTTAAACATATTAACTTGTTAACTGTCAAAATTATCCTTTCAACTGTCATTTTTAGTTTGTCATCTTTTAATTTAGTTTTTTGTACTGTCAAATTTTTCAACCTTTAAATTGTCAGTTAAAATACCATTTAAACTGTAAATTTTTTCTGTAAATGTAACTTTTAGTCAAATTTAGTTTTACAACTAATTTAAATTATTCTTTTAATTGTCATTTTCAATTGACAAGTTTTAATTTTGTTTTTTGTACTGTCAAACATAATTTGATACACAAATTCAACTTTATTTTAGTTACCTACCTATTCAACCTTTAAATTGTCAAATTTAAAATGTCATTTAAACTGTAAAATTGTGACTCCAAATGTCACTTTGAGTTGGTTTTAAGAAGAATATAATCTTCTTAGTTGGTTGACAGTCAATTAAATTTTTTCAATTGACGCGTTTCTCGGAAAAACATCATTAGTCCAAAATTAACATATTTGGGAAAATGAAAAAAACTCTCCGACATTCCCATTTTTGACCAAAGTACTTTATTGACCTATTTACTAGATGTAAAAAAATGTAAGATACTTTGTCCAGAATTCCTCATGTTTTTTTTTCAAACAAATATGAAAAAAACACAAAAAATACATGAACATGTGAGGTTTTTAGAAGAAAAAACGAACAATTCTCCTTACTACAAACACTACAAAATAAATATTAACTCTGAGCAACAAAATAAATGAAAAAACTAAAAACTGTATTATGGCCACACTCAGTATTCACATCCACTACTGCTGTTAGACAACGATGATATCATCGTTGTCAGGTGCTATGGTCTTCTGGTATTTTATCAAGTTATCATAAAATTTTCTATTGCTGTGGTCATGTAAAAGAGGTAGAAGCTTTTCTAGAGTGTCCAAAAACGTCACATGTTATGCACATGTGACTTTCTTAGACGAAACGGAGTGGACTTGTGATGTTTTTAGAAGAACAAGCTAAATTTCATATTTAATTATTATGGAACCTATGACATTTTTACGAGAAACACTTATTTGTATACGTATATATGGAGGTTAGGAAACAGTTGGTGCTAATATCTAAATTTCGACGATATTGGACTAATGATGTTTTTCCGAGAAACGCCTCAATTGTCAAAATTATTTTTTTAACTTTCATTTTTAGTTTAACAACTTTCAATTTGGTTTTTGTACTAACAAATTTAATTGATACACAAATTCAAGTATTTATTATAGATTTTCAACCTTCAAATTGTCAAAATTTAAATGTCATTTAAAATGACAATTTTGTTTGTAAATGTTACTTTTAGTTTGCTGACTCAAAATTTGTCTGTAAACTGTCAATTTTAGTTTTCCAACTGTCAAAATTAATTTTTAACTTTCATTTTTAGTTTAACAACTTTCAATTACTGCAAAATTTAATTGGAAACACAAATTCAACTATTTTGCTTTTTCAACCTTCAAATTGTCAAAGTTAAAATGTTATTTAAACTGTCAATTTTTTTCTGTAAATGTGACTTTCAAAATTTGTCAATTTTAGGTTTAAACAGTCAAAATTAATTTTTTAACTGTCAAATTTAATTTGATACACAAGTTCAACTATTTATTTTAGTTTTTCAACATTCAAATTGTTAAAATGTTTTGTCTAAATGTCACTTTTAGTTTGTTGACTTTCAAAATTTGTCTGAAAAACGGTCAATTTTAGTTTTTCAACTGTTGAAATTAACTGTCATCTGTTATTTTGAAATTCTTTAAACCTTGATTTAAGGTTTGCTACAACATCTACGAAAACGCGGAAAGTTGCGTCTACATAAGCTTCGAGGATGTTCCGTTGAAAAAACTTCCCGAAGTGCGCGAGAAACTTCAAGAAATTCTGAAAAAAATGCTGAATAACGAAGATATCGATATGGAGAGGCTTCACAGCATAATTAACAAGTACAAGCTGGAAAGTTTGAGTAACATTGAGAACATGCCTCATAATTCTGTGGCGTTTATGATTATTGGGCACATGTTGTATGGAAATTCTAGAGAGGATGTAAGTGTGTGTTTTTCTATAAATACACTCACAGGCAAAATAATCGATCCACACAAATTTTCGATGAATTTCAATCGCAAATAACTTTTTTATTTGATGTCGGATTTAAACGAATATTAAAGAATATTGTAGATAAATTAATGGACAATCGCTCAAATTTAAAAATTACTAAAAAATAGACGTACGTTTATAATATACAGGTTTAAACAAAAAGATGTTTTTTACCATAAGTTTAAGACACTCTGTAGAGTGGCAAAACCGTATATTGTTCTAAATTAAGTTTTATTTATTAAGTCACATCTATTCTTAACAGTTTTGTTTTTGGTTCACCTCGATATATTTATTTTTGTGGAAAATGTAGATTTTTAAAAAAAAACATTGCCATTTCCAATATTTTTTTGTATGAAGAACTAAGGTTGCTATGGTCCATCCATAGGCTATGGATAATGACAGTGACAGTTTTGTTGAATCATCCCATACTTGGACACGGCTTTCAAAAGCTATCAAATTGTTTTTTGCAAATTAATGTTTAAATTTTGAGGTGTCTTCTTACTTTAAAAAATGGATATGTCTCCGACTGATGTTGCCAGAGTCATTAATTTAATCCAGGATGGACAGTCACAGTATTACGTGGCAAGGGTTTTAATCATCACAAGAAGTAAAGTACAAAGGGTAACATCATTGGGAGACATTTTTAAAAGTAAGAAGACACCTCAAAATTAACACATTAATTTACAAAAAACAATTTTATAGCTTTTGAAAGCTGTATATGACATGTCCAAGTATGGGATGATTCAACAAAACTGTCACTGTCATCCTCCATAGGCTATGGATGGACCATAGCAACCTTGTTCTTCATACAGGAAAAATATTGGAAATTGCAATGTTTTTAAAAAAAATCCTCCTTTTCCAGAAAAATAAATATATCAAGGTGAACCAAAAACAAAACTGTTAAAAATAGATGTGACTTGATAATTAAAACTTAATTTAGAACAATATACGGTTTTGCCACTCTACAGAGTGTCTTAAACTTATGGTAAAAAACATATTTTTGTTTTAATATGTATAAACGTACGTGTATTTTTTAGTAATTTTTAAAATGTGAGCGATTCTCCATTAATGTATCTACAATATTCTTTAATATTTGTTTAAATCCGAAATCAAATAAAAAAGTTATTTGCGATTGAAATTCATCGAAAATTTGTGTGGATCGATTATTTTGCCTGTGAGTGTAGGATGTTGTTTTACTTATATTTTTCTTTAGCTTCAACAAAGGGTAAATCCTCTGGTCGACCTGATGAAATTGCTTGGCGAACCGAAGTCCTTCTGGCTGGATTTACTGAAAAAGTACTTTGTAGAGAACAAGCACGTTTCCGTGCAATGCGTGCCGAGCATCGAGGAACAGCAGGAGATGGCGAAAACGGAAAAAGAACGCCTGGATGCGCAAGTGGCAACACTGGGCGAGTCCGGTTTGAAGGAGAAGGCGGGCGTTTTGGAGGCGGCGATCGGGCACAACGATAGGGATCCTCCCATGGACATGTTGACCTCCGTTCCGATTCCCTCGACGAACTCGATGAATTTCCACTCGGTCTCGAGGTACAGGAGCGACCTCGACGATAAAGAGAAAATTGATTTGTCGGACACGCCGATTTTCACCTATTTCGATCATATCAAGACCAATTTTGTTTATGTGAGTGCAGCATTAGTATTTCCTATTTATCGGGTGTTCCACAGGGTTTCTCTTTAGGATCTCTAACCCCAACTGTCAAACTTATTGTGTCAACTGTCAACATTTCTTTGTAAAGTGTCAAGTTAATTGGATACACAAATTCAACTGATTTTTTAGGTTTTTAACCTTCAAAAATCTCAAAATGAATCTGCCAACTTTTAAATTCAGTTGTATCAAATGGGCATAATGGGAAATTTGTATGATCTTGCCATTTTTGAAAAATATTAGCTTGTCAACTTTCAATTTATATTTTTGTCATGTCAAATTTAATTGTATACACAAATTCAACCATTTATTAAAGCTTCAATTCGTAAAAGTTAAAATATCATTTAAACTGAAAAATTTTGTCTGTAAATGTCACTTTTAGTTTGTTGACTGTCAATATTAATCTTTAAACTGTAAATTTTATTCTTTTAACTGTCAATTTTAGTTTGACAAGTTTTAATTTTTTTAATTGATTTCACTAGATCATTGTTGGTAGTGTCGCCACGAGTATTTATTCTGTCATCCGATGATAGAATATTTCATTCTGTAACACTTTACGGAATATATGTCATTCCATAGATAAAAGTGATATTAGAACGGTCAAATTCCGTAATAGGAGTAGAAAAATATTATTAATGAAAAAAAAAAATATTTTATATGGGTTTTCAATCAAATAAAATATATTCCTTTAAAGTAAATATTATTTACTAAATACCAAATAATATATATAAAAAAAGTGCTAAGAAAAATTGAAATGTTCTAATTAATGGGTTTTCAAATAAAATAAAATATTCTGTTTTATATATGGGCCATTCCACGCGTAACGGATAGGACAGTTGCCGTTTTATTTTAAAATTTGACATTGGTAATACACTCACGTGCAAAATAATCGACTCACACAAATTTTCGATGAATTTCAATCGCAAATAACTTTTTTATTTGATGTCGGATTTAAACGAATATTAAAGAATATACTAAAAAATAGACGTACGTTTATAATATACAGGTTTAAACAAAAAGATGTTTTTTACCATAAGTTTAAGACACTCTGTAGAGTGGCAAAACCGTATATTGTTCTAAATTAAGTTTTATTTATCAAGTCGCATCTATTCTAAAAGTTTTGTTTTTGGTTCACCTCGATATATTTATTTTTGTGGAAAATATGGAATTTTTTAAAAAACATTGCAATTTTCAATATTTTTCCTGTATGAAGAACTAAGGTTGCTATGGTCCATCCATAGCCTATGGAGAATGACAGTGACAGTTTTGTTGAATCATCCCATACTTGGACATGTCATATACAGCTTTCAAAAGCTATCAAATTGTTTTTTGTTAATTAATGTGTTAATTTTGAGGTGTCTTCTTACTTTTAAAAATGTCTTCGACTGATGTTGCCCTTTGTACTTTACTTCTTATGACGTTTAAAACACTTGCCACGTGATACTGTGACCGTCCATCCTGGATTAAATTAATAGCTCTGGCAACATCAGTCGGAGACATATCCATTTTATAAAGTAAGAAGACACTTCAAAATTTAAACATTAATTTGCAAAAAAACAATTTGATAGCTTTTGAAAGCCGTGTATGACATGTCCAAGTATGGGATGATTCAACAAAACTGTCACTGACATTCTCCATAGCCTATGGATGGACCATAGCAACCTTAGTTCTTCATACAGAAAAATATTGGAAATTGCAATGTTTTTTCAAAAAATCTATATTTTCCACAAAAAATAAATATATCGAGGTGAACCAAAAACAAAACTGTTAAAAATAGATGTGACTTGATAAATAAAACTTAATTTAGAACAATATACGGTTTTGCCACTCTACAGAGTGTCTTAAACTTATGGTAAAAAACATCTTTTTGTTTAAACCTGTATATTATAAATGTACGTCTATTTTTTAGTATTTTTTTTAAATGTGAGCGATTGTCCATTAATTTATCTACAATATTCTTTAATATTCGTTTAAATCCGACATCAAATAAAAAAGTTATTTGCGATTGAAATTCATCGAAAATTTGTGTGAGTCGATTATTTTGCACGTGAGTGTATAATAGAACAATATTATTTTGTAAATAAAAACACGGCAACTGTCCTATCCGTTAAGCGTGGAATGGCCCATATATAAAGAATGAAATGAAAAGTGTCAAGTTACAACATTAACAGTGCAAGAAAAATGTAAACAACATATTTTATGTAAATTTATTAATTACAAAATTGTATTTACAAATAACTGCAATTTAGGTTTAGTTGCCAAATAAAATCCCTAAATTGGCCACCATGGAGCCAACATTGAATAAAACAAACTAAACTTGTGAAAAATATTATATTATGGTTTATAAGCTAGTTTTCTAATGATTTTGTGATGTTTCCCGGGCCATTTCATTATCAGCAGCATTCTGCAGTTTCAGATATGGACTCTCCTTGAAGATCCTTAGCTTCCTTGTCTCGGCACATTTCCTGCACAATGCAAAAAGAAAGATTTCATTTCGATTAATTTTGTTTTTCAAATTTTATTTTAATTTCTACACTGCAGTACTTGATTTCTTAGAGTTTGAGTTTACAGGTCATATTATGCTTCCTGGTTTTGTCTTATTTCTTGTAAACTGTAAAAAGAACTACGATTTATATTGTTTTTTCCAATTTTACAACGTACTTGATTTTTTTTGATAGATCTACTGTTATGTTACGGTTTCGTTGATGCGACTCGCGCGACTGCAGCCGCAATATTGAGTGTTTTCGTTGATGCGTTTAGTTCTATGCGATTTGGCTTAGTTTTAAAGATCTGGTTTTACAAATAACATGGACAGCGATCTTTTAACCCTAATTCTCTTAGAAGAAGAAGAAGAAGCTAAACAGTGGCTCCTTCAGGCATTATTAGAACATAAAAGATGTGAGACACATAATATATTTAAAAGGCGTGCAGAAGATTATTTTAATTTGCTTATAAACTCCCGTTTAATGTGAAAAAATTTACAGATTTTTTTTGGCTCCTGAGCAATTTAATTTTCTTCTGTCCCTAATACAAGAGGATATAAAGAAGCCTGAAAAAAAATGTGTAAGATTTGCACTAAACTTTGCCATTTTTTATCAAACAATCGCAGACGACTGCGATTTGACTGGTCTATGTACTACATAGTACTACATATGTAACAGTCGGGTCGCAACAGCTGCGACTCGATCGTGATCGTCTGTGACTGAACGCGCCAACCAAAACATATACACACAAATTGTACTAAGCAGTCGCATCAACGAAACCGTACCTTTAAGTGTAAAGTTGGAACCATATCTACTTTACTATAAGACTTTTTTATGGGAAGGAAAGTACCTCTAAAAAAACTACTGCTATTTAATTTTTTTTAAATAAATCTACTTACTATCCTTAACATCAATTTTTTCAAGCCCATACTAAGGGAACGTATTGGATTTTCAGTTTTTTTAGCATTGTTTTTAGAGATTTTTACTTGACAGGAAGACATTTTTTTTAACATTTAAAATCTTCGACGCCGCTGGTAGCAGGGCCCCCACACCTCCTAAAACTCATAAAATTCCTAAAATTTTGCTTAAATCTTCAAAACTCCTAAAATTCTCCTAAAATTGCCTTCAATCTCCTAAAAATCCTAAAAATTAAATTTAAATAGGCCAACCTGACTGCGTTTAATTAAGGTAGTGCTAAAAAAATTCTTTTTTAAAAAGTAATTTAAAAATTTATATATTTAGGTTCTATTTTATTAAATTCTTTTTAAAATGATATAATATCACAACTAAAATTTTTCTTAAAAAACAACATAAAAACTTATACAAAATTGTCATTTTTAGCGATACCTATTTCGTTTTCTAGTCAAAAATATACCAAACAAAAGGATTTTTAATTTTCTTTTAAATGACAGCTAAAATAGTAAACAATCTAAAGAATGTTTTGCTATATTTTGCAAACTTCATATTTTGTTATGAGATTTTTAAATATTAAGATCCACATTACAATTGAATTGGTGAGAATAAAAACAGTACAAGTCCAAAAATTTAATTTTGACAATTTATTTTCTAAATTCAATTTTAAAGTTTAAAATACATTTTTGTTAGAAGATATAAATTATTTTACAAAAATTGAATATTATATTTGATAAAATAGTTTAAATATTCTAACAAAAATGCATTTAGAACTTTAAAACTGATTTTTTGAAATATTTTATCAAAAATTTTACTTTTGGACTTAACTTAACCTTATCGATTTAATTACTGTTAGTTATTAACTAAACGGTTAACATGTTTTTTCTTAAAATATAAAGATAACATCATTTGATTTTGGCATTAACTGAATCTATCGACGCATTTTTTTAAATAAAATTAAAAGTGTGGTGAAATTTATACTTGTATATTTATGTACCTCAGATATATACAAAAGTAGTAATTTTACCTCACTTTTAATTTTATTTAAAAATAAACTCGTCGAGCGATTTGGCTAAAAAACTAGTCATTATAACTTATTGTTACAAAAGAAGTATTAATTTTTTTTTAAGTAGTAAAGAGATGTTTTTATTTAATTAAAAAAATTCATTTCCATACTTTATTTCTCCTAAAATTTTACAAAAAACCTAAATTCCTAAATAAAATTTGTAATTTAGCAGTGGGAGTAGTGTTGGGACAATTGAAATTTCCAAATGAAAATTTCAACTTTGAAAGTTTCAAACTTGAAATATTTCATTTAGTTGGAAAAGTGAAATTTTGAAAAATTTCAAATGAAATTTTCAATCTGAAAATTTCAACATTGCCTGTGAAAGTTTCAGAAATTTCATTGAAAGTTTCGCAATTTACTGAAAATTTCGCATAAATTTCACATGCGGCCTCCCCTGGGACCTTTAATAATAATTTTCAGCAGATTCCGAATCGACCAATAAGAACGAGTTATCAAGCGTCTGGGAGTTTTTGTTTAGTTCGGCTTGGATTTTTACTTATATGCATAAATTAATTTAAATAATTTAATTCAGTTACCAATTTAATTTGTAAATTAAATCAGACAAATTTTTTAAAAGTCATGATTAATTTAAACTTTTACTTTTGCTATAATTGCATCGGAAAACGGATAAAAAATGCCTTTGGCTCATAAAATTTTGATGAAGTTTCTTCAATTTTCGTAAAATTTCAGTAAAATATTTAAAAATAATAAATATATATAAATATAAAACAATGAAAGTGGCACAATCTCATTAGCTTACCAAAAAGTGCTATATCTCTTTTAGTTTCAGTAATTTTAAAAATATTTTAAAAGGAAATCTCAAGAAATTTGTGGTAAACATAGGTATTTACTATTTATATTATTGGTGCAGGGGCCCACAGAGGGGTAGGAGGTAAGAGAGGCAATTTGCCATGGTCCCCGAGTGGGCTTATTTCAATATTAATATATTACACTTAAAGTGATTGAAATTTATTGAAATAAATTTCATGAAATTTATGAAATTTTAATAAATTTCATAAATGTCATGAAAATTTCAAGTGAAATTTCAAGTACAAGCAAAAAGTGAAATTTTCCCAACCCTAAGTGGGAGCCCTGTGGTAGGCAGGGTAGTATTTTTATTATTCCCTTCAGTAATTTTCAAGAGCTGTAACTCGTATGCCAAACTATTAAAAACTTGTTGGCAGCTGTTCGCCATGCTGGACACCTCCTCGATCCCCTCCGAGCTGCGCGCCTACCTCCCGCTGCTGCTGGAGTCGCTGCTCGAGCTGCCGGTGAACCGCGACGGCCGAATCGTCCCGTACGAGGAGGTGGTCGCGCAGCTGAACCACGACACCGTGTGCACGGAGGTGGGCGTCGGCCTGGGCGGCGGCGGCCGGCAGACGTTCAAGTGCGGCAACTACTCGAGCACGGTGATCGTGTCGATGCAGGTGGAGGCGGCGAAGTACGAGGCGGGCGCGAACTGGATGCGCGAGATCCTCTACAACACGGTCTTCGACGCCGAGCGGTTGAAGGTGGTCGCGCAGAAGATGCTCAATTCCATTTCGGCGGCGAAGAGGAGCGGCAGGAGCGTGGTGGCCTTTTTGATGAAGGCGATGAGATATACTGAGGGTGAGTTTGTTGTCATTTTTAGGAGTTTTCTTATGCCAAATGTTACATATTACACAGTACGACAAAATTTAATTTTTATTCCCTCCCATAAAAAATTTCTAAAGAATTTGAAAATAGACTTTAAAAAATGATACCCGTGTCTCGGCGTTTTTTCAGATCATGTCATTATTTTATTAGTGCAATCGAATAAAATGTTATCCACGGTACATAATACCTACGAGGTGTGTTCAGGAAATATCGGGAATTGTTAAATTTCGCGGGTTCGGAGGGTCCGGTTGTCATAAAATTTTCTTTATTATGTTGGTATACATGCCCCCGAAGTATGATAAAAACTTTAGCTGTTTTCATTGTTTACTTTGTCTGTGGCAGCCGCTAAGGTTAGACGTGTTTTATGAGCTCGGCGATTTTTCGTTCGTTAAAAGAAACATATGCAGGGTTCCCGTTTGTCATAAAATTTTTAAATATCATAAAATTGGTTAAATTGTCCTAAAATGTCATAAAATTCACATTTTGTCATAGAAATCATAAAATTTCATTATTTTTTAACAATTTTCTCACCTTTGATCTTTTTTATAAAATGGAAATTTTGTAAAATAAAATTTAAAGCCGGTCCCAGGGTGGAAGAATTATTCCACCCTGGCCGGTCCTGTAGAATAAAACGCAATAAAATGTTTTATCTACGCCAGTGAGATAAGAACTTCTTATCCCACTCATTTTGAGTGAGATAAGAAGTTCATTAACGCACGCGTTTTTCTCTGCTTTTAACCAATCAAATAAAAAAGTCAAAATGTCAAAATAACCCTAAATTAAGTCTTAGACAAAAATAATTACCGTTTATTTTTTCATTTAGAGGCGTAGATAAAAATTTGTACAATATACCTACGTGTGATAACGCTTTATTAACGTACTTTTGCGATGGCCCAACTCGTGCTACGCACTCGTTGGGCAAATTTCGCATGCGTACGTTAATTAATAAAGCTCTTATCCCACTTATATCGTAAATAACTATTAAATATGGCCTCGGTTGTTGATGTATGAACTGCATACTATGAAGGAAAAATAAGTTAGGTTAGGAAATGAATTTTAAATTTGAAATAAATAATGAGAAAGGTAATTTTATTTTTATACTATATTATACTATACTATATTACTTTACTAAGGAAGGCACAAAGAAGGACTTGAAGAAATTGATACTATTTTGGCAAGTAAGGAAGCAGAGTTAAAAATAACAAGAAATATTATTTCTGAAGGAAATAAGAAATTATCGAAGTACCTTAACAATAACTACATAACTACTCCTATAGGTATATATACTATTTTTTTTGCTTTTTTGAGACCCATGTTAATCATTGTTTGAGCCTCCAATATTTCAGATTTGTATACATTTGTGGTTTTATTTATTTTGAGATTATAATACCTATTATAATAAAATACTAAAGTAACATATATTAAAAATATTATAGCAGAAATATTTATTTTGATGCGAGAAAAAATATTAATTTTTATATAAAAAACCGTTAAAAAATTACATTTATTTTATTAAATAACTTTAGAAATAATAAATTCTTGTCATAAAAAATGTCATAAAATCATAAAAAAAAAGTACAAAACAATGCTGGGAACCCTGCATATGGATCAAAGAATTTGTATCCATTGCTTAAATAATGAAATAAATTCTGTGAAATGTTAACAATGCTATAAATAAAACAAGAGTTTACAAGTGGTATAAGAGTTTCCAAGATGGCCGTGAAGACGTTGAAGATGACGAACGCCCCGAACGCACAAGCACATTAACAACCGATAAAAACATGGAAAAAGTGGATAAACCATCAGAGAAGTCGCTGATGATGTTGGTATATCGATTGGCTCATCCCATGAAACGTTTTCGAATGTTTTGGGTATGAAACGCGTGGCAGCAAAATTTGTTCTAAAATTGTTAAATATTGAACAACATTTTTGGCCAAAAACAATACTGTAATGATGCCCCAGCCTCCATATTCGCCAGATCTACCTCTGTCTGAGTTTTTCATAAGATGACATCAAAAGCGCATCGCTGAAAGAACTAAAGGCTATCCCAAAGATCGAGTTTTAGAAGTGTTTTGAGTATTGGAAAAAGAGCTGGCACATGTGCATAATATGCAATGGGGACTATCTTGAAGGCGACAACATTAATGTAGACGAATAAATAAATATTTGTTTCAAAAAACGAAAATTCCCGATATTTTCTGAACACACCTCGTATAACAGCTTCGATAACAGCTAGACTGTATAGTTAAAAAAAAAGTTATTTATTGAATAAATTGACAACCATTAAAGCTACTTTTTAAAATTATTAAAATTGTATACAGGGTGTTGCACATTTACGAAATATACCAAGAGGTATTTTTTAGATTGTGATAACACTAAGGATTCTAAAGCAATGTATAATCGTCAAACTAAAAGACCAAGATTTTTTTTAACATTAAATATAAGATGAATACAAATCTATTTAATTAAAAAAAAATATTTTTTTACGTATAATTTTTGTATTATGTAAATACATGCAATATTTGAAGAAAAAAAATTATTTGTAACAAAATATGTTATAATAACACAGTTCAACATGATTTCCCTCCCATGAAAAATTTTAACAGATTTTGAAAATAGAGTTTAAAAAAACGCACCCGTGTCTCACCGTTTCATGAATTCACCTCATTGAATATTTTTATACAGCCATATGTGGATACAGATTTTTAATTCTCTATTTTATGATAAATAATTTTTTTCATCAAATATGTTTTTACATAATACAAAAATTATACTTAAATAATATAATAATGTTATTTTTTTTAATTAAATTTTTTTTTTATTTTTTTAAATAGATTTGTATTTGTCTTGTATTCAATATATGTTGGGAACAAATCTTGGTCTTTTAGTTTGACGATTATACATTGCTTTAGAATCTACAATCTAGATAGTGGTATCACAACCTAAAAAACACCACTGGATATACAGGGTGGTTCACATTCGTTGTCCATTGGAAGTTACTGAGGAACGGAAAAAGATATCGATTTAAATTTAAATTTAAAAGCGTTTATATCCATTTAAGTATATTTTTCTAAAATATTTAAAACAAAATCCCACTGCAGGTTTGTTTGACCTTAAGTGACATCAACTTTGTTATTTCAAATAAAACACACCATACATTTTTACATTTTTAAATTCTACATAAAATTCTGAGTAGAATAACTATACAATTACTATTCGAGTTATTAATTTTTTACGTTAAAATTTGACAAATGCGCGTCAATCAAAAATAGCCTATAAGTTTTTTGCTGTTAGGTTTGTTGTTTGGGGTGGAATTTTTGGAATCTTTAAACATTATTTAAAATATTCCATGTCAATTTTTTAACATTTTTTAACAAATTACCCGAGAAAACCCAGGGCAATTTTTTTATTTTAAATGTAACACCTGGTATGTTTTTACATAATCAAATAGCAAATTAAAAAACGATTAATGTAACTATTTCCTATGCCTATGCCAGAGATATTTAACAATTTCTAAAATTTTAAATATTATTTTGTATCAAGAAACCTGTGACGGGTATGTGACGGTATCTATGGTTACCACATAATCTGTCATTGTTCAAAATTTAATGGCGTCATTTTCAGGTTGTTATAAACAATTTGTTGACTAATTAAGTGTTTTGTAAACAAAATAACTAATAAAAAAGCAGTCAGTAAATTATAAAAAACATTGACTAGCCAAACATTTTTAAAATTTAGGTACTAATTTTGAAAAAAAAATCAACTAAGCTGTAGGATGTCAACTTGATGAAGCACTAGCTTTATTTTATGAAATATTTTAATGGGTAACTAACAATTAAAAATAAACCAACCATTTTTTAATTAACAATTTGTATAACTAATTTATTTCTAAATGTTCAAATTTACATTCAAGCATTTCTTAATTCTTACTTTTACATTAGATGTTGCTCTTCTTGACTATTCTGGGTCTAATTACGTGATCTTTAAGTCTATTTTCAAATTCTATAAATTTTTCATGGAAGGGAATAAAATTAATTTTGTCGTACTGGTAATATTATAAATTTATAATATAATTTTGAGCTCGTCATTTCTAACATTTTAGACAGCAACGTGCTGAAAAACAGCATGTTCCTGCAAAACAAATTCCTCGCCGACGTCATCCAAAAAATAAACAGCGGCAACGGCGAAGAGTTGGTCTACATTTTCGAAAAATTGCGCAAAATGATGACTGACCCTTCCAACGTTGTTCTCTATTGCTCGGCCAACATCGACAGCCTCGCTGACCCCGTCGAACCCCTCAAGAAAATCATCCCGAGCGACATGCAAATCGTCAAAAAACAACAAAAGTAAGGCTTATTATTGTGCCTACTAAGCTTAAACAGATGTTTGTTTTGTAGATTAAATGTGACTCCTGATTTTAAACTGATGAAAGACGATGCCGAGGGTGGCATTAAAGGTGCGGTGATTGGAATGGGCTGTTTGGAATCCTCATTTTTCTATCAGAGCACAAAATGTTTGACTTCTTATACCGATCCAGATTTTCCTGCTTTGATGTTGTATCTGCAATATTTAATTCAAGCTGAGGTAAGGATTTTACATTTTTAATATCTTATGTATGTTTTAAATTTAATTTTTTTTTTATTTTTTTAAATTTAAAATATTTTTTAATGATATATTTAATGCTTTTTTGGAAATTTTGGAAATTAAAATTTTTAAAAATTTTTGGAAATGGTTAACCTTTTGGAAATTGAAGGAAATTTAAATAATTTGGAGATTTGGGAAATTGAAAAAAATTTGACAATTTTAGAAATTTTGTCAATTTCACCCACCTTTAGTTTTTTTAATTAAAAAATTTTTGAAAAGAAAAATTTAAACGAATCGAAATATTTTGAAAATTGTCAATTTATAATTTTGGAAATTAAAACTTTTGTTAATTATGTTTGTTTTAAAAACTTGAAAATTTTTGGTTAATTTTGGAAATTAAAAAAATATATATGGAATATTTGAAAATTGAAAATTTTGGAAAATTATAAAATATCCGGTTAAAATCGCACAATAAATAAAGATTTTACAGGGGTGATTCGCAAACAAATGGGTCACACTGTATCTATAAATTTTGAAAATATTGGTTCATTTTGAAAATTCGACATTAAATATTTTGAAAAAATTGTCATATATTATATTGTTTGGTTTTTGTTGGAAAATATTGAATGCAAAATAATTTAATAAAATCAGGAGACCGCGTAGCGGTCGAGGGGTTTTATTTTTAATTATTTTGCATGAAACTATTTTCCAAAAAGAAAAATCAAATAAAAAACTTACTGAGCATAGTTTGACAGATTAAATTTATAGGTTGAGTGATATACGTCTAGATTATTTCTCGAATTAAAGGAAACTATTTGACAATTCATAAAATCTGACGTATGTGTCAAAATTTATAAATATTTTTTTAAAGAATTTAATTCCATTAATTTATGGTATGTAATAAGTAATAATTGATATTTCGTAAACTAGATAACTTATTTTTTATTGTTTTTTAAAAAATGTTTGTTAAAACTTGTAAATAACACCATAAAATCGTAAACAAAAATCCAATATGGAGGCTAAAATTTAATCGCTGTTAAATAGTTGTAGTGATTTAATCGCTTATTTAAACGAAATTTATTCGAAAATGCAAGGCTTTTGATTGGTTCATATTATAATGAGGGAAATAATCAATTTTAAAAATGTTGTCAATTTCACCCACCTTCAGTTTTTTTTAATTTTAAAATTTTTGTAAATTAGAAATTTTTTTAAATTTTAAAAACTTTTATCAACTTTTAAAATTTGGAAAATTTTAAAAAATTAGTTTTATGAAAATTTTATAAAAAATTTTGTGAATTCTTTTAATTTAAAAAAATTTGAATATTTTGAAGCTTAAAATTTGGGAAATTTAAACAAATTTAAATATTTTGAAATTTGTCAAATTTATAATTTTGGAAATTAATAATTTTGTGAATTTTGTCCATTTAAAAACTTGAAAATTTTGGTTAATTTTGGAAATTAAAAAAAATATATTTGGAATTTTGGTTAATTTTGAAAATAAAAATTTTTGGGAATTTTTAAAATTTTTGGAAATTAAAAAAAAAAAAATTTTTTGTCAATTTTGGAAATTAAATAAAAAAATTGGGAATTTTTAAAATCTTTGTCAATTTTGCGTGAAACCCTTTAAAAAGTTGGAAATTACAAATTTTTTGAATTTTTGAAAATTATAAATTTTGTGAATTTTAAAATAAAAAGAAATATATTTTGGAAATTATGAAAATTTTCACCCACCTTATGGTTTTTACTCGTCAACCCCTTTCATTTATTATCCAATGGGTATCAAGGAGGTTGTGGATTCATTTATTTTCATCTCTTTCCAAACTAACAGCCACTCATTTCTTACGCCACGAACACGTATATACACACTGACGCAGTCGCCACATCTACATGACGCGTAGGGCGTAGCATAGATGTTGACTCATCAATAAAAACTTTTCTTCCCAGGGACCGATGTGGAAACAAATAAGGGGCAAAGGTTACGCGTACGGTTACAGCATGATGGCAAAACTGAACGAGGGTCTTTTATACCTGATTTTCGCACGGGCCACGAACGTCCTGGGCGCGTACAAAGAAACAGTCGACATAGTCAAAAAACAACTGACATCGAAACAGTGGGACCCCACGCTGTTGGAGGCTGCGAAGAGCTCGCTGATCTTCGAGATTATCGAGGAGGAAAAAACCATCGGCAACGTTGTTAACTTGTCGGTGTTGTCGTACTTCCAGGGGGTAGACTACAAGTACAACAGGTAAAAAATTGTTTATTTTTTTGGTGTTGAAAAATTAGGTTTTTTTTCTTTTAGGACTCTTTTAGACTTAATTAATAAGGTGACCATTGAGGATTTAAATAAGGTCGGTGATTTGTATGTCTCCAAATTATTTGAGCCGGAAAAAGTTAGAACAGCGGTTGTTACAGTTCCAGCAAAAGTAAAAGAAATTGTGGAGGGATTCAAAAAGTAATAATACATTATAAAAAAAAAGTTTTTTTTTAATTTATTTTTTTAGATTCAATCTCGACGTTGAAGGTTATTCTTCTTTGGAAGAAAGTTTTTTGAACAAATAAACGCCTCAAAAATGTCAAAGTAAGTATTATTGAATTTACTCATTTATTAAAACCCATACTGCACTGAAATAACGATTTGAATTAAGGTTTTACACGATTGTTTGATATATGATTGTATATTTGTTGAATAAATTGCATTTAAAATTATTTTTTATTTATATTTTCCCCAAAAGACCTTAGATCTAACAATCCCCCTGATGGAGCAACATTTTAATGTAAGTCGAAGGCCAATATTTATTTTCTAATAAAATAAAAGAAATATTTATAGTGTTGCGATTTTTATCAATCAAATTTGTTAACAGTTCAAGTTTTACTTAATACAGTCATTTCCAGGAAATTGTTAGGTAAAAATCAATGCAGGATACTAAAGCAATTATTATTCCCATTAATAAAAAATATTACAATAACTATTTACTATTTGCACACATTGCTTTGTAAATTAAAGACGTTTTTATAAAATATTTTTAATTAATAATTTTGCCACGTACATATTAATATATATTGATCACAAGCCAATATTTTAGTATTTTATTCACGTATTTATTCTCATTAAGATTGCTAGTATATTTTTGCACCTGAAATATTAGGTTCAAGAACTTGATAATTAATACTGGGATTTTTATTGTTACATGATTCATGGGGCGTATTTTAACAGCAATTGAAAATTATTTTGTATTCCTATAAAAATATCTTAAATAATATACAAAATCTTTTCGTGTTTTAATAATAATAAAAATGTTTAATAATGCTTTTAACATTGAATAAAAATAATTTGTACCCTATTTTCCATTAAAAGAAAATAATTTCTTTTGTTAAAATTTATTCATATTTTGTATTTTAAAACATTAATACAAATAAAGATGTGTAATTGTAGAAATCTCTTACTTTATGCTTTCTGATGTCAAAAGTAGGTAATCATAATACTTTCTAGACTAATTGTAAGACAAACAAAATAATAAAAAGTGAAAATAACAATAAACAAAAATTGTTTTTATTCTCACAAAAAAATATTACATTTATATTGTATTAAATAAAAATTATCAAGGTTTTTATGTGCATTAAAAATAATTTTTTATGCTCTATAAATTTCATTTTTAAGTAAAGAACCACTGAAAGGAAATGCTGTTTTTTGCAATTTTCTTTGTTATGAAATATGGTTTGTAATACTTCCTAACATTGTCTATTATAAAGAGAAATTGCTTTTATAATTTCAAATAGAGTTAAGCACATATTGCACTTGTGTCAAAATAAATATGTATTTAAGAAATACCTAAATAATTACAGCGTGATATTCTTGAAAAAAAAATTAGTCTTTTTGTTATTTAATAAAGATGCATTTATAGAAATACAATTTTTAATATTCTACACAGGGTGTCTCAAAATTCTATACAAAAATTTTAAGGGGATTCTACAGCCCAGCAAAAATTGTTTCAAAGCAATTTAAAAAAAACCTTTCCTGTGTTAAATAAAATAAAAATGGAAAAATAATACCCAATAACATAACATTGTGTCCCTGCTGATAAAAAAGTTTAGAATCACCCCTTCATTTTTTTATTTCACCCAACATCAAAGATATATTTGCCTAGAAAGTTAATTGAATAAATTTGTAATTAGTTATAATTTTACTACATATGCTGTGTAAAATCATACCTAAATTATATATTTTTTCATAAATACTCATTAAACAAACTTTCCAATAATTTAAAGTAATGGGCAAAATAAATGGATATTTTTTCATGCCAAAAAAGGTGATTAATTTTTTTTTTATTCTAATAGTGAAAAACCTTGGTAAGTGTACGTGTAATATATGTTACGGCTAATGTGTAAACTTATGTAGTGTAAAAACTAGCTGGACAATTTATTAACTAGCCAAATTGTCGGCTATTTTAATAGAAAACGTATTTTTAACCAAGTTAGCGGCTAGTTTACAAAATAACCAAGGATCTTGGCTAATTTACTTGAAATTATTGGGGAAACTAAACTAGCTGGATAGTTTGTATACTATCCAATTTAGTTTGGCTAATATAAAAACAAACATTTCTAGTAACAAAAAATAGCCAATGCTTTAGCTAGTTTGTAAACTAACCAGCCAATTCTCTTAAAATTAATTTTATTTTTTTATTTACTTGCATCATGCCCATTTATTGGCTGTATGGCTTATTATAATGGTAAGTTTACAGGGATGTAATTCATTTAAACTATAATTATATTAAATAGTGTTTTTATGTGTATGTGTAAAATATATGGGCGTTTCTCTGTAAACTGGGCAACTTGAAGTAAGAAATTGTCTAGGCAAGTTTTTTTGTTATATTTTTGTTGTATTTAATAAATGTTATTCGAGGAATAAATATCGGTCTATTTATTAGTATACGGCAGATGAACCAAAAATATTCCTATTACTTTGGAAAACATTGAGCATTTTCTGAAAAATCTATACAGGGGACTGTTTATAAAATCCGGAGACAAAGTTTAGATGACTTTTTTAGAATTACAAAATAATAATTATAAAAAATAAATAAGTCACAGTAACAAGCAAACAATATTGGTTGAATAATTAAACAATTAGGTTGATTCCAATAGTTACTGTCTTTAATTAATTTAGTCTGAAGTGACCATTTTGCTTTGGTGACGTCAGGGGACTGGTTTTTAAGGACTATAAAAACGATTTTGATACATTAAAGTTTATTTTATTGGATTTTGAACGTCGAGCATAGGTAGATTAGGTTATTATCTTTTGAAGTTATCTACGAAATATTTATGATCTGTTATTTTTCTAAACAATATTAGCTTGAGACAATGAGTTGCCCAGTTTACAGAGAAACGCCCATATAAATACAATATAATAAATTAGCCAGAAGATTGGTTGGTTAGATTGTAAACTATCTAAAGCTTGGCTATTTTGTGTTACTAGAAATTTTGGTTTTTATATAAGCCAAATTGAATTGGATAGTGTTTACAAGTATCCAGCTATTTTAGTTTTCTAAATAATTTCAAGTAATTTAGCCAAGACCCTTGGTTCTGCTAATTTAGTTACATACTTAGTTTAAACCTATGAAAATATGAATTCTATACGTATAGGTATTATAATAATTAATTTTCATTAAATTGGGAATTGAATATATGATAACGTTTATTTATTTTAATATTTAAAATGTTTTCATATACCTTACACCAAATTAAGGTTTAGTGTGACAGGAAACAATAGAAAAATAAAACAATTGACCTACTGTACAAATAACGGTACAACAGGGGGACAAAAAATGCGTTTAATATAGTCAATTCAGTACGCGAAAAATATCATGTAGATTTGGAATGTTTTGAGGGAACACATTGACAACCTGTGACTTTAGTTAGTCTTTTTCCAAGGGAGAAATTTCGATTTTTACAGGAAAATTCGACAAACTGACACTGAAATTTTGAAAGCCGGTAAAACAGATTCCCAACACCAATTACGGTTACTCTATTTTTGTATTTAAATTAATTAGTAGGTAATACATTATTTTGTCGTAGAAAAAGTATTGACGTACTATTTGTTTAAAAACTTTTCTAGATCCATTTTTATTAAACACACGCTCGGAAGCTTCGCTAGTGCCTAATTAAAATTTGTGACTAAAAGAGCGTTTATTAAACTTGATATACTATTTTGAAATTTTAGTTTTTGTTTTTAATCAATTTTTTCCAGTCATCAAATAGACTATAACCGTTGAGTGAAGAAGTCAATGCTATAATTATAACACCACTATGTCATCTAATAGTGGTGTTATTTAATAATTTATATTATTTTCAACAATATTATATAAAATTTTGATCACAATTTTTCTCCTCAATAATACAATAATTTTTATTTTTATTATTACAGTCTAAAGTAGAGATAAAATATTTTCTTTATCAAAAATATAATTTTAAAACTAAAAATTGATTACAGTTCGTAAAAAATGTTGCCTTTTCATTTATTGTTTATTTCTAAAAAAAGGTAAATTTAAATAAGTATAAAATTAATTTATTAGGTCTCCTTGAATTTATAACTATTTTATAATGTTGATAAACATTTAAATATCGTTAAAAAACCCGTAATCTTGAAATTGTGTTTTTTCATTACGAAACCTTAACACAATAAATATCTTTGCAATATAATATTTACAAAAACCTCTTATAAAAGTTAATTGATAAATGTATTAACTATGTACTTATAAAGAGGGGAAATAGTGTCTTTACTCAAGCGATAGTTAACAACAACAGTAGTTGGCAAGCACCACCTACCTAACAAACTGTGTTTCAACAGGCTATACGAGGTACCTGCAAGTCTTGTTCATTATAAAGTTTATGTGAAAGTTAATGGAAAATAAAATCCAAGTGAGATACTGTTAAAGTATGTTGGTGTTTATATAATTTTTTTGTGCTGTGTGTGATTTTATATTAAATAAAATGGATACTAAGGAAATTAATGGAAATAATGAAAAGGTGAATAATTTTTATTGTGAAAAATAAATGGGTTTTAAAATAAATTTTTGTAACTAAAAAGTTATGAACCTAGGTCAATATATACCAAATAAAGGATGTTACGGTTGAAATATTAATGATAATGATTATAATAAAAAAAAATTTTTTTTGTATACCAAGAAATTTAATTTTATTATCAAATATAACAGAAGCGTGCAAGAAAAAGTAGGAATAATATAAATATTTTCTAAACTTAAGTTTTTTTTAAATTATTTATAAGGAAAATATTAAAACCTATGGTTAATTTTTATTTTCCCTGATTGTTGCATTTCAAATGTAAATTTGACTGCATTGTCTAACTATGTATAATTATAATTATTTAAATAACTATAAATTCATTGACTTGGTAATTTTAGTTGAATTTGTAATTAAGTTTCAAAATAAAACGACAGTTTTACATAAGTAAGTAATAATGACTACACAAAATACGTTTTTTATTTAAAAAGTTATTGTTTTTAAGTGGTAGGGAAAAGGTAAGTGTTTTTGCTAATCACATTTCAATCTATTTTTACCTTAAAAATTTAAGTAGATTTACTTGTAACTTTCCTGTACTTGTTTTAATGTTATAAAACAAAGTATATTGTAGAAAATGTCGAAATTAAAACTAACTTTTAGTCCCGGCGCATTCGCCATTTTTGCAAAATTTTAAAAGAGTTAGTAGAGACCGGACTTCTAGGCACTTAAAATTAAAAAATTTAAAATATGCACAAAAAGTAGGCAAGCATTTAGGTACTTTAGTTATTTTATTATTATTAATTTAGGCAAAATGCAACTTATATATTTATGAGTGAAAATTCTTGAAAATAACCACCCAAAAACTTGAAATCCTAATTATATAAGTTCTTAAAGTAGATGCATAAAAAGTATGCTATTTTTTTCAATGATTCATGAATAATTTCATTCAAACGCATTGTCTCAATATAATATAATTTTCTTAATAATGACTAGTTAAAAGTTAATAAAAATTTATTTCCGTCAATAAATAAATAAAAAGTATGCTATTTTTTTCAATGATTCATGAATAATTTCATTCAAACGCATTGTCTCAATATAATATAATTTTCTTAATAATGACTAGTTAAAAGTTAATAAAAATTTATTTCCGTCAATAAATAAATATTTTATAAAAAAAATTACAAAATAACAAGCTTCTGGTTGATCAAGAAAAATTTCAACAAATGAATTATAATAGTTATTTAGTATAAAATTCATAAAATAATTAGACATTAGTCGACGATCGCTAAAAAGTGATTTTTTGTCCCCATATAGATTAAATTTTCTAAAAATTATGGTAACACAATAAAAAGTAGTTTTTAATCGGACAAATTTTTTTTGTTGAAACAAATCCGACGCTTTAATAAAAATGGCGGTGGAAGTATTTTACATAATTTAACTTTCAGGTGAAATTTAAGCATGCAATTTTAAAAAGGCAATGTTATGTTGATAAAAATATAAGACAAAAATATTTTATTAAAAAAAATATATAAATATTAAAAATTAGTTAATATTTTGCTTATAACCATCAATGAAATTTGGTTCGCAATGAAAATTAAAGCAACATATATATACCCAAAATGTTATATTAAAGTTATAATGTATTTTATATTATTATATACATAATTATTAATAAGACATTAGAGAAGTGTATTGAAGTACATATATAGGTAGTTAGTATCCAATTTGTTTCTAATTAAAAATAGTTTTGGTCCTAATGGGTTTATTTTGCGACAGAAAACCGTATTTTAGCAATAATTTGGCACCATTGGTGACCATTTGCTAACTAAAAATAAGAAACACTTTGGGTATAAATCGGTCACACGAGCGGGCACATTTTAGCAAAAATTCGGGCTCATTTTGTGGGCAAACTGTGGACACATTTTTGTACAACTTCCGTCCCCACTTTGGCCTCATTTTTCACACTTAGTGGTCCTAAACTCGACTTTGTGTCTTTAAAATGTGTCTTGTTCAAAATCATGCTTCGACATCGATATGCTGTTTGTGTGGGGCATAATCATTGATTATTAATCAATCACTTTAGTAACGAGTGTTGATATTATATTATATTATATTTCTACATTTCAAAGTTTAAAAAATTACAATAGAAACATTACATTGCATTGACAACGATTTGTTTGCATCGTAAACCAAAAACGTCCCAGTAACCATTTTCTTTCAACGTTTTTGTACAAAACTCGTAAGATAAAAAATGAATAAAATAATTTTTTATGCACTGTTTTTCGGAATAATATTCGTAATGTTAATATTATAATAATTTTTTTGAATTTTTTCTCCCTAAATCATTAAAATATTAATATTTTTGGCATGCTTATGCATGTATACTCTAAAAATATATATAATTTAATTTATAATAATAATAATTATTATTATTATTATCATTATTGATTTCAAATTTTGGGTGGCTATTTTCAAGAACTTTTACTTATATCAAAACTAAATAAGTTAAATAAAATAGTATTATTAGGTATCAAGTTTGATAAACGCCATTTTAGACACGAATTTAAGTTATTTAAGTTATAACTATAGGACGTGCAAGCTTGCGAGCGAGTGCTTGATTAAATGAGTGTCTAGAAAAGTTTATTAACGAGTTTTTTTCTACTATTATTATCTAAAAATGGTTATAGAGCGACATCCATAAAAAATAAAGTAACTTGAGTAATAACTTGGGAATCTGTATTACCGGCGCTCCAGTCAAAATATCAAATGTGAATGTTTAAATCGAAATTTATTCGTTGATAATGGACTAACAACCGTTTAAATAATGATATTGAAGACGTTTTCACAGTGAAAGTGAAGTGAGTCCCAAAGTGTTTAATGCTTTAGTTAAATCTAGTATACTGCGCGCAAAATCAAAAGGTCAGTACAAACTTGATATAAACTTTTCATTGACGTTGAACAACTACTTGATACTTTTTATTTTTGTATTAAGGTAATAAAATAATTTCTACACGAAGGCCACTTTATTTTAACGATTGTTTGACATTTGACAACTGTCAACTAACTTAAAACTAACTTCAGCCCGTGACTAAAAGGCCATAAAGCCACAACTTGTAAAAGGTATTTAAAACATCACTTAGTGTCATGGAGACATTAGGGGTGTTTTAAAGGTAGAAGTAGAAAAAATAAATTAAAATCCGTATAATATCAATTTTGTGCTACTTTTCTCTACCATACAATTTTCTTTCGCTATGTCGGTGTGTTCCACTTAATCATGAATGTAGTTTGTATTTTAAGATGAGTTAAGAAATGCGTGCTAAAAATAGTTTTGCCATTAATTATAATTATTAATAGGTTTTTTATTACGAAATAAGATTCATATTTTTGTCACAAAAACAAAAACAAAAACAAAAACAAAAAGATTTGCACATTAAAATCTATAGATTATAAGTTACTAAAAATAAAAACACTAAAAATTGTTTACATTGATGTTACGCAAAAATAATTGCTACTTATAGTAAATTTATTATTATGAATTTTTGCTTGGTTAAATCTGAAATTATATTGTGCGTGATAGATAATGGGATAGCTTTTAGAGGGGGGAATAATTCTACACGGCCACAACCCTGTTTTTAAAGATGTCAGTCGCCCACTCATTGGAGCTTGTAATACATTTTTAAAACCCCTCGCCATATTATAAAAAAACTCTCTGGAAATTAAACTAAAAATTATTTTATTTTGTTTTGTATTTTTAGTTTCGTTTTAAGGGAATTGTTTAATGTTTTTGGGATTTCCCAACGGACAACCTAATAATATCTATGTGTACCTACATACATAATATGTATATATGTATGTATAAATATATTATATACTGTGTGGTTCTCACTTATGAAATAAAATTCGTTATTCGATGAGAAAATAGTTTTATGAAAAACCCTCAGACACGTAAACTTTAGTTTTTTATTTAAAACCTTATTACTATTATGATTTAAAATCTTAATATTATTATTTTAATTTTTGCCCCCACCATCTCCCTCACTTTCATAAAAATCTGTTTTCATCTAATAACGAATTTTCTTCTATATGTGAGAATCACACTATATATACATAAATTATGTTAAGTTTCTTTATTGGCTCATTTACCAAAAAAATTGGAAAATGCCTTGTTTTCGAATTAAAAACGTAAATGCTGTGTATTTTGTCCCAAATTTAAGTTTTTGTTCTAAGAAACTTTCTAGAATTTATCTTATAGTATCTTTAAACAAAAATGTAAGTAGATTATAGAAAACTAATTATATGCGAAGGCCATTGATTAAAACACGTGACGTTTTTCCTGTGTATAAAGTGCAACAATTAAGTTGCATTTATTAATTTATTTCTAGTAATTTATCCTATTATTATTTGTAAAAAATTTGACAACATAACTAAGTAGTATAGATAAAATACCTAATTAATTTACACAAGGTATATACAGGTTGTCCCAAAATTAGATTATCTACAAACAGTTTTTAGGGCAAAAAATAGAAAGAACACTTTATATGAATATGGGTCAGCAAACGGTATCTTATAGGGACGCTCCTAAAGATGGTTAATTATTATTATTTTTAAACGGTTTGAGATAAAATAATGTATTTTTTAATTAATCTTTCTTGTTAAATATATTTAATTGAAAAAGAAAAAAGATTTCTTTTAAATTTGTTATTTTATTTTTATTCTAAAATCGTGCATTTTATCGATGTTCAACAAGAGTACTTTTTTAAGTGAAAAACTCTAAATTTAAATATTCTGCAGCCAACTTGCACAAACAAATTGGAGTAAAAATAGGGTCCGCCCCTTTTTGATAAAATCTGTGGTGGTCTGTGAATGAAACTATAAAGATCATAAACTTGCTACGATTTCTAAAAAAATGTATGTCTTAATGAGGACTTCAATATTAACTGCTTTGGACCAAACAAAAAATCGACTACTGTCAAATCTACCAAACCTCACTTTTTACCTTATAAAAAATAGGTATACATTTAAAAAAAATTGTTTTTACAGGTTTAAAACACGTTTGAAAATATTTTAATTAGATTAAATGCAATTGCATTGCTGCAATTTTAAACAAAACTAATATAATGAAGAATTTCAATTTTTTAAATTAACCCCGGCGCATGCACCATTTTTGACAATAAATAAACTCTTTAATAAATCTAACAATGGAAAGATTGAAATTCATTGATTGTATACCTACAAAATGCAACAAAACCTCATAATTATCGTAAATTTATCAATACCAGTTCCCGTGCATACCTATAAAAAATAAATACTAGTTGTATTTATAGAATTTATACAACCGTTGATTCACTGAACGATACTTGGTTGTAAACTTTATAATCTGTGCTTGTATCATACAACTTCAAGTTCGTTGACATTTCGCTGAATCAATCGGACGAAGGTAGGCAACCCAGTCAACCCCGTCACCCACCTAACCTCACTTTCGTTTGTCAGGCAGGTGGACGTCAGTCGTTGGACGTAGAAAGCGGGAAATCCGCAGGCGACTCGAACGCGACGGGCTGCCACCGAAGAAGAGGCACCAGAACGCGACCGTTGCGCGTTCTGTTCAGACACATCGCCGTCATGTCAGCGCTACTGGCGCTCTTCGTCGGCATCGGGGCCGTGATTTGGTACTTTTTGGGATTGATGTCGCTGGTGCAGTTGATGCTGGTGGCTATCGTGGCCTATGTGGCCGCAGGCAAGTACAAATGGATCTATGTGGCTTTAAGAACTGCTCCGAGGGACCTCAAGTAAGTGCTTTTTAATCTAGGTTGCTTAAGGTTCCTTTCAACTGGTCAAGTTTAGTTTGTGTTCTGTGCTCTTGGTTTTGAGATATTGTGAAAAATACGCTATGCATACACTCAAATTCGTATTTATATTTTTATCATTGATAATGTAGCCAACTAAAAAAAACACACATTCATTCAGTTTTTTCCTTTAAAAACAGTCTATTTAAAGAAAATTCGTAGCTTCATTTATCTTATTTAATGTGTTAAAATTTCAACGCAATCCAATAGAAATTGGCCAAATGGGACTAAAAACAACCGCCTTGTGATGTAATATAACCTCAAATAATTTTTTAAAAATGTTGCAAAATGGGTCAACTAATTTGGCTCGTGGGAACGCGCCTTAAGATTGAACAGTTAGGCATTTGCGTGTCAAGTGCTGATTTTGCGTTTAAAGTTTAAACCAACAATGTATTAACATTTTTATTAAGATATACTAATTAATGCTGTGTAAATACTTGGTTAACACCTGAAAATTGTACAGTATTAAATAAATTACGCGAATTCTCTAATTCAAAAACCGTGTTTTTTAAATTAATTTAAGTTGTTCCATTTTTTCAGTCATGTCACCTAATTTTTAATTAACTTTTGTTTTAATGTATAGAAATTTTAATGAAGTAATACTTGAAACAATAGGAATAAAATGGCAAAAGGTTAATTCTAGACAATGCTAATGGGATTTATACTCAAGGCAAATCTAAATTTCCAAATTCAATCAAAGGAATTACCTGTATAACGACGCTTTTAATTAGCTAAGAATTTTGCTTTATTTGCAACTTAGACTACCCAGACTTCTTGGAAAACAAACTATTTAAAATAATAATATTTGTCTTTTAATTGCCCATACAATAAACTTAGACCTGTTTGGTCAAGGCAAGTCTGTTTTAAATTTATTATGTTTTCTTTATTATCTAATTCATTTTTTTTTACATAAGATGATCACTACATACATAATATAAATAAATATTAAATTAAACTGTGTAGTAATATTTACATAGATAAATAGGTATCGCATCAATTTAATATTTATTAAAAAATGTGTAGATTATTTATTGCTAATTGTAAGAGATAGGTATGTTGTAAAGATAAAAAATTAAATATAAATCAGGACAAAAAAGTATTTTAACAAAAATATATTTTTTATCTTAAATAAACACACAAAATAAATAATAATCAAAAACTCAGACTTAAAGAAAACGTTGACCAGTTTACAATACACAATGTTATCTAAATTAAAAATAAATAATACAAATATTGAAGGATTTTCAATCAAAATATTTGTAATTGCAATTTATGTTTTTAATTTATTGACGATATTTTGTTATGTATTTTAATATTTACACAGCCAATGGCGCACCAACTTTTAATGTGTTATTTAATTTTTTTTAAATTAAGTATGTGTTTAAACATATTTTTATCCCATTATTTTTTACAATTTTAAACAATAAAAATGTGTCGGTGGGGATTTTCAGGACACCCTGTATATTTGTTCCTAATTTAAATTATTAAAAAAACCTGTAAAACAATTGAAAATCATTTTCTACAAAAGTTAAACTTTACTTTCTACTACTTAAGTTAGCCATAAATTTCTCTTTATATAAACTGTTACAAGCAATGTTCAGAATTTTTTAAAATCAAATACCGAAACAGCATTTCAAAGTTTAATTAAATTTTGGGGCCGGTCCTACAGGGCTCCCAGCAGGTAGTTTTTTTTAAAGACTTGTCTATATTTTTGTCGTAAGTCTATAAAAGTCTATTTTTTTACCTAAAGTCTATATTTTCTGTTAAAATCAACTATCAAAGAAACATATTTTATTAAATATACATATTCACAGTTTTATAAATATCGAAACCACAGTAAACCAAGTGAAACATTCGAAAACTTTGCAGTTTACATTTAAAGTTCCCGCCGTCCAGACCCGACCCGCCCGCCAAAATTATTGCTGAATTGTTTCTGGTTTGGTCTAAGGCACAATCCGCAATGTGTGGATTGTGGTCTAAGGTTTCGTTTACGTTTAGAGTTTCGGTTCGCTAGGTCCCCCCTAAAGCAATTTTTTATATAAATGTGATTTTATTTATTATAAGTTATAATTTATTACAGAATTTAATATTTTTTTTGTTATTTATGTATTTTATAACAGTTATGGTTACTTGTTAAATTAAATTCAATAAAAATTTATAATTTCTAGTTATCTCTATGTATTTTAAACTCAAATTTATAACTTTTATCCCAAAAAAATGTATACCTCCATTTTATAGTTATTTCGGTAATTAATTTGGTCTATATTTGGTCGTTTATTTTTTATTATTAGTCTCTTAAGTCACTATTTCTCGCAACATGGACTGCTGGGAGCCCTGCGGTCCTAGTAAAAAATGTATTTTTATAAGAAATAGACCAGTTTTTGTGAAAATTTTAAACCCAACCCTTTCGACTTTTTAACAGGGCTCTGTACGGCTACATTCGCCTTTTGATACAAGTCAAAAGTCTCCACCGAAAAAACCTGAACATCGGCGAGATATTCCAGCAAAACGTGAAAAAGCACCCGCACAAACCCTGCATTTTATTCGAAGACCAGGAATGGGACTTTGCGAAAGTGGAGGAGTACAGCAATAAAGTGGCGAACGTTTTTAGAGCTCACGGTTACAAAAAAGGCGACGTCGTGGCCCTGTTTTTGGAGAACAAACCCGAATTCGTTTGTTTATGGCTGGGTCTGTCGAAAATCGGCGTGGTCACGCCCTTAATAAACACGAATCAAAGACTGAACTCGCTCGTGCATTCCATAAGCGTGGCCAAAAGCCAGGCCGTCATTTTTGGAACAGAATTATCAAATGGTAAGTAGTAAGTATACTATAGTGTATAGTGCAGGGAAAGTTCTTCCCGTTTCCTCACTAAAATGCATTTATAAAAAATTTAAAAAAAGTCTAAAACCATTTTGGAAAAAGTAAAAAAAATAGTCTTCATTACTCTCCAGCCCATAAACTATCTCTATGAAAAAATCAATTCGATCCTAGCATTTACAAAAAAGTAAAAGAAAGTCGAAAAACTTTTTCAGAAAAAGTCCAAAATTAAAAAAAAATGTCAAAAAATGTTAAAAAAAAAGAAGCCTATATTTCTCTCCGGCCCATAAACAATCTCGCATTTACAAAAAAGTGAAAGAAAGTCAAAAAACGTTTTCAGAAAAAGTCCAAAATTAAAAAAAAAGTCCAAAAATTTAAAAAAAAGCATATATTTCTCTCCGGCCTATAAACAATCTATGCAAAAAATCCCGTCGATCCTCACTCAAATGCTTTTAAAAAAAGTAAAAGTTCATAAAAAGTCAAAAATTTTAAAAAGGTAAAAAATTACAAAATGTAAAAAAAGTCAGTAGCCTCTATCCAATTTGCAATTATAAAAAAGTAAAAAGAACGTGGAAAAACTTCTTTGGAAACAGTAATAAAAGTCAAAAATTAAAAAAAATCAAGAAAAGTAAAAAATTAAAAAAAAATAAATCTTAACTATCTTTATGCAAAAAATCACATCGATCCTTACTCAATTGAATTTATAAAAAAGTAAAACAAAAAAAACCGAAAATCAATCAAAAGTCGAAAAACTTTCGGAAAATTAAAAAAGGCAAAAAAACTAAAAAAAAGGCAAAGTCACAAAGGGTAAAAAGGCAAAAATCAAAAAATGTAAAAAAGTCAAAAATGTTTTAAAAAAGTAGCCTCTATACAATTGCAATTATATCGAAGTCGAAAATCAAAAAAAAAATCAAGAAAAGTGAAAAAATTCAAAAAAAGTATCTATGCAAAAAATCACGTCATCCTTACTCAATTGCATTTATTAAAAAGTAAAACTAAAAAAAACAAAAAGCAATCAAAAGTCGAAAAACTTTTTCGGAAAATTAAAAAAGGCAAAAAAACTAAAAAAAGGCAAAGTCACAAAGGGTAAAAAGGCAAAAATCAAAAAATGTAAAAAAGTCAAAAATGTTTAAAAAAGTAGCCTCTATATAATTGCAATTATATAAAAGTCGAAAATAAAAAAAAATCAAGAAAAGTGAAAAAATTCAAAAAAAGTATCTATGCAAAAAATCACGTCATCCTTACTAAAAAAAGGCAAAGTCACAAAGGGTAAAAAGGCAAAAATCAAAAAATGTAAAAAAGTCAAAAATGTTTTAAAAAAGTAGCCTCTATACAATTGCAATTATATAAAAGTCGAAAATAAAAAAAAATCAAGAAAAGTGAAAAAATTCAAAAAAAGTATCTATGCAAAAAATCACGTCATCCTTACTCAATTGCATTTATTAAAAAGTAAAACTAAAAAAAACAAAAAGCAATCAAAAGTCGAAAAACTTTTTCGGAAAATTAAAAAAGGCAAAAAAACTAAAAAGAAAGCAGTCACAAAGGGTAAGAAAAAGTCAGCAAAAAATCACGTCGATTCTTACTCAAATGCAGTCATAAATGACTCATAAAAAAGTAAAAAGTTTAAAATATTTTTGAAAAAGAAAGTAAAAAAAAGTTAAAACAAATAAAACTATAAACTATATGCAAAAAATCTCGTCGTTCCGTTTGCTTCGTTACTCCGTGAATAAAAACAAACAAACACACTTTCCCACGAATTTTTTATTGATCTTATGAAACTTTTTTTACCCTTAAAATGTCACAACCACATTTAAATCTTAAAACTTCATAGTGTAACGCTTTTAGCTGTCAATGACGTTCTGGACAAAATCGAATCTAAGGTGGCTCTCTATCAGATAAACTGCAACGTCACGCCGACCACTGCCAATCAGAGATACCAAAACTTGGATACTTTGATCAAAGATGCCTCAGCGTCGCCCCCGCAAATCATGTACAAGGTCGGTCATCACGACCACCTAGTTTATATTTACACGTCTGGAACGACGGGGCTTCCCAAAGCTGCGGTCATTACTACTTCCAGGTAAGTTTTTTATTTTGAGAATGTCTTAAAACCCAGTCAAATTAGGAAACTATTAAAGGATGGTCATTTTAATAGTAAATTAAATAAAAATTAACTTTTGAAAGACAAATTAAAGAGTTTTTTTAATAGACATAAAACTACAATCTTTTGCGATTTCACGGTGTTGTTTTTTACATCAAATTGTTTATCAAGCTTTCCTTTATATGTACACAAAAAATTATCTTCATATAATTGCATATGGAAAAGTTATGTTGCATTCAAAAAATTAAAACCTTTTCAATTAAAATATAATTAAATAATTATAATTCAATTAAAATATAGTTAATTATACATAATAAACACTGTCAAAAAAAACCATTTATTTGTAATAAAAAAATTCTAGAATTATTCCGCAAAACGCAAAACGCAAAACCCACGTCTAAAAACGCATTAAAAAATAAACACCTTTCAATTAAAATTTAGTATGAGTAATAAGTCTCAACACAGTTAAAAAAAAGATTATTTATTGAATTTTACGCAAAAGTTATTGCAATATTTCCGCAATATTTGACGAATATTTAATATTGAAGAAAAATGATTTTACGTAAATTCATATAAAATAATTTTTTTCCTCCTTTAAATCTGTATAAAAATGGTCGCATACAAAATGTACGTAGGATTAATTATTAATCTAAAAGTAGAAGTTCAAAACCTAATTTAAATTTATTTGTGTTTAAAAATATGTAGCATACATATGGGTTATGTACGTTTAAAGAAATAAAATTGAAAACATCGATAAACATTTTAATTAACCACGTTTATTCGCGAATATCATTTTAAATTCAAACGCAAATAAAAATACTTAAATTCAAAAACCTGATCAGTTTGTACTGGTTGTAATAATTTATCGGACTTTGTCCCGCAATAGGTGGAGTATTCATTTATAAGTTGCGGACTATTTTTAATAATTAATGTTCTACTCATATTAGTACTGTTTTTTTCCAAAGTGTTAAAAAATTAACATTTGAATGTTCAAAAAAGTTAATTGGTTTAAATACTTGGATAATAATTAGGATTTTTTAAATCTAAACATGGGTTTTCAAATAATATACATTTAATGATTTCTTAGGGATTTTCTTCATTCTTCTTTTCAGGTATGTTTTTATAGCTGCCGCTATCCATTGGCTGTCGCGATTTAACTGTTACGACCGTTTTTACACGCCCCTGCCGCTTTACCACACGGCGGGCGGATGCATGACGGTGGGGCAAATGCTGATTTACGGCTCCACAATAATAATACGAAGAAAATTTTCTGCATCCATGTATTTCGCCGACTGCATCAAGTACAATGCCACGGTACGTAAAAATTATCCAATTTTTTTTTTATTTTTGGGTTACCTATCCTGAATTTTATTTTTTCATCTATGGTGAAAATTTTGTGATAAAATAATTTATTTTAAATAAAATAACGAACTTTTCGCTTGCGGCGCTGTACATATGAGGAAAGTTAGCAAACTATTTCAAACTATTTTATTCTATTTCCGCATTTCTCATTGGCCAATTTAGTATCCAAATTGGAATGTCAAATTAACAATGTCAATATCAATTTCAAAGAATAATGCGCTGATTTATATTATAAACTTTATAAACGCTGAGAATGCAGCGATAGCGGTGAGATGTCGACTAATAAAGTGTACCTACTGGCACATACACTTCTCAATTTTAGTTAAATGAACATTTTTTAAGATGTACATAATTTATCTATATTTGTAATAGTAAAACTAAATGTATTTCTTGATTATTAATAATAATTTATTATACCTACCTATACTCATTAAAATTGTTTAATTTACTAGGTACTAAAAGAACAAAGTTTTTTTATAAATTTTTTATTGTTTAAGATTCCTTGAACTTTTAATTTAATCACCATACATTTTACACTTTTTAAACAGGGTGTACCATAAAGGTTGAAAATAAATAAAATTGTGTATTTCTTGGTAAAAAGAATGTTTTTTATACTACCACACGGGAATTTGGCATTCCACCTTTTTGACCGTCGGGTTACGATACAAATTGACTTTAAAACAAAATCTGACATCCATACGGTTCTAACCTGATTTTTTCCCAATTTCAAAGGTCATTATAGTCGCCCCTCGTATACCATCATAAATCTGACAACTGTTGGGCGGTTCTAACCCCACTGTCTCTAAATTTATTTTTGATGAAAACCACAGTAAACAGTGTTTACTGTGATGAAAACAATGAACCGTCGTATAATCTTCATTTAATCATAAATACTAGGAGAAAAGTAGAATATCGTCGTATCATTGCACAGCAACCCGTGGAGGAAAAGCTCAATTTTTTCCCATAGTTCAAGACTGAGCCACTCAATTAAAAACGCCTAAGAAATGTACAAATTCTTTAATAGGATTTTAAAAAAACTATTTTTTGTTTAACTTCCTGTAACATGGATATAAAAACCTTCAGGTAATATTGTAATTTTATTTTGTTGTTATTTTGTGCTAAGTGATTCAATAAATGTATTGTAAAGATTTCTCCTTATTCTACAAAGTTCATTTAAAACAAGTTTTATGAAAAATTAATACATGAACTATTTTGTGACTTTGGCTCGTGATCGTCTTACCCAAATTTGGACCTTTACATTGTGTTTTATTAGTTTACCCCAATTTAGGTCTAAACATTTTAGTTACAGGGACAGTGTACAACTAAATTATGTTTTGGACCATAAAATAATGGAATAAAATGTTTTACATTAAACAGTAAACTGAAAAACGAAGAATATTTTGTAAAAATAGCTAAAAGAAAAGCTGTTAATATCGAGTAAAATTCGCTAATCGAAGTAGTGCAAAATAACTAATGATCAATTAACTTCTAACCTTGAAGAATACACGAACACTTGTCACAATTATTTAAACAAAACTGTACAATAAATTTCGTTTTAGCAAAAATTTATAAGAAGCGATGTGTTCGATACCATTTTTAAAAACTCTCTGCCTGTTTTCTGATTTCTGACTTCAGATTTTTAGGCAAAGTTCGAAAAACTTTACTTAAGTAAAGTTTTTCGAAAAAAGCTTTGCGAAAGAGGTAAAAAGGGATCCCTTTTTACCTCTTTCGCAAAGCTTTTTTCATTTAACACCATAATTTAGAAATTCAAAAATAAATTTGTAGAATAAATAAAACTACGTTATTTTCCTTCAAAATAAATTTGTAAACCGTATCAAAGTATGGGACCATTACAGTATTATTATTATATCTTCAAATGAAAAAATGCACTATTTCAATTTTTCCCCAACATTTAATTTTGTATTTGTGATTGAGAAGATATTCATCAATGTAAATATTATATTAAAATAAAAAATTGGCGAAAATGTCAACTATTGATAAAAATCTACTATTTTAATTTTTCCCAACATTTAATTTTGTATTGATGATTGAGAAGATATCCTATTAATCAATGTAAATATTATATTAAAATAAAAAATTGGCAAAAATGTCAACTATTGTTACCTTGGCATTTCAGGTATCGCAATACATCGGCGAAATGTGTAGGTACGTATTGGCAGTTCCGCCCAAACCCACGGACACACAGCACAAATTACGCATGATATACGGAAACGGGCTGCGGCCCCAAATATGGACGGAATTCGTCGAAAGATTTAACATTCCGAAAGTGGCGGAGTTTTACGGAGCGACGGAAGGAAACGCCAACATAGTCAACATCGATAACACAGTCGGTTCCATAGGTTTCGTGTCGAGGATCATACCGCAGGTAGTGTTGTCACTGAAAAAAAACAGTCTTGTTTTTTTAAAAAAAAAATGTTTTTTTTTGGAAAAAAACAGAGGTCCTTTTTCAAAAAAATGGTCAAAAATACTCAAATTATTATATTGAAATAAAAACATAACAAACATTCTAACAAAAAAAGGTAAACAAACTTTTTTAAAACAAATAAAATAAAAATGAAGTAAATTCCTTAAAAAATATATAAACATTATTATAATAATTAATCTGATTGAGATTCAAAGTCAAGCTCGGACGATGTGTCATGTAAACTAAATGATGAATCGTCCGAGCTTGAGCTTTCTTTCTCATCAGATTTGTAAGCATCTATAGATTTACAATTAGAATTTGTCATGTTGAACATTAGTTCAAGTGATTGAAGTGTACATATGTTAAAAAATTGCGTCCAATAGGTACCTAATGAATTTTTAATCCATTTTTTAGTTAACAAATTTGTTTTTGCATCAAAATATATTTAGTGACAGGATTTTCGAAATGTCACTGCTGAGGAAAGAATTTTTGGCACATTCTGTCACTAGAAGAATATTAAATACTAATTATAGTTTCTTACTTACCATTAGTAATATTCTTAAACAAATTGTTTAACGTTGTTGGCTTTCGCCCTGAGCCTTCTCTTTTCGGCATTTCTACCAACTATGCATCAACCTATAAAGCCGCAGGTCTTAACTCTTCTATTATAATACCGTATAGACTATACGATATGCTGAGTCAGCATTGCCGACAGCGAGGCGCCCTTTTACCATACGTGGGTGGCGTCGGGCATCATGGCGCGCAGTGCAGGAATCTCACACTTTCTGCCCGTGTAGTGTATACTATTTTTCTTACTACCTCGGCCGAAAATACAACCCGGCCGAAAATACTGGAAAAAATTAAATGTGCATTTATGTACCTATCTCCATTTGAAGAGCTTGATAAATAAATAACAGTAGGCCGTGAATTCAGCGGTGCCAATACAGTAAAAATAAAAGGTTGTATTTTAATTAACAAATTACTACTTTATAACAAATAAAAGTACCATTAAACACTTAAAACAACATAAAAAGTAAAAAAGTAAAAACATAAATTGTTTATTTGTTGTTATAATTGCAAAATTATGGTTTAAAACTGTCATATTTTTGTGTTTCTCATGTTGGCAGTACGAAATTTGAATGTTAAGCACGCGACTAAAAAATTTTTACTCCCGCTATTAGAGTGTGCGCGTATAGCTTGACCAATGCATAAAACGTAAACTTTCTGCCGTGGAATCGGGGACGAAACAACGTATTTTGAGTCGAGGTAGTAAGAAAACGTTATTTTTACAACACTAACCGCAGGTGTATCCGATTTCCATCATCAAAGTGGATCAGAACACGGGGGAGCCCGTCAGGGACGCCAAAGGGCTGTGCATGCTGTGCAAACCCGACGAACCGGGCGTCTTCATCGGCAAAATAGTGCCCGGCAACCCGTCGAGGGCCTTCCTGGGCTACGTGGACGAAGAAGCGTCGAAGAAGAAGATCGTGCGCGACGTGTTCCAAAAGGGCGACCAAGCCTTCCTGTCGGGCGACATCCTGGTCGCCGACGAGTTCGGTTACCTCTTCTTCAAGGACAGAACCGGCGACACCTTCCGGTGGAAAGGCGAGAACGTCTCCACCTCGGAGGTGGAAGCCGTCCTTAGCAATATAGTTAGCTACAAGGACGTGGTCGTTTATGGGGTCGAAATTCGCGGTCAGGAGGGCCGTGCCGGCATGGCGGCCATCTTGGACCCCGAGGGTTCCGTGGATTTGAAGCAACTGGCCGAAGGGGTCAAGAGGGCGCTGCCATCCTATGCAAGGCCCATTTTCATCAGAATATTACAGAAATTAGACATGACAGGTAAAAGAAAATTCTTATTTTGTTTTGTACATATTTTCACTCAGTTTTCAAATACCGACTTTCAAATGTTCTACTGAAGTATATACAGCCCGTTCAGAGTAAAACCAAATATAGGAAAACGTTTTGGGCGTGGCCTCGCCTCCCTCCAACGCGCGACACAGTAGCTAAGCAAATAGCCTGCATCGCTAATGAGATTTTTTGCATTATTATCATTTAACTTTTAAGGTCGTCTTACCTGTTCGACCTTTCGTCATGTCGTTTATCACACAAGCTACTGTGACGTGCGTTGGAGGGAGGCGAGGCCACGCCCAAAACGTTTCCCTATATTCGGTTTTACTCTGAACGGGCTGTATATTAGGGTGATTTGTTTAAAAGTCACATTTATTTTTGTCACTCCCCAAGAAAAAATATTAGTTTACGTATTGAGAAAAAAATGCCCTTAAAGTTTCCCAAGAGCTTTTATTTTAATTTTAAAATTTTCCCATTGAAATAACATAGGAAATTAATATTTTTTCAATTTTCTATAGCTAAAACTCACAACGCCCTCTATATGCTAGAATCCAAAACATTTTTTCTTTAATTTTTGCGTCATATAACTTTTTATAATAAAAAACAAAAACAATTATATAAAAGTATACTAATTTTTTGAAGAACTGTTATTTTTTTGGGAACTAGAATTTTCCCAAGAAAAAATATTAATGTATGGTGATTTGTTTTAAAGATACATTTATTTTTGTCACGAAAAAAATGCCCTTAAATTTTCCCAAGTGCTTTTATTTTGATTTTAAAGTTTTCCTATTGAAATAACGTACGAAATTAAGGATATTTTTTCAATTTTCCATAGCTATAACTCAAAGCGCCCTCTACAGGGTGTCCCAGAATATGTGGGTAATCTTCCGGATTTAGATATAACACATAAAAATAATATGAAAAGTTCTTATATATTTTTTTTCCAACGGCCCCCCCCCACGGAGACCGGCCCATAACGGTCGCCCCTGGAAAGAAAAAAAAAGGATCGAAAATTTTAACACTCTATTTTCAACTGACACTGGCATCATTATTTAAATCGGTAAATGTCAAAAAAAAAATTGCAAAACAAATAAAAATTAATGTAAAAAACCCTATAGTACAAAAACATATTACAGGGTGTTAAAAAACAGCATTACTCTGTTAGAGCTAGTCCGTCCCTGGCAAACTAAATAAGCCAAATGTGATTAAAAGTCCTCATTTTAAGAAAACTTTCCTAGTAAACAATATACATATTTAAAAATTATTCAATTCCACCTTGCAGTTCAAAAGTTATTTAAAAAAAAACTATTTCCAGGGGCGTTCGTTATGGGCCAGTATATTCGTAGGGGGGCCGTAGGAAAAAAAATAGGAACTGTCATATTATTTTTATTTGTTATATCTAAATCCGGGAGATTCCCACATATTTTGGAACACCCTGTATATGCTAGAATCCTAAACATTTTTTCTTTAATTTTTTCTTCCTATAACTAACTGTTTTTATAATAAAAAACTCAAAGAAGTTTACCCTTCATTTAAGAACAAACAATTAAAAAAAGTACACAAATTTTTGAAGAACTGTTATTTTGTGGGGAACTAGAATTTCCTCAAGAAAAAATATGTACAAATTTAGAAAAAATGCCCTTACAGTTTTCCAAAGGCCCTATTTTGATTTTAAAGTTTTCCCATTGAAATAAAATAGGAAATTTTTTTAATTTTCTATAGCTAGAATCTAAAACATTTTTTTGTAAAAAAAGTTTACTCAACATTTAAGAACAAACAATTAAAAAAAAAGTACACTAATTTTTTAAAGAACTGTGTTATTTTGTTGGGAACTAGAATTTTAATGTTGTAATTATTTCTTAGGTACATACAAACTAAAGAAAAACGATCTACAAAAAGAGAGCTTTAACCCGGGGACGATCTCGGACAAGATCTCCTACCTAGACAACACCGGAAGTTACTCGCCAGTCACGCCGGAAGTGTACGATAAAATCAACAGTGGACTAATTAGGGTTTAGTTTGTAAGAGTTTCGGGGTTTCCGTGTATTTCTCACTGTGATTTCAACCTCGAATGACTGAACGAAATACTGAACAAAGCAACTTTTGGGTCGGACTCAAAAAACCAGTCACATGATTTATGTGCGGAAAAATTTGAATGTTTTTTTGCGAGTCAAAAATCTCATTTTAATTTTTTTAAACGTGACTGGATTAATAAGTAATAATAATTGTATAGTGTATTTTTTCACGACATATTTTTATATTTGTAAGCCAATTTTTAGATCTTGTTTATATTATTGTGGTTTTGTTTGTATATCATGATTGTTAATAAATATATTTATTTAATTAAAACATTAAAATCGAGTCAACATTATTTATTTTTTACAAAATATGCTTTTTTGTAATTAACAATTATATTGTTTAAATAGTAACAATTATTTCCATGACTTTCAAAAATATATCCTGTTCACAAAAAAATTAAACTTGCAGTTGTTGAAGTTCTTTTATTAGATCAGCTTCACCTTTTAATTTAGCCAGTTGATTTACTTCCAGTGGTTTTCCTTGGGATTGTTGTTCTTTTAGTTTTTCAATTGCGTCCAATTTCTAAAACACAAAATATAATTATTTTGTATACAACTTTTGTAAACGTCAGTTTTACTGAAAATATTTGTTTTACATACCTTCTTAATATTCTTAAGTTTCTTATCTAATTCAGGGTCGCCAGTTAAGTTCACTTGAACGTTCGATTTCACCCCAGGACCAATCGGTTCACTTTCATCTTTTTGGGCTTTTTTAGCCTCCCTCCTCTTTTTCTGTTTTAGAGAAGCTTTTGATAAATTACCATCTTGCCCTAAACAAAAAAAACCCAAATTATGATACCCAAACTATAGTCCAGTTTGTCATATTTTTTAATATTTTTAAAAATAGTCTCGTAACTATGACGCGTCAGTGCATTATATGCAATAGACCAAGCCGTATATTTTTGTAGTCTTTTTACAAGAAATAATCTTGCATTATCAAAAACTCATGTAGGTCTCGTGTGTGACGCGTTGTGCGTCATTTAACAAGGTCCTTGCATATTTTTTGTTGTTTTTAGTATTAACTATTATAATGCTAAATAGGTCTAACTTAAGTGTGACGAGTTGGTGCGTCATGCTATAGTCCAGTCTGGCATATTTTTGCATCTTGATAGTGTTTTAAACTTTGAAAGTATGACGCGCCAATCCGTCATTTGCAATAACCTATCCCCGTTATATTTTTTGTCATTTTTTTTATGAGACAATCTTGAATTGGATATTTTTGCACCATGATATAGTTAATGACGCGCCAATTCGTCATTTGCTATGGCCTGGCCCCTGTATATTTTTTGTATGAGACAATTTTTGATTTTCATAAACCATCTTGTAGGTCAAATTTGTGTGTGACGCGTTAGTGCGCCGCGTTGAGCACGCCGCGTTAGTGCGTCACGTTAATCACGGTGCGTTAGTGCGTCACGTTAAGCATGACGCGTAAACGCGTCACGTATGACGCATATGTGCGTCACAGCAATTATTGTACTTACCCGGCTTGTGTGGTGCCTCCTCGTCATCGTGCAGCTTAAAGTTGACGGCGGGCTTATTCCGCGCAGATGGCGGCCTGTACGCCTGAGTGGAGGCGACGGGCGCGCTGGGCTCGATACCTTCAACTTTTTTGCCGCTGATGACGGGATCTTTGAAGGTATTTTTCGGGTGGTTCTTCCAAGCGACGTCGTAGAGCTCCTCGCCGGAAACCCAGGGCTTCTCGAACAGCAGCGAGCCGCTGTAATGCCATATTTTGTAACCGTTGCTGATGCGCAAGCGCGGTGCCGTCGTGGCTGTCATGAATTGCTCGCCGTTTGGCGCCCATTGCAGCAGAGTGGTGTCGGAGGCTATGCAGGAGCCCACTTTTTTTCTATTGGCGGCGTCCCATACTTCCACCATGCCTTGCAGGTTACCAAAACCGCCCAGGAGTAAAAGGTTACCCTGTGGGTTATAATATACACAGTTTTTGGCTCCCGTACCCAACTCAAAGACCGGTTCGCTTTTTAGGTTGAAAATCGTTGCTTTAGCAGGCGTAAAACCGTATACGACGCAGAATTCTTGATTTTTCGGAGACCATTCCACACTATAAATCGGGCCTTCCTTACTTAACGTGATTAAGTTTGTTTGCCCGTTTACGCCCATAAAATGCAAGCCTTGTTTGCCATAGTACGATCCGCCAGTTTTATCGACCTCTGTACTGGTCAAAAGCAACGCATTGTTGCCCTTTGAATTCCATTTAACATCCAACTTATCTGCTTGGAAAAAACTTTTATTGGCTATCGCTTGTGGGCTGTCAAAGTTGGGGTATTTAAATAATCTGCCAAAAGATGGTTGTCCAGGAGTGCCTGGTGTATGGCAAATAAGAAAATATGTCCCTACATTCGGGGATAATCCATAGGAAAGTACTTTATGACAGTTCACACGAGCCACAATTTTATCAAAATTAAGGTTCTCATAGAACACAATGTCAGTGTTCTGCATCTTGCTGAACAGTTCTTCATCTGAGCTCCATTGAGGCTTCCTAAATGTATAAATTATATAGTAATAAAATGGTTATTTTTTCCACACATTAGACATTTAAAATTAAATACAAAAGCAATAGTTTAGGTAAGTTTGACTACAATATGTAGAGGTGCTCAAAGTGTGGCAATTTTTCTTAAAGAAAATTCTGTAATCTAAATTTACATTTAAATCAAAATAACTCACCAGTTAGTTTGTTTTTTGTGAGTAAAACTTTTAATTAACTCTCCAGTTGCAGTTTTGTAAATATGTAAATTTGGACTTCCTTGGGGGTTTGCATTGCTTACAGTAAAAGGCTCCCAACTCATTAAAAATGTACCTAATGGCGAAAAAGCCAAATCATAAGCTTTAGTATTTTCAATTGTTGCAATTGTTTTCCAGTTATCAGTGTTCATTATATTTATCCTAAAATATTGAATTAGTATTCTGTATTGTGTTTAGATGTGATTAATTACTGTGGTCCGTTGGTAAAAGCAAAATATTTCCCTTCGCTGCTAAACAAAATAATTCTGCATGATTTGCTGTTAACTTTCGGGACATTTTCGATTTCCTTGAATTCTGGCGGTCCTCGGGCGAAATAAACTCCCGAAGAACTTCGAGCTAAAATTAATTACCATCATTTAAAATATAAGTTTGATATCAACATTTTTATACCTGTCAATTCTAGTGGTGTTGTCATTTTAGGTTAGGTGTTCCAGAACACGTGTTCGGCAAAAAAGGCAATAATATTAAAGTTTAAAACTTGTAATACATAAAAATATGATGTAAATAAACAGCAAACCCGCTGGGAGAGTCCAAAAAATTATAAATAAGTTGGATTTATCTCTGTTATATGGCCCGCCATCTGGAAATTATGACAGAAGTTCTGACAGATGACATTTGAACTACTTCAGTCCAAAATAAGCCGAATACGAGGGGTGGACAAAATTATCATCCTAAAAGTATAAATTGTAGGAAAACGATCCAAAGTAGCACTTGGTGTGCTGTTTTGCGTAAAATATTGAATTTTTATTTATACTGTATAAAGAACAATACGTATAGAGGACTATTTTAAAAATTATACCAAGTTGAAGACAAGGAATAAATTTATAAAAATATTACAAATTGTGTTTAAAATAAAATCATTTTAAAATTAATTTTTTTGACATTTAACAATGCCTATTTTTCCCCTTGATTTCTACTTATTGTAGTTGCACGGAAATAATAAATAATATAAATTACAAGTGGTATAAAATGGCTTTGATTAGGAATATTTGCTTTTAAATTACTCTAAATTAAAATTACAGATATTTAATTGATTGGATTCCAAGACCAGCTTTTTCGCCTTTAAGAAGAAAGGAGATGGCAGAAGAATACAGAAAACATCTTAACTATGTAATTGAAATGTAACAAAATTTAATGAAGAAATTAAAATTTATATTTTAAAACAAAATATTCTGTAATTATGTCAAAAAATTTCCGATTTAATTCGCCATTGGTTATCTAATCAAGCCAAAAAAATTCCACAAAAATTAATGTGTTGCCATGGTATACCAGGTCACATGACCTGTCCCATTTTGATTGGTTAAAAAGTACTGGTGTGGGAATACTTTATTAGAGTATTTTTTAATTTTTGAAAATGTTTTTGGGGTTTAGAAATAAAAAAGCAAATTAATCGAAATGATTTATTGTTTTTTCTTTATACTGAGAGCCAATGTATAATTCAAGTAGGTAATACAATTTCGCATTTTACTGTTATTTTTTCGGTTCAAAATTTCTTCGCAAAAATTTAACACAATTTGGGCGAATCATTTATTGTCTAAAACAACACAAGTACATGTCAAGTCAATTGAGCAGTAGTCACACAGAATAAAACTAGTCAAAACAGGTGGTATAAAAATAAATCTATTCTTAATTAGTAATGCTTATTACATTACATAAAACAATAAAAAATATACACAATAGGTCTTTTGTTCATTTTTACACCGTCTCTAAAAATTGTGTATACTTACATATTTATATAAAATAGAATAATCGTAAAATATAGTAAATATGCTGGGGAATCGAGACAACATAATAAAACATGCTAAAATTGTCGATAAAAATTAAAAAAAAAACATATAATCGGTGTTACAGATTTTCCGTTTTGATGGCGGGCGTTTTGGCCACCTCGAAAAAGATTTTGTGAGAGTATTTGTTGCGAACGGTCATCGTTTTTTTCGATATTGGTTTGTTCAGTCCAGAGTTTAACAATTGCACTGTACTCCGTATGTCTTCGTATTTGTACCCTAAAATAGCGTTTTATACAGAAATATCCTTTACTTAAATAAAAATAAAAGGTCAAAAATGCAGAAAAAAATAAGAAAAATAGAAAAAATAATCCTTGTCAAGTATAGAATTAGAAAACTACAAAAAATTGCAATGAAATAAAATAAAATTCTTGTTTTTTTAATAATTAATAAAAAAGAATATAAAATAACAGTGTATTTAAAAAAAACCAATTACACATTTTTCAGAAAATGTCATTCTTGATAAACCTCAAGAGTATGTGAGAGTGCATCATTTGCAATTTTGATTTTCCTAAAAATTTTGGACTGATTTTTTTAAATAAAAATCATGTTTGGTCAGTTTTTGTTTATTTTTCACTAAAAAGAAATCGTTTCTATTGACATGTTCAAAGCTTTTACTTTTTAATTTATTGCCAAAAATACATTTTTCATCGCCGTTTTATTTATTTTTGTACTTTTATTTCGTAATTTTAATAAAATCCGTAAAAATTTTCAAGATTACTACCAACCGTGATAACAACATTCATTAGTTGGAAAGAAAATGACAAATTAACAAAAACTGACCAAACATGTTTTTTATTAAAAAAAGTCGGTGCAAATTTTTTGAAAAATCAAAATTGTAAATTAACCATAGAAAATAAAAATGATGTGTCGGATATTCTGAGGGTTTGAAATCAACCAAAAACTTTTATCAAGAACGAAATTTTCTGTAAATGTAAAATATTATATTTAGCCTCTCTGTAACCCCATACTCTCTGTAACCCCATACTCAAAATAAAATCCTCTTAATTTTTTTTTGTTTGAAAAAATTAATAAAAAACAGTTTAAATTGCTTATAGCGCCCCCAGGAGGCATTTTCGGACATCTGTTTATAACTTTTTATTTTATTTTTACTTGTAGAATCACACCCTGTATAAAGAAACTTGGAAATTCTTTATTTGTAATATTTAACATAAAATAATATGAATTTAAAAATCTTGTACACCAATTTATTTTCAGTAAATATGTAAAAAATGCAAATGCTGAAAATTATAAAAGAATTTGTTTAAAAAATATATTTATTTTTATAAAGGTTAATTAAAAATTGTATAGGTAAGTGAAAAAAATTTATAAATTTAGATAAATTTTTCTAAAAATGTTAAAAATATTAAAAAAGCTCTAAATTGAAAAAATGCTATAAATCAACAGTTAAAAAGTTGTTAAAAATTAAATATTTATAAAAAACGACCATGTTGTAAAAACTATTAAGAAAAGAAAAAACTCCGTTAAAAGGTACTAACTACCACTCAAGATTTTTTACCTGTGTAAAATTCTAGGGCAGCACTCCAACCGCCAATATTCTTCATCCTAAGCGCCAAAAATAGAGACGCCGAAGCCAACAAAGAATCTCTAACAGTTACAGTTTCGTAATCCATTAAAGATAGTTCCAAAATATATCTTGCCAACGTCAGTACCGGCATCGTCACTTTAGTCACCTAAAAAAAATAAGAAAAACCTCAAAATATTCCCTTAAAGTGTTGTTTGTGGTTATTTTTGATATAATGTATATTATATCATATATGTATGTAGAATCTCAGTGGGTGTTCTATAGTTTTGTATGTCATTGAAATATGTTTTGGATTCTCGAATATAGAGGGCAGTGTAGGATATTACAGTCAAACTTTGATAAATTGAACCATATGACTTGCTACAAAAAACTTTGAGTTATCAAGACTTCGAGTTATCGACTGTTATCTTTGAACCCTTCAACAGGGCCTCTGGTAGAAGTTATAGAGTTCCTAGGTACTAGAAGATGAACGTGCAATATAAAAAAAGATGTTGAAATTAAATAATTATAAAATTTAAAAGTGTAAAATTTGTTATTTTTTATTATGATTGGACAAGTGTGTAAAAATTTAAAAAAAATAATTTTTGAAAATCTAGAAAATTGGAATGGATGTAATAAATTGTATGAAACAAAATCGTAAAAATGTCAAGAATTTGAAATATCTTTTAGTAAAAATATCCGAAATATGCGGATTTTTAAAAAACTTTAAAACCTGAATTCCAATAATGAAAATTCTAAAAACTGCACAAAAATTATTTTTAAAGTTTAAAAATAGTAAAAGTTCTATTTATTTCAACAGCAAAAATTAAAAACAGTAAATGGTGTTAAATATTTAAAATTTAAAAATTGATGCTAAAAATCTAAAATAAAATACAAACCTATAAAGCGTTAAAAAAAGCCAACCCATAAAACAAAAACTCAAAAAAATATCTTTTTTAAATTTTAGGTCTTGCCAAAAATGAAAAAAGTAATAACAAAATTTTTAGTAAAAAAATTGAATTTTGGTAAAAAAGGTAAAAAGTCATATTAAAAAATGTTAAACATTAAATAAAATTAAAAAAAATCTCCATGTTAAAAAAGTTTTTAAAATTTAAAAAAAAGTTGTTCCAAAGGGTATTTTATTTTAGGCCCCATACTCCTTTTGATGTAAATTAATGACCTATCAACCATCAGTGTGCTGTTTACAATCTTGCGGATTATTGCTATTAGCTTTGAAACTTTAAAGACTAAGAATTTGAAGAAAACTTTCTGAAAATTTAAAAAACCACAAAAATGTGAAAAAATTAAAAAACCTTAAACATTGCAAAAAAATTACAACACTAATATAAAAAACTTGTTTGAATTGGAAATTTAAAACAAAATAAAATTATTAGGAATGCTTAAAGTAAGAAAATACTTTTGTTTGTGAAAATGATAAAAATTGAAATGCAAATGCTGAAAAACCTAAAAACAACAACAAAATTGTAACAAAAATCTCAAATTATTAAAAAAAAAAAGAAAAATATAAAAATTCTGAAAAATCACAAAAATGTTTAAAAAAGAAAACTTTCTAAAAAATAACAAAAATCTTTAAAATGTAGTAGATGCAATGATAAAATATTAATATTTAAAACCAGTGTTCCACAGGGTTCAATTTTGATGATCTACCAAGAGTGAAAAACTTCAAACTTCATTTACTATAAATAGTAAATTAAAAAAAAGTATTAAAATAGGTTAAAAATTTAAAAATTTGATTTTTTTTTGGATATTTGAAAAACAAAGTCGTTCCACAGGGTTTCATTTTGGGCCCCATACTCTTTTTGATGTAAATTAATGACCTACCAACTTTCAGTGTACTTTTTACCATTTTGCAGATTATTGCTATTAGCTTTTATACTTTGAGACTGAAAATTAGAAGCAAACTTCTAAAAATGCTGAAAATTCTAAAAACACAAAAATGTAAAAAAATCTAAATACAAATACTAAAATTCCTAAAACCCATAACAAAAATTTTAATGCTGAAAAATCTCAAAAATGTTGAAAGAAACAAACATTCTAAATAACAACAAAAATCTTTAAAATGTGTCAGATTAAATGAAAAGGCCTTAAACTGTTAAAATTGAAAATCAGTGTTTCATAGGGTTCTATTTTGAGCCCAATATTCTTTTTGCGAATTATTGCATAAGCTGAGTTTATCCTGACTTTTCCTGATCAACCAGGGTCATTTTAAAGCAAAAAATTAAGTACCCCTCATTTTCTCCCTGACTTTCCAGGTGACCCTCGATTTCACCGACTATCCCTGTAATCCTGTAAGAGAATTCGAGGCAAACTTTTCTCAGACTCACCCTGGCGTATCTCCTCAAGAACCTGTAGCTGATCGGGATGCCCAAGTCGAACCCGCACACCTTCAAGATGTTGATCTCCATCCGGATCAGCTCCCTCCTGGCGTAGGCGCCGTCGCAGATGTAGAGGAAATCGTCGATCATGGGCGGCATGCGTTCGTCGTACTTGGAGGCGATGAACATGGACGCTGCGCCGACCAGTTGCAGCGTGTCCTTGCCCACCGTCATCTTGCTCAAGTACGAGTCGACCAGCTTCACGCCCAAGTAGAGCGTTTCGTGGTTGAGCTCGAAGCTCTCCTGGATCTCCACCATCCAGTCGACGAGGAGGGCGCGCATGTTGCGCGTCAGGCAGATCTGACGGTCCATGTAGTCGGGTACCGAAAAGTGAGCCTGCAATCCGCGTAAAAAATGTCAAACAAGACCTTTTTAGGCAACGATTTTTGAAATTTTAATGGCCTTATGCAGGAAACTTTTTAAACTTAAAAAAATTAAATAAGTTCATAGTACAGTTGTATTCATTAAAAAAGCGTACAAGAATTAGAATGAGAGAAATCTGTCAACATTATTGCGTAAAACCGGCTTTCCACTGACTTAAGTCACTATAACTGACAGTAGAAAATAAAAATGCCTCGTCAGTTAAAAAGGCTCAAATAGTATCAAGAATCGAAGAAGAATGGTCAATTCGTACCGTGGTATAATAGAAATAAAAAATCTATATTAAAAATTATGCAACGCTGGGAACAGGAAGATTTACTAAACCAAAAAGTTGGTTCAGGTCGTCCCAAAATGTTCACCCCTGAACAGGATGCTGCTTTTTTGGGATATCTGAGGATTTATGGGAAACTATACAACTATACTATACCTACTATACTGCTGGGAGGATATTAATCCAAATATTTTATTAAATTTAATTCAGTTTATCCCAAATAGATTGGCTTAAGTAATAAAAAAACACGGATGCATGACTAAATATTAAATTTTTTTAATCTTTGTTTTTTTTTCATTTCTAAAAGGTAATAATTTTTGTAATATTATTTAATTAACTTACGACGTCAATGCTCTTTATAACCTATAGTAATTATTTTAATGACTTATGTCAGTGATAAGCCGGTTTTAAGCAATAATATTATTTTGACACGTTTTCTCTCATTCTAATTCTTGTACGCTTTTTTATTGAATACAACTGTACATTGTGGATTTTATTGTAAAAATCGTAAAAATATCAAATATGGATGCGTTAAACATCATTGTTCAAAATCAGAAAAAATGAGGAATTTCAGTAAAAATGTCCAAAACATGCAATTTTGTTGGAACCTAAAAAATTATTAGAAACTATTATATAATATGCAATGGCTGAAAATTCTAAAAACCATGGAATAGTACATTCTGTAACAAGTTTGGAATACAGCATATTCTGCTCGAGGAAAAATTTGACACACGAGCCGAAGGCGAGTGTGACGGTTTTACGAGAGTGGAATATGCTATTCCAAACGTGTTTCAGACATTATTTTCTCTACGACTACGTAAGAATAGTAACGCTTGTATAATTTTAAACAGAGAAAAGAAACCAAGCAGTTTTTGACATTTAAGTTTTTTGTATTGTCAAACCATTTTGTGCCGTCACAATTTTAAAATGTAAATTATAATAAATTTAAACAAATGGTATGCCTAAATCTTTATTATAATTAAAAATAGTTATTTACACTAACTAATAAAAAAATAACATTGTAACAAATACAAAACTAATTTTACAAGTAATCTATTCTTTTTCTACATTTTAAAGGTCTTTTTTTAAACTTTTTGAATCTGTCAAAACTTCAAAGCCGGTATAGTAGGTAACTTGTTTATCATTTTAATATTAAATTTTTTATAATTTTGATTTGTATATTTGAAAAACAATAAATATAACTAATTTTTTGTGCCTAAACCTTAATTATACAACTGCTATTATTTTTTAATTAATAAATAATACAGTAATATTTAAATATTTTTAAATTTTTTACGTTTAGTAAACAGCCAGGACATGTCGTTACTTGTGACCATTCTTAAACAAGAGTAGGAATATTCTCGCACAGTATTGCAGAAAAACATCCTTTCTATGATCAAAAATTACACTAGAATGTTACTATTCTTAAGTAGTCATAGAGAAAATGCATTTTTGAAGTTTAAAATATATATAATAGTATATTCTGTAACAAGTTTGGAATACAGCATATTCCGCTCGAGTGAAGAGTTTGTCACACGGGCCGAAGGCGAGTTTGACGGTTTCACGAGAGCGGAATATGCAATTCCAAACGTGTTACTTTTTCTACGTTTGAAAAAAATACCATAGAAATATAATTTAATTTAAAGAAAGTGAGGTTGGATCGGTCTAAAATTTGTTTGATATTAAAAACAGAGATGTCGCCACGAGTGTTTATTCTGTCATCAGATGATAGAATATTTCATTCTGTAACACTTTACGGAATATATGTCATTCCATAGATAAAAGTGATATTAGAACGCTCAAATTCCGTAATAGGAAGGGAAAAAAAATTTAAACCAATTTCTTTTAGTTCAATGTCCAAAATGGCAGATTTTTAAAAGTTGACATGAAAAAATTATGGGAACCTAAAGCTTTTTTAAATTTTGTATGTCATTGGAGTAAGTTTTGGATTCTCAAATATACATGTTGTAGGATAGTACAAAATGTGGAAATTTGTATTTAAAAAAAGTCGAAAATCAGATAAAATAAGTCTTTAAGAGTTTAAAAATCGTAAAAATAGTAAATGTTCTATGGAAGTATGGATTCTAGAATATAGATGGCTTTTATATGTCTTGTCACAGTCTTCTCTGACAGACAATTTAAAATATTAAATATTTGTTTTTAAATGCTAATGTTAAAAATAACAAAGCTGTTAAAAATTCCAAAAATGTTGTGAATGTAACTAAAATAAACAATATTAAAAATGCTAAAATAAGAAGTCAATCAAATGTTAAAAATACTGAAATATTATAAAATTCTTTGCTAAAATTTAAAAACCAATGTTAAAAATGTTGTTTTAGTGAAAATGTCCAAAATATACAGATTTTTAAAAGTTCGAATGTAAATGCAATTGATGAAAATCCTAAAAACCTTAAAAGATGCATTTTTAAAGTTTAAAAATCGTTAGTTGTATTTATTTCAAAATTCTTCAAAATAAAAAAGTTTGTATGTCACCGGAGTGTTTTGGAAAAATCTATAAAATTAAAAAAAAATACCTAATAAATATTATGATTTTTAATTATGTACAGAATAAGCATTAAAATTAGTAGAAATATAAAATATTTGATAATTTTAAAAGGGACTTGTTAAAAATGTTGAAAATCAGAAGAAAAAACATTAACAATTTCATTTTGTTTTATAAACCAATTCCTCTTAGTAAAAATGTCCAAAATGTGCAGATTTTTTAAAATATTAATGTTAAAAAATATGAAATTAAATAAATAAATAAATAAAAAAGTAGTTTTATTTATTTTAAAAAATCCTTAAAATCGCCTTAAAAAAATAAATGCTTTTTTTTAATTTAATGTTTTTAAGAATATTCAAATTTTTAATAAATAATAACAAAAATGTTGTGAATGTAAAAATCTTAAATAAAAACTAAAAATAATATAATTTTTTAGTAAACATAATAATAATAATAGCGAAAAGTATAAAAAATTAAAAATATGTTAAACTACTTTTACTAGATTAAAAATTTTCCCAGAAAAATTGAAAAGAAAAACATTGGACACTTTGGGAAACATGTATCTTTTGTTATAAACTAGAAAAGAAAGTTTGGCAAATCTCCCCGCACTTCGGTAAATCAATAAAATACCTAGTTATTGTTTTTTTAAATCTCTAGCTACAACCCAAAGGAGAAAAAAACTCCCATATTTCCCCCAACTTACTTCTCTCTCCTTGTAGTAATTGAAAATGTCCATCGCATAGTGCGACACCTGGAAGATGTCGTTCCAGTACTCCTTGTCGTAGTCCTCGACGTTGTCGGGAACCTCGTGGTGGCCCAGGTTAAGCTTCGCCTCGATCTCGCGCGCCACCAGCGACACGTTGTTGCCCGGAGTCGCCGGAGTCCCCGCCGTCGATTTGCACTCCGGATCGGCGCCGGACTTCGATCTGGATCTTTTTGCACTGAAGTAGGTGGAATCGTTACTACTGCTCGTGCGCAGAAAAATATGCGAAGAAATGAACATGAAATAGAAGCAAACCGGAAAAAGCGAGATGAGTTTGTGTTTACGCATTAGGTTGTTGAAAATACGTATCTTTTTTATAACTAGAGTTGCAAATAATGCATTATTTTTCTAATGCATTAATACGGTTTCAAAGCTCATTATTAAAATAGTGAAAATCAAATTAATTTTCATTACATTGTTTTCAATGAGTAATTTGAGATTTTCAATTAATTTTTTTTATGTAAATGAGTACACATTTTTTATTTTTAATGAAAAATGAAAGAGTATCAAATTACTCATTTTTGGTGGGCAAGGAAGGATATTTTTATTGAATGACACATTCTTTCATTTTTTGCATGGTTTGCAATAGATGAACTTTGTGAGCGGAAATAATTTATTATTTAAAAGTAATCGATTTCATTCGGGTATTTCCATTGTAACGGGTGCGACACTGACACTGCGTTTTTTTATGATAATATAGTGTTTGTTCATATTCATACATATATAAAGATACGTTAATATACAAAAAAAGTATAAAAAATTAGATATTTAACTCAAACAAAATATAAATAAAAACTTGTATGGAAAACCTTTTATAACGTCTTGAATCGCGTAACGGGCGCGATCTTAGAAAATCGCCAAATGCGACCAAGTTGGGTTGTTCCGTGTTTATTCTTAATGTTAGCTTCTTAGCATCACAATGTACGAATATTTTGAGGTCATTACGTCGCAATTAAACTATTTGACTTCAAATATAGTTTTTATTTTGTTATATATATATGTTACGGCTAATGTGCAAACTTGGATAGTTTATAAACTAGCTGGATAGTTTATAAACTAGCCAAACTGTCAGCTATTTTAATTGAAAACATATTTTCAACTAAATTAGCGGCTAGTTTAAAAAATAACCAAGCATCTTGGCTAATTTACTTGAAATTATTAGGGAAACTAAAATAGCTGGATAGTTTGTATACTATCCAATTCAGTTTGGCTAATATGAAAATCAAAATTTCTAGTAACACAAAATAGCCAAGCTTTAGCTAGTTTGTAAACTAACCAACCAATTCTCTGGCTAATTTATTAAAAACGTGACGTTACGGCATTGTTTTTCGTTTTGCCGGCTTAACCGGATTTGTTTTGTGCATTTTAACGTTTTTAAAATGAATCATAGGCAAAATTTTAACGCTTCCTTGTTAGAAAACTCAACAACACAACCCTACCGACCCCGCCCCATTGGCCCCCCCCGCCCCATTGGTTAAAAATGAGAGAAAAAAACCCAAACCAACCCAAACTCAACAACACAACCCAACCGACCCCGCCCCATTGGAGAATTAGTTGGTTAGTTTACAAACTAGCTAAAGCTTGGCTATTTTGTGTTACTAGAAATTTTGATTTTCATATTAGCCAAATTGAATTGGATAGTATACAAACTATCCAGCTATTTTAGTTTCCCTAATAATTTCAAGTAAATTAGCCAAGATCCTTGGTTATTTTGTAAACTAGCCGCTAATTTAGTTGAAAATATGTTTTCAATTAAAATAGCTGACAGTTTGGCTAGTTTATAAACTATCCAGCTAGTTTATAAACTATCCAAGTTTGCACATTAGCCTAACATATATAACCCATCTTATTTTTTGTCAAGGAAAAAATTGTTTATTTTTTATTTTAATAGTATACTTTATTGAGGGAAAAGATCAAATTTTATGAAAACTACTAATCTTTTCAGAGAACATTTTTTTGCAGCTTCTTTCATTTGTATGGTAACAAAAAAAAATAAGAAGCTCATCAACCCCCCCCCCCTTGATCATTTTTCACTGAAGTAATGGGTAATATCTTTCGTTACACATTATTTTTTAAGGTGAAATGTACGGTCTCTCATTACTCATTTCTTATTTTTGAATGGGTAATTGACATTACTCATTAATTTTTTAATGAGTAATGAAAATATTTCTCATTAAATTTTTTTTAATGGTTAATGTATTCAAACTACATTACCATAAAAAAATGACGATTGCTTAATTTTTTACATTAACCTTTTTGCAACTCTGTTTATAACAAAGTTTTAGAAGAGCGATTTAAAGAAAAGTTACTATACTACTTGAAACATTTGAGGAACGCCTCTATTTTGTTCCAACAACTCACCCACTTAAACCGCAAATAAAAAATAATTTTCAGTTGACTCCGCTAAGAAAAAACAAAAACTGTTTAAATAAAGCATCCTACCTGTCCTCTAAAGCACTGCAGTAAAGCGACTCCTCAGTCTTTTCAAACTCATTGCTAAGCCTTGTCTTCACCCTGATGGCGTGATTGTTCTCCTTCAGCACCTCCTTTGGCTTGAGTGCCGTTTGATTTGGGGCGACCGCGGTATTTTTCGCGGCCCTAGTTATCACCTTGTTACCGGGGGCGGGCGGCGGCGCCAAATTCTCATTCTGTCTAGGTTTCACCACCGTTTTCACCGATGCCAAAACTTTAGCCTAAAGAAAAGGCTTTGGTAGATATTTTTCTATTTTACCGTTGGAAAAAGTCCAGAAAAAATTATGAAACGTTTAAAATAATGTTAAAAAATAACAATAAAATTTTTTTGGAAAATATGTCAAAATTAAAAGTGATTTTCAAATCTAAAGTAGGCCAAGTAAATATTTCTTTATTTTATCATTAAAAAAAGTTTAAAAAAAAAAATGATGAAAAGATTAAAATAATAAAAATGTAAAAAGAATAACAAGAATAAACATTTTTCGAAAATATGTCAATGTTTTTTAAATCTAAAAGGCAAGGTAAATATTTTTTTGTAAATGTAAAGTTGACCAGAAAAAGTCCAGAAGAAATGATGAAAAGTTTAAAATAATGATAATGCATTTATATCTAAAAAGGCCAAGTAAATATTTCTTTATTTTATCATTAAAAAAAGAAAATGATGTAATGGGCACGATATATGGAGCAGTTAATTTTTAACATTTCTTAATTTATTTTTAAGCTTTACAAAATAGAAGATTAAATTTTAAATATTTGTTTTTAAAATTTTATTAGGTATTAGGTATAAGTTTTCTTTGGAATTCGAAACACTCTTTATTTGTTTATTATACAATAATAATTTATGACTCCCATCTGGACGACCACTTGAGGGTTCATTACAGAAAGACCAAATAAGCAAGTTTTGGTTCATGTTCCTAGTCTTTAAAAAAATAAACATAAAAAGAGAAAAACTTAGAGACGAGAGTATATTTTAGGCAGTTACGTTTTACTCTTTGAAGGGATTAGTTTAATTCTTTAATTTTGTAACAGTTGGTTTTTGCTATTTGAAGGGAGAGTTGCGTTTTAATATTTGAAGGGACGAGTTGAATTCTTTAATTTTATAAGGGAGTGAATTTAACAAATAATACATTTTTTTTTATATAAATTCAGTTTTGTGAAAGTGTTGTTTATTTATATAGGTATGTCTTTTCTATAATTATTTATAATAACTTAAAGTCACAAATATCATAATAAGTGGTTAATTATTTCATATTTAATTTAAACTATATTTTATTTGTTTATTTTATTTTCTTCTTCGCGAAAGAAGTATATTTTGGGTTGTGGTTGGACAAACTTAATTACTTATTTATTATAATCATTATTTTATGTTTACCATTTAAATATTCACATTTTATTATTGTTATATTGTAATGCAATGTATCATGTTATTACATATTTCTATTTAACTTTAACATACTTTGTTTTGTACAGTTTACATTATTTTGTTTATTCGATAAATTGATATTCTTTATTTAATATGTTGAGACTTTGTTGTCAATCCTGAGCCATGTATGGTTGGTCCTAGGATGTATAATACATTTATTTCGTTGTGTGTTTCGCGATCTTGCTATTTATTTAATTTTGTTAATCGATCTTTGGGGACCTACTAAGGGAGTAGACACTATGATGTGCGCTGAGTCTTAGCCCCTTAATTTATTAACAAAATATGTTTTATTATTATTGTTGTTGGCCAATTTAGCTATGAAGTATGAACATATGATGTTTGTAATGAAAGAGGCATGTGCATGTGCACGAGTATACGAGGGCCGTCCGAAAGTGAATTGAGTTAGGGCTAAGTTTTGTCTCATAGTCTCAGTTTTTATTTACTTTGATCATTCTTTTACGCTACTATTCTCCAAACTATTATATTTTATATTTTACGAACTTAAAATGTTTTATTGATATTTTATGACTTTATACATCTAAATGTATTTATTATTTATGACTGTACACAAATATTATTGCATTACGGTTGTCCACCGCAATACCACTTGTTATTTATATATTTTATTCACCACTACTATTTATTATGTTCTCTGTGACTTAAGTTACATGCTATTTTATTTTACACATTGTTTTTGTTTGTTGCTGTACATTGATAATAGTTTCAATTTGTATTTTCTATTTAAACACCGTCCGAGCCTAACATTTATGTAGGTGAATAATCTTAACAATATGATAATGTGATTGATGATATTATATTTGATTACTTGATTACTTTGATTTTGTTATATTATTTATATTGTTTAGATGTGGATTGTATATGTGGGTTTTTAAGGTTTTACCTTATTAACTTAAATCAATAATACTTTTTAAATACAAATGTTTTTATTTATATTAATAATAATAATAATAATAATAAACTATATTGGAAATCCAAAAGGCTAACGACTTTCGTCTTCCTGCCCTATTTATATTATTAATGTACAGTTGCAATAATATTAACTCTTGTATTAATTGTCTTTATTAATAAACGTATTTTAATTTAATACTTTTTCTTTGCTTTTTAAATATCTTTTCAATTGCTCAAGTACTTACGTATCCAGAACCGTATTCACAACCAAAAGGGGTCCTAATTTCTTTAAACTAGACGATCACGTGTTTTGGCCAAAGGTAGTTTTTTATGGTTTTAATATTCGTTTTTAATTATTAATATGTGCCCCCTTGACCCCGTTCGTTACAATGATAAAGATTTAAATAATGAAAATGTGAGAAGCAATAACAAAAATAAACATTTTTTTTTAATTTTAATGATTTTTAAATCTAAAAGCCAAGTAAATATTTATTTATTGTATAATTTAAAAAGTTCACAAAAAAATAATGAAAATGTAAAAATAACAAAAATCAACATTTTTTGAAAATATGTCAATGATTTTTAAACCTAAAAAGGCCAAGTAAATATTTGTTTATTTTATCTTTGAAAACTAGAAAAAATGATGAAAAGTTTGAAAAAATTAAAACGTTTTTAGAAAATATGTCAATGATTTTTATATATAAAATTCAAGTAAATATTTTTTTTATTTAATCTAAAAGCCAAGAAAATATTTATTTATTATATCATTAAACGTCCAGAAAAATGATGAACAGTTTAAAATTTGAAAAGAATAACAAAAATGAACATTTTTCGAAAATATGTCAATGATTTTTAAATCTAAAAAGAACAAGTAAATACTTCTTTATTTTATAATTAAAAAAGTTCACAAAAAAATAATGAAAAGTTTGAAATAATGAAAATGTAAAAATAACAAAAATCAACATTTTTAGAAAATATGTCAATGATTTTTAAACCTAAAAAGGCCAAGTAAATATTTTTTTTATTTTATCTTTGAAAACTAGAAAAAATGATGAAACGTTTGAAAAAATTAAAACGTTTTTAGAAAATATGTCAATGATTTTTATATACATATAAAAGTCAAGTAAATATTTTTTTTTTATTTAATCATTAAAAGTACAGAAAAAATTATGAAAAGTTTGAAATAATAAAAATTTTAAAAATAACAAAAATCAGCATTTTTTGTAAATATGTCCATATTACTATTTTAGGCCAAGTAAATATTTCTTTACTTAAAAAAAGTCCATTTTATAATTAAAAAAGTTCAGAAAAAATTATTAAAAGTTTGAAATAATGAAAATGTGAAAAGAATAACAAAACTCAACATTTTTTGAAAATATGTCAATTAATTTTTAGTCTAAAAAAGGCCAATTAATATTCCTATATTTTCTCATTAAAAAAATTCTAGAAAAAATGATGAAAAGTTTAAAATAATGAACATGTGAAAAGAATAACAAAAATTAACATTTTTTGGAAATATGACAATGATTTTTAAATCTAAAAAGGCCATGAACTATTTCTTTACTTTATCATTAAAAAAGTCCAGAAAAAAATATGAAAACTTTGAAATAATAAAAACTAAAAAAAAAGTAACAAAAAGTTTGTAAAAATATGATTTTCATAACCAGTTTCCTCTCTATAGTCTCCTTGCATAATAATAGGTATATTTTTACAAAAAATAAATTAATAAACAAAAAAACTTACTTGTACTGTTACCTTTTTGGGGCCCGTCTTCAAAGCTGGCTTGGCATTGTCAATGGCTCTGCTTTTAGCCAAAACATTTGATACATCACCGAAAGCTGACCTTTTAGCGCCTTTTTCCTTTGAAGGGGAACAATCAGCTTTTCTTTTGCCTCTGACTGTGTCTTTTTGGCCCCCGCAATTCGCTATGGTTCTGCTTCTTGTCGATACCGCGTGCATTCCAGTCAATGTTTTTGCATTTGCCATTTTTGGTATCATTGGGGCCATTTTTGATTTTTCTTAATTTTTAATTTTCTTTTTTCTAATAAGGGAGAAAAAATATTAATAACCATTTATCATTGCTCTCAAAATTTTCTGGGTAAATATACGATAGGTACTGAATGTTCACATTTTACTCAAAAAATTCCTCACAGACCAAGAAAAAACCAACACATGAATAATTGGCAGCACTGCTCGTCCGCCATGTTTAATTACTTTTGATAAAAAATGAGGTTATGATCAGAGAACATTTCTTTGGTTATGTACATATGTTAGTTATGTGTTAAAATTTTTAATTTTTCAACTATGTCAAAGTGCAAACCAAAAAATAAACTTTATATTAGGTAAACATGGCGAATGCGAATACCTGTATGTTATTAATTTTAACAAAATTTGTTTAATTTAATAAGTTTGACAGTTATTTCTAGCTTAAGTTGTCAGTTGTCAGAATGACAAATTAAGCTAGATGTAACTATAGGCATTTCAATAATGAACTTGAGAGTAATGTCAACTTAAGTTAAATAAAAAACGTTTATAAAGATGTTAATGTTTTGGCACAGTACTTTTTGGTTATTAATTATAGTTATTATATATATAGGTCCATTTGTAATACAGTAATAATAGTCTTAAAATAGTCTTTAAACTTTAGAGTCTAAAGGTACATACCAAAAAAATTAACTCAAAACTAACTTTGTTAGGAAGCAAAGTTTTACAAAAACTTATCTAAATACATTATTATTTGTATCTATAAAGCATTCTTATTGCTTAAATGAACCTTTAAAATCTATAAAATAAAGCTATAATGCTTCTAAACAGTTCGAAAGAATGTGGGAACTAAAAAAGGAAGGTGCACTCACAAAATCTCCTAATGAAGATAACCGTTCCCAGAAAAGTCCCTAACAATTTACCGCCTTTTTTCCAGGTAAATTTCTCAATATCTCTCAAATAAACCACAAAATCATCACAAAATTCTTCCACACTTTCAATTAAACGTTGTACTTCTACAAAAACCCTGTTAAAATTGAAATATCCGGCAAAAAACTACCCGACAAAAAATCAAATCAAACATGGAGTCCGTTAATTCTATAGTAAACACTTTTAAAAAAAACCTTATTCTGAATAAAACCACACGCCGTACATTCTCACGCAGGCATACACACTTAAATGAGCACGTACCTTGTAAAATTCCCCTGGATTTTTCAAGTTTTCATGTAAAAAATTGTAAAACGGCACATGTAAAAGTTCGTTGATGTCATAAGCTTGTCAGCTTGTCGGTTTTGATTTTCGGTTGTTTTGAAATCACCAGCAGTTACAAATTCAGCTCCCCCATTGGCCGGGGCATATTAGAAGTAGAAGGGATTAGCCGACAGTGTTGCCAGGACCATTTTTTTGCGGTAGATCTACCGTTTTTGATCTTTTGCAACTGACTACATTTGTATTTAGTTTGGAATAAAATAATAAAAATATTGTTTAATAAATAGCCAAAGCTTTTAAACATTAAAGAAAAACGAACACTTAAAAGAAATAATTGCATAATGTAAAATAATTATTCGGGCGGTAAAGCTAATCTGGCAATGCAGTTTTCCAGCGCCCGCGACATATGCAACTGATTCGCACATTTTTGACATCATAACAAATGTCCGATTTATGACATAACCTAATTTTTGGTAATTAAACTTTGAAATCGAATTTATTAGTTAAAATAAGCGTGAATTTTGCTGTGATTTGTCTGTTTTGTTTTATTAAAACGTGATAATGTTCGAGCGAATGCTAAAAGTGAAATTTGTGCCTTACAAGAATTGTTTTTGTTACATATCGCCAAAGTCAAATATACTACATCTTGGGGTAAGTTATTATAGCTGAATATTATATGACAGGCAATTTTATAGAAAAATTAAGGTTAATAATTATGTACTTAAGTTCTTTCTAATAATGACATTTTTATGTTATACATAAGCATATAAAAGTATTTATTTTATTGTAGAAATATGTTAAATTAACGTATGGAGAAGGTCGTACTGCCTATTTTTCCGTAAATTTAACACAGACAAGCATTGAACACGATTGTATTGGTATCAGTAGAATATATGCAAAAAGTTTGGGAATACAAGAAAATGAGAATATTATTATACTGGAAATACCTAAACCCCCTTTAATAAAGTCAATGGCTATCACACCAACATGTGATAGTGATTATGAAGTATTGGTGTGTAAAAAACAAACATTAAAAAGGCATAAATACATTTAATTTTTTTAAGAGTTTACTGGCCGATAATGTTCAATCTACATTGTTGGATCAAATATCTGTGGTCTCTAATAATCAAAATATTGTTGTTTGGATTGGGAGGAATATTTTTGTAACTCTGCCAGTTTGTAAGCTAGTTTTTTAGTATAATCATTTATTTTAATTATATTTTTTAAGCTGAAATAAAACCTATGAATTTGGGGTGTATAGATAACTTTACAGAAGTTGTAGTTAAAACACCAGAATTAAAAAGCCTTAAAAAAGACACTAAAGATGTAAAAAAAGTATCAGCAAAGAATAATGGTAATATTTACACAAATTACCTATAGTAAAAAAAATAATTAATAATAATATAATTCATTTTTAGAAATTAAGCAGTTGAAAACTGTAACAAAACTTGATGATAACTCTATAACACACTTTATAAAACTTATACAGGGTTACTCAATTCAAAATATTTTATTAAAAAACCATAATTTATACATTAATAACAAAAAAGACTTACTTTATCGATTAATACCTCGTAAAAACGAGAAAATATTGGAAAATCTTAAAGATTTTTTACACCCTTTTAATGTTTTTACGACGAAAAAAAATATGCCACAGTCATGGCCAATAAAAAACACCAAAACAACACAACTAATATGCAATATGCAACTTTTAACGACTGATATATTTCCCTCAAAGCCAATCTATGTTCGATTATGTTTATTAGAAGATTATATTCAGAATTTCAATGATGATAAATATGAAAATAATTTGTTTGTTGATGATGTATTATTCAAACATTTTGACTGTAATTTGGGAGCCAGGGTTATTTTAAAATATGAACCAACTGTGCCTTATATAACTGAAATTCATATATGCGCAAAAAAGAGTTATTTAGTGGATGTAAAGGACAAATTTAAAGAATTTGTGGCTAACAGTACACAAAATCAAGTTTTATTGTTAAATCCGGAAGTTGTTTTTTATATGACTTCAAATATTAGATGTATGATAAAACTTACACCAGTAGAAGCACCTTTTTGTATAATGGATGAGAATTTAGCTAGGGATTGTAAGTATACTCTATTGGATGATGTTTTGCGTACAAAAGATCTTGATGAAGATAAAAATAGTCTGGAATATACCCTGGATGCTTCAAATTTGGGTGGAATTGTCCAAAATATTGTGAAAAATTTTGATTTTTCACGATTAAACAACTTTGAGAACGTTTTGTTAACAGGTGGGCAACTTTAAGGTCTCAAATGTATAATTTATACGTTTCAAAATGTCAAATTTGACAGTTGTGGCCTTAAACAATGATAACTTGATTCCAGGCAAATCGGGTACGGGAAAAACGACTTTAACGAAGATTTTAAAGGAAAAATTAAGCCAAAGTCCGTATTATATGTACACTGAAACGATAAATTGTAAAAATATTAAAGGGAAAACTATAGATTCGCTATTGAAAGTGTTTTCCAAGTCTTTTGCTGATTTGGTGCTACATCAACCTTCTATTTTAATTTTGGACGATTTACACGTTTTGTGTGAAAGTGTTCCTGGCGAGGAAATGGCGCCAAACGCCATCTATTTTAACAGGTAATTACATTTTTTAATTTTCTAGGTCTAGGTAAAGAATTTTCTTAAATATTAATAATTGATGATCTTTAAGTTACTATTATTACGTATATTAGGAAACAATTTTTTCAGAATTTAAAGTAAATTTTATTTAACTTTTTATCTGACAACTTTCAAGAGATTTTAACCTAACTTTTTCCAATCTGAAATCTGTCAGATGAGTTTAACCTCACTTTTTCTCAATCTTACATCTGTCAAACGGTTTTAAACTAACTTTTCTCTAATTTAATGCTCTAGTACATTAAGTAACTTAAAACATTAATATTAAATAGATTAGTATATTATGTATCAAGTTTTATGTATCAAGTTTTAAAACATTAATATTAAATAGATTAGTATATTATGTATCAAGTTTTATAAACGCCATTTTATGCACGAGTTTTATTAGGCACGAGCGAAGCTTGCATATTATACTTTATCTACGACGAACAGAAATGAGCATTTAAAGCCAATTTTAATTTATAAATATTTGACATTTGACAAATTTAACCTCACTTTTTTGCAATTTATAATAACGCTAACTTCAGCCCGTGACTAAAATGTCCAAAAGCCACTGTTGTTAACTTCAGCCCGTGACTAAAACACCATAAAGTCACAGCTCTTCAATGTATGAGTAGATAAAATAGTATATTATATATTTATTTTGATTAACGGCATTTTAGTCACGAGTTTTAATTAGTCACGAGCGAGTGTTTAATAAAAACGAGTGTCTAGAAAACTTAATAAACGAGTTGCATACTATCAACGACGAAAAAACCGGATTTAACATCACTTTTTCCCAATTTATAACTTCAGCCCGTGACTAAAACGGTATAAAGTCACAGCTCGTCAAGGTGGGAGTAGATAAATAACAAAAAAATCGTTTTTTATTTTAATACAGTTTAAGATTGAGATTGAGTTTAATTGAGATTTGAGTTTAAGATTCTTTATTTATTAAACAAAATAATTTAAAACCAATTTTTAATGAAGTTTAAAAATTAAAATCATTTAATCCATGTTAACTATTTAAATAGTTAACAAATATTTGTTAATAATATTAAAGCTTTTTAAGTTGTAATATTTTAGCTTATCAGACACACATCATTATTTTGTGACTTAAATTGTTAATTACTCAAAAATTGGTTATCAAAACATTTTTGGTAGTTTATTATACTTTATACAAAATTATATTTATCCTACTAAACGAACAAAAAACTATGACTTTCTTAAACTTCCCTTATGCCACTGTTTTTCTTTAAAATAGTTCCTTACATTATATTCCTAATTTACAAAACTATTATCTATTTTACCACCTGGTTTTTTCTATGAGGTCATTGACTGAGGGGGTAAAACTATGATTACCTGGGGGTAGTTGCACGGTAGACAGGGTCACGTATAACGACGCCGCTACCTTGAACGCTTCAAAGGTTACGGACATGTGTCTTTTTCCGAACAAGAAACGCAATGTGTTTGAAGATAAAGAAAAAACTGTTAAAAGGGAACTGACCAGAACAAATTTGTTTTAGGATCAGCGAAATATTGCATAATTTGCTGAAGTTATTTTCAAGGAACAATTTCATAGGGATTTTGGCTACCACTGAGTCTGTATTAAAGCTGAATGGGAATATTTACATGTCCAGAGGAAGCCATTTGTTTAAGAATGTTTTTAGTATTGACGCGTTTAATAAAGTATGTTTTTGATGTTTTAAAAACTTAATAAAAAGGTATTTTTTAGGATGATAGAATAACTTTATTGAAGTATTTATTTTCAAAGTATACCCTAAAATGTATCGATCTTGATGCGTTATCCACTAAAACAGAAGGATATGTTATCCAGGATTTGATAAATTTTGTGAATAAAACTGTTTATGAAGCGTATAAAGATGGTAATAAAAATGGGGTTTTGATTTAATTACAAAAAAATCAGCAATATTTTTTAGATCCTGACGGTATAAAATCCGAGCCGACGATAACGGAAGTTCACTGCGAGAAAGGACTAAAAACGACCTGCGTGTTATCCTTGCACGATGTCCAGTTGCATTCGCCTGGCAACAAGGATTTCAGTGACGTAGGAGGATTAGGCGACGTTAAGAAAATATTGGTTGAAAGTCTATTGTGGCCTGCCCAGGTAAGCCAAAGTAAAATATGCAGGTCATATGTAGTGTAGTGAAATGTTCAGTTTGGGACCCTAATTTTTTTCAATCTTGGGTTTTGCAAATACGTATTGTAAATAAGTAGATTAGGGTTTGTTCTACCTAGGTATTCGAAATTTACATTTAAATTAATAACCGTACGACAAACCCCAAAAAAGTTGTATTTTTGGCTACTTAATCCGAAAAATAAAAAATACTAACAGTCAGTGGCGTACATTTTTTTGTCAAAAATATTTGTTGCTCAGGGCTTAGAGTTAAATTAGCCCCTTAACACTACAAATAACACTGCCAAATTACAACCAAATTTGGGTAGATGGTATTTAAGATATTTACGAAAACCCAATTTAAAAAAACACCCTGTATCTTGAAAACGAAACATTTGCGGACCAATGTTTTTATGAACTTTTTGTCTTAAAATCACTTAAAGAATCGTCTGTTAAATTTATTGTTCATACTTAATTAATTTTTTAATCGGTTTTTTTATTTCTGTTTACTCAGATGAAATTAGGACAAGTTCACAGGTTAAACTTTAAACATTCAATTTGTGTAAATAAATCCAAAAGTTAAGATATTCCCAGTTGAGCACATAACCTAAAATTTGAACGAAATTCACTGTCATAAAAAAAATTTTTTTGAATTTACCTTCATTACAAAAATGGCATAATCAACAATTAATAAAAACGTTACATTAAGAATTTGCATTGTTGATTTTGTCATTTTTGTAATGAAGATTATTAGTAATTATTTTTAGTCTTTAGAATTTAGAAACAAAAGTTTCAGGTGCTATGGACCCTAAGGAACCACCCATTTTAATATATTAAATTAATTTGACTTTTTATGGGTATATTTCGTTTCCGCCATTACGTCTCCACTTGACAATATTGTTTCTTTAGGAGATTATTTTTGGTAATAATTAATTTTGGATATAGGTATACGTATTTAGGTATATTTATATAGCTAAGGTACCTTTTAAAATTATAGTATTTTGTTACCTTCACTTAAAAATTGTATTATTATTTTGTTACCTTTACTTTTTTAATTTAATATATTTTTTAAACTAGTTAAGTAAGATATTTTGTGATACGATAAAATTTGGGTACACTTTCTATACAAAAAATTGAACAAATAGCCAAAAATGTTTTTAACAATCTGATAATTGTTTAAAAGTAAATATCTGCAAGCTAACAATGGCTTCTTGTAGTCAATACATTACATGAACGAATAAACGAATGCACCAGCGTTTGCACCAAACATCGATGTCAATGTTTCTAAGCGCGACAAAAATTTAAATGGATTAGATCCAAACATTTTTTTAATAATGTTTTTTATTTATTTATAAATGCATACTAAATTTAGATAATTTATTTTTATATTTAAAGATGTATAAAGAAAAATCCTAAAATTAACTTAACTGGGTGTACGTTTTATTGGACAAACCACCTTTATTTTTCAATAAACTATAGGCTGCTAAAATTATGATGATATAAATTGGAACACCCTCTATGTTCCCAAAAAATATGCCAAAAAACACTACAATAGTTATATTATTGGTGTAATTGACCACTTGTTGCATGTTTGTCCAATTTATAATTACCGGTTTAAATTACATGGTAATAGGTATTTGGTATTTCCGGCTTGACCCTAATTTTCATCATCCCTTATAATACCCAACAACATGCTTTTAATAGGCTATTATAATTTTCTCACTCTAGATTTCATCTTGTTGAATTTGAGACTCACATAAAATAGTTTTATTGTTAATATTTTTTGAGAGAGTTGTTTTAAGAATAATCAAATTTTCATAATATTTTTTTTAGTTTCCTGGTATCTTTGCGGACGCCCCATTACGCTTACAATCGGGGCTTCTTTTATACGGACCCCCGGGTACAGGGAAGACGGTACTGGCCGGTGCAGCTGCGAAACAATGCGGACTTAGGCTTATATCGATTAAGGGGCCCGAACTGCTATCGAAATATATTGGAGCTAGCGAGCAAGCCGTACGAGACGTATTTGAAAAGTAAGTAAAAATGATTATTATGATTATTTCCCTCATTATAATATGAACCAATCAAAACCCTTGAATTTTCGAATAAATTTCGTTTAAATAAGCGATTAAATCACTAGAACTATTTAACAGCGATTAAATTTTAGCCTCCATATTGGATTTTTGTTTACGATTTTAAGGTGTTATTTACAAGTTTTAACAAACATTTTTTAAAAAACAATAAAAAATAAGTTATCTAGTTTACGAAATATCAATTATTACTTATTACATACCTTAAATTAATGGAATTTTCTTTAAAAAAATATTTATAAATTTTGACACATACGTCAGGTTTTATGAATTGTCAAATAGTTTCCTTTAAATTAAAGGCTTTAATTCGAGAAATAATCTAGACGTATATCAAAGGCTTTGTTATCTATGGACGTATATCACTCAACCTATAAATTTAATCTGTCAAACTATGCTCAGTAAGTTTTTTATTGATTTTTCTTTTTGGAAAATAGTTTCATGCAAAATAATTAAAAATAAAACCCCTCGACCGCTACGCGGTCTCGTGATTTTATTAAATTATTTTGCATTCAACATTTTCCAACAAAAACCAAACAAAAAACTACTGAGCCTAGTTTAACCAATTAAATTCATAGTTCTCGTGATATAATATATGAATAATTGCCAATTTTTAGTTTGTCATTTTATGTTTGTCAACATTACCTTGTGAAAAAGAGACTGAGACTTAAAAATATTTAATACAACACTACACATTACTATTAAAACACCACATGAATACATTTTCGCAACGGTATATTTGTACTTCCTAAATATGGCGGTCGTGTTATTTTTTCACCCCGTTAACCTTGCTTCCCTGATATTTATTTGGGGTAAACAATAACACGTATGTCTGGATTTTTTGAATAACAATGGGCCAGACTTGCATGCCATTTTTTTTTCGTGTGAAAGTAAACTTATTTGTATATAAGCAGCTTAAACTAAAATCAATATTAGGTTTTTTATCAAAAAGTTATTAATTACATAAAAATTGTTGATAAGACACTTTTGATACACTCTAAATATGGTTCACAGAATATGGCTGTTCCCCCCAAAAATCAACTTTTTACGGTTGATCAAACATTTGTTTGTTTTATTTGTAGGGCTCAGAGCGCGCGACCCTGTATCTTATTCTTCGACGAGTTTGACAGTTTGGCGCCCAGGTAAGAATTCAAATTCATCTGTGCGGCTCCATTGTAATATTTACAATGGCAAATCTTGCTTCTGAATGGAAATAAATTTAATATCACTCTCACACTAGATTACTTAAGGGGTCACAGTTCCCACTGATCCAAAAAACCACCCAAAAACCCTTAAATTATCGGCAACAATTTTATGCACATTTGGTATAGTTAGGGTAATCCCATTATGGGAACCCAAATAAATTTTTTATAAAATTATTTAGATTAAATTGGAAAAGTTAAATTTGTTAGTATTTAAAAATATTGTCGAGAAATTTAAAATAAAAACACATATAAAACATTTTCTACCAAAATAGTTTAAAAAGTAACATTTTTTAATCTCAAAACAATTCATAATCAAAAAATATTTTAAATATAAAATGAAAATGTAAATATTTAAGTTTAAAATATTGGTTTTTAAAAAATGTAGTTTTAATATTTTATTCTAGAAATTTATTGGTTTAAATTTGTAAAGAGTCATTTATAGTCGATAAATTTTTAATACAAAAATTCTACATTTAAATGTTAGTTTTAAATTTTAAAGTGGTAATTTTTGGAGAAATAAAAAGTTTTGGTTTGAATTTGTAAAGTCATTTAAATGATAGTCGATAAATTTTTCATCCAAAAATTAACAATTTAAAATGTAAAGTGATAATTTTGTATTAAAAATTTAAATGACTCTTTACAAATTTAAACCAAAAATTTAGTAGAATAAAATATTTGAACTAAAAATTTTAAAAATCAATAAATTTATTATTAACAGTTTTACAGTTGTATTTTATATATAAAAATTTTTTTGCCTATCGATTGTTTTGAGTTAAAAAAAATTGACTTTGGAAATTTTTGTTATAACATCATTAAAGTGCTAAACATTAAGGCTCATTTCACGTCAGTGCAGTTCACCACATCGACTCAGATTTTCCTCAAAAGTTTGTAGATGATATATAGGCTAGGATAACAAAAAATCTTAGTTTTCAAAGTTCCACGATAATTAATTACCTAGAAATTAATTATTGTAATTTTTAAATTTTTGTGCCATTTTTTTTCTTAATTCCATAAATAACTACTAACCTGCAAAGGTTATTAAAGTAAAAGTTTGTTTTTAGTGGGAACTTTTTAAGCAGATTTCAAAAATAATGATAATCTGAATTTGTGTCTTATATTGTTTTTGGGTGATCGTTGCATTTGCTGAAAAATATTCAAGTTTTGTTTGAGTAAATACTGGTCGTTTTTTAAAAACTACAGGTGACACATTTAAAAAATGATAGGTGATATGAATGATGTGAATCTATAACAGATGTCAAAAATCAGCTAAGGCAGATGTCAAAAATGAGCCATACAAAACGAAAATACGAAACAAAATAAGCTGACATCTGTTATCCCGTCATTATTGACAATTTCACTCACCTTAAAAAGTTTTTAGTCACATGGAAGTTCAAGAATTTTTTTCTTAGATCCTGGTCGGAAATCCAAGATGAAATTTTTTCTGAAAGTAGTGGTATACCATCTTTACAACATATTAAAATATGTGCTCCCGATCAAACATGTCTAAATAAATTCTTGATTTTTTTCAGCTAATTCAAAACGATTTATTTATTTAAACCTTCACTTAAGTTATTTGTACAGGCTAAGAAGTTATTTAATAAATTAAGAAAACATTATAAGAATTAATTTCTTGGTAATTAATTATTATGGAACATTTAAGAAGAGAAGAGAAATATATTAAGGTTTCGTAATTTCTCCTGGAATTTTTTATGGTTTATCTGAAATAAGTTTGTTACAATACTTGAATCTGAACATTCTGTGTTGTTACATAAATGTAATTTTAGGCGAGGTCAGGATACGACTGGAGTGACCGATCGAGTAGTTAATCAATTACTAACGCAACTAGATGGCGTTGAATCTTTGACAGGTGTATGCGTATTGGCTGCAACATCAAGGCCTGACCTGTTAGATCCTGCATTACTAAGACCTGGGAGGTTGGATAGGCAACTCCTGTGCCCTCTACCAGATGCGGTGAGTTAAGTAGGTTTTAAAAGAAAGATACAAGTTCATATAATTACATTTTTAATGGTTCCATTTCCTTTAACTCAACGGAACTAACCTGGTTCCACTTTTGTACCTTGCCAGAGGCAAATATGCAGAAAAATAATCCTCCGAACGAATGCACGCATGATATAATTATAAAAACGTTTCGCCAAGTTTCAAAGTTGCTTGCGTCTCTCGTCAAAAAACCTGCCATTTTATTTCCCGCCCATCCCGATAAAGAACCCATAACCAATGAGCACCCCAAGATGGTTCCTGCAAAATTTGGCGCTATGTCCATGATGTTTGAGATATAGCTTGCTGTTAAGCAGCCTTTAAACGAGTGCATTAAAGTTAGGATGACCACCGCCAAAAAGTAATTTACTTTGAAGAATGCTAAGGTTAACATTAGCAATGATGGGATAAAAAATGATATAACGATGAATATTTTTCTAGTGTTTTTGGTGGATACTAATCCTGATTTTCGCAGTTTATCTGCTATCCAACTCCCCGTGATGCTAAAAATGTATGAACCTAAAACATATTTATTTGCATATTATGTTTTTTAGAAAATATCAATAATATATTACCTATAAAAGGTAGACATGATAACAATCCATTATCTGATATACTAAAATGTAAAACATCATTCATATAGGTTGGAAGTTGGTTAACATAAGTAAAATGGTAAAAGGTGTTACCGTTCTGGGCTATAATAATAGCCCAGACAGGGACAGAAGTAAAAATACTTCCCCAAGGAACGTTTTCGGGCTTTCCACCATTGTTCACGATTTCTTTCTTCATTCTACCATCAATGAAACATTTTTCTTCACACGAAATCCTAGGATGTTGAGCTGGAGAATCGTATATGCAATAAAACCAAGCTAAACTCCATAGTAGACCCACGGATCCAGTAAAATAAAAGACGACCTCCCAGCCAGAGTAAAAAATAAGGTAACCGCAGATGGGAAAGGCTATCGCGACTCCCAGACTTTGCGCCATTTGATTTGAGGCGAATTTCGACCTATCCATCGGTGGTATCCAGCTTACAGTCAAGGGCATTATGGAGGGGAATGTCACGCCCAAACAAACACCGAGTAAAAATCTTGATGTGACGGCGAGGTAAAAATTTATTTTGCACATCAAGGGAAACATAATTGTCATTAAACTACCCAGTAAAATACCATTACCCATTATCAAACGCGTGCCGTACTTTTCACTCAAACGGCCACCGAAAAATACTGTTGTAGAATAACCCCAAAAAAATATGGCCAGTACGTCTGTTTTTTGTTGGACAGTCCAATCGAATCTTGTATCTATGTCGGTTTCGTTTTGGTTAGGTGATCGAATCATATCGACTATGGCTATCGATATATTTACACGTAACATGTAGTTTATACCAAAACCAACTATTGTTACAATGTACAGAACTACTGTACATGATAGGCAACCTTAAAAGATACAAAACTTTTTTTTGAGAATAGTTTTTGAAGATATATTACTTACATGAACTGGGTGTTGCCATGAAAAAATATTGTTTATCACTGTTTAGTTAATGAGGACAACAATTGTACACTTAAAGGTATCAGTATATGCATAACATTATTGATTATTTTAAAAATAAAAATTCATATTGTAGATACTTGAAATAAAACAATCTAAATATTGAAAACTATTTATTATTAGTTATTTAAAGGCAGCATTTCTTTACCCTGTTCTTCGACTTGATTCCATTTTTGTTTCTTTCCTGACAAAAATATCATAAAGAATGACCCACCGAAAAGGTTTACCGTCGATATTATTATAAACACTGTTCGCCATGTTTCAAACGTGCTGGCCTCTTTGGTGATGAGTCCAACCATTTTGTTCCCGAACCATCCTCCCATGGATCCGATCATCATGGAGGAACCCAATATGGTTCCAGCATAGTTTGGCGATATATCTGTAAGGTTAGATGCGTATGCCGATGTAACGGAGCCTTTGAAAGTGTGTATTAAAGTTATTATCGTTACTGCTAGTAAATAGTGGACTTTATAGAATGCCAGGGTGTACATGAGTATCGATGGGATTATATAGGATGTTATGGTGAATATTCTTCTTGTGTTTTTTGTGGATATTTTTTTGGATTTTATCATTTTATCAGCTAGGTATCCAGCACAGCAACAAAAAGTGTATTGTCCTAAAAAAATAAGGTTTATTATTGTCATAACATAAGAGATTTTGTTCGTTACTTACCTATGTAGGGTAAACAAGATACCAAACCATTTCTGGCAATATTAAAATGTAGGACATCATTCATATAGGTTGGCAACTGACTGGTTAAGATAAAATGATAAAACATGTTTGTATTTTGGGCTACCACCGAAGCCCATACTGGCATTGATGTTAATATACTCCGCCATGGTACATTTCCATTTTTTTTACCAGTTTTAGCCATCTCTTTTGCCATCCTATTTTGTATTACACCTCTTTCTTCATTTGAAATCCTAGGGTGTACTTCTGGTGAGTCAAATATCGTGAAGTACCATAATATACTCCAAAGTACTCCTACGCTACCTGTTACATAAAAAACACTCTCCCAACCTAGGTAGGTTATAAGGTATCCACTTATAGGTAATGTGATGGCAACTCCTAAACCTTGCGCCCCTATATTCGACATAAACTTCGATCTATCCGAGGGCGGTATCCAAGACACTGCAATGGGTAATATTGATGGAAACGTCATACCCATGCTCACCCCCATTATAAACCTGGATGCAAGAGCGAAATAATAATGTAAATTACATATAAAAGGAAAACATATTGTTATAATACTGCTACAAAACATCGCACTCCCAAAAATTAGTCTTGTCCCGTATTTTTCACCAAATCTACCACCAAGGAATGTTGTGAGGGAGTAGCCCCAGAAAAACACTGCTAGAATCTCGTTCTTTTGTAATGTGTCCCACTGAAATTTTGTTGTGTCTTCGATGGTTGTATTTGAATGTTTAACCATGTCCACTATGGCTATAGTTATATTCATACGAAGCATGTAGTTTGTACCGAATCCTAATATGGTCATTACATAGAGAATTGTTGTGCATGATAGCCATTCTAAAAATAATCACATTTTAAAAGATATAAATATCAGGTGTTGAATAAAAATGCTTACCTTTATTTTTACTTGTTGTCATTATAGTAAAGATTTAAAACTACTTAATAATTTACTAATCGGCCCGATTCTATAAAAAAGTTACTACAGAAGTGTTTATGATAATAACGTTATTAGAAGTTAACAGTTTATGACCCGCATAATGACTTTTCGATATTTGCCTATTCCATAAGTAAAATATTAACAACCGTCACTGGTTTAATTTTCGTAATCACGCGTTATTAAAAGTAGTTCAAATGTAGAACTGTTAATTCAAATAAATACCATTTGGACACTGTTTAAACTTCAAACTTATGTCAGTTGTATTTCTGAGGCGAACGTAATTGCGTGTGTCGAGTGCCATACAGGACTTAAAAAGGTAAACTGGGTAGTTTTGAAATTGAGGGTTCTTCATCTTCTATTTTTATAGCATGATGACGTTAGAAAAGAAAGTAAGACATAGAGAAACAAAAGTCAGTGCGGATCAAATGTCCCAACTGGTTGATTTGATATCATTACCGCAAAATAAAACCGTCCTCACCATGAAGCTCCATCCTCTCAAGGTGGGAGAGTTGCTTAAATTATGGAAATCCATAGAAAAGTCTTTAAATTTATTATTGGGGCCAAAAAAGTGTGCCGAAGACTGGCGAAGGTACTTTGTAGAGTGGAAGTCTCGAACGCGTAAAAAAGCAAGGGATTTCAAAGTAGAGGCGCAGGCGACGGGTGGTGGACCCAATTCTGCAAAGCCTTTAACTGAACTGGACGAAAAATTAATGGGTTTACTGGGATGGGTGTCAGTGCAAGGCTGCCAAGACATGCCACAGGAACAAGAAATTCAAGAAAAACCGGAAGAAAACGAAAATTCAAATTTTTTTAGGGTGCTTCAAATTAATGAAAGTAGAAATCTATACATTTTTTATAAATCCAGTAGCAAGCGGTACCTAAAATTAACGTTTTTTAGGTATCATCAATTTTTTGCTACATATCTTCTTCAAAAATGTTTAAGAAGTGAACTGGTAGCAAATGTATCGCCATTTCGTCATACAAATTTTACTAATAACTGTCACTAAATTAATAAACACTAACCATAACCTGGTGATAAATATAATAACTCTTTTTAGGTTAGATTTGTTAAATATATAACCACTTACTCATTACAAAATGCCAATTTTGTTTTGGTGATTAAGTTAACCACTGACCTTCCTTATAACCACTTAGCTGGGTGATAAAACGCTAGTCACTTTCTTATAGAATCGGCCCGAATGTCTTCTTAACGTTTTTAAGTGTAATTATTTTAATAATGGAGTTTTAATTTCGGCTATTACAAAAATAATTTTATTTAAATACTTGAGCAAATACAATTAAATTATCACTGACAAACATAAACCTAAGATTTTATAATTAAAAACAAATTTTATTATCTTCGGAAATATTTAAAGCCTTGGCTTCTCCATCTTCAACTTCTTCTTTAATGTGATTCCAATCTTGCACATCCCCAGAAACAAACACGAAATAAAATCCTCCTGCAAAAAAGTTCACCAGCGATATAATTATGAACACGTTCTTCCACGACTCAAAATCGCTGGCCTCTTGAGTCAAAAGTCCCACCATTTTGTTGCCTAACCAGCCACCAAGAGAACCGAGGATCAAACCCGACCCGAAAATTGTTGCTGAGAAATTGGGCGCTATATCCATCGTGTTGGCAATGTAGCATGAAGCTACGCAGCCTTTGAAAGAGTGGATTAAGGTTAGGAGGGCTATAGCTGTGAGGCTGTGAACTTTAACAAAGGCTAGAGTAAGCATTAATATCGACGGTATGAAGAATGTAAAGATAGTGAAGAGTCTTCTTGTGTTTGTGGTAGAAAGTTTCTTTGATTTGCGTAGGTGATCTGCTATGTGGCTCCCGAAGCAACCAAAAATGTAATAACCTGAAAATACGTTTATGTTATTTGGTAATTTACATGTTGGATGTTTACCAATGTAGGGTAGGCATGAAAACCATCCGTTTTCGGAGATATTGAAGTTAAGAACGTCATGGAGATAAGTTGGGAGTTGATTGATAAAAGTAAAATGATAAAAGGTATTACCAAGTATACCTACAATTATAGCCCAGAATGGTGGAGATTTAAACATGCCTTTCCATGGTATAGAAGAAGGTTTCCTTGTATTATTTATGTGTTGTTCCTTCATGCTTTCTCCAATACGATTTTTTTCATCGTCAGAAACTCTTGGATGTAAATCTGGAGAGTCGTATATCGTATAAAACCACACCGAGCACCAAATCAACCCCAAACAACCAGTAACATAAAAAACACTCTCCCATCCACAATACGTTATCAAATAACCTCCCAATGCCAAAGTAATGGAGATCCCAATCCCCTGCGCCATCAGATTGGAGGAAAACTTGGAGCTATCCAAAGGGGGAATCCAATTCACACATAACGGTAGCATACCCGGTATTGCAGCCCCCAAACTGGCCCCCAATAAAACCCTCAAAACCATTGCCAAGTTATAGTGTATCCTACATGATATCGGGAAAAAAATCGTAATCAAACTCGCTACAAGCAACTCCAAGCCCAACGTCAAACGCGATCCATATTTCTCCGCCAGTCTACCTCCGATCATGCCTGCGGGAGACAGTCCCCAGAAAAAAATACCCAGCAAATCGGTTTTCTCCACCACCGACCAGTTAAAGCGCGTTCCGTTCAAGGTTAGGTTTGTGTCGACCATGTCGACTATGGCTATGGATATGTTGACTCGCAGCATGTAGTTTGCCATGAATCCAGTGATGGACATGATGTATATTATGTTGGTGCATGATAGATATTCTAAAATGTTATAAATATAATGCTTTCCATTTTTAGGTTAGGTTATAACAGGTATATTACAGTAAAGCTTTTCTTACCTTTCTTAGAATTTTCTATTATTTTTGTCATACTATTTGCTGCGTACTTTTATTATAATGACTTGTATTAGAATTTTTATAATGACGATATTTATTCATAGGAATGTTAATGTTGTATTTACAATATTTCGTAATCAGAAATTAAAATTACTGTAATGGTTCAATCTTACTAACATTTATTTTAATGAAGTGACAATTGATGCAAACAAAAATTGCAAGCATATTTTAGAAACAACAATGTATACAGTATCATGTTCTTTTTGGCAATATACTAGCTTTTAACGGTTCTATGTCCAAGTCTTCCTCATCATTTTCCTCTTGATTCCATTTCTGCACATCGCCAGAAACAAACACAAAGAAAAAAAATCCACCAGCGGAACTGACAAGGGCGATGGTGATAAAAACGGTCCTCCAAGTTTCAAAATCGCTAACTTCTTTGGTTAACAATCCTACCATTTTATTGCCGACCCATCCCGTCATTGAACCCATCACCATAGAGATACCAAACAGAGTTCCTGTAAAGTTTGGCGCTATATCCATAGCATTTGCTATGTAGCTCGCCGATATGCAACCTTTAAATGAGTGTATGAGGGTTAGGATTGATATTGCTATGAGGTAGTGAAGTTTAAAGCAGCCTAATATCAACATTAGCGTTGAGGGGATGAAAAATGCAAATGCTATAAAGATTTTTCGTGTAGTTTTTGTGGATACTTGCTTTGATTTACGTAGTTTATCTGCTATATAGCAACCTATACAAGCAAATGCGTATTGACCTAAAATGTCTTGTTATTTTTATTTATAAAGGTGTATTATTTTACCTATAAAAGGAAGGCATGAAAATAGTCCATTATCCGATATTTTGAGGTTAAGAACATCATTCATATATGTGGGTAGTTGATTGATGTAAGGAAATAAATAAAAAGTGTTACCATTTTGTGCTATCATAATAGACCAAACAGGTAGTGAGGTTAAAATGCTCTTCCAAGGAACCTTCTTGGGTTTTTTGCCTTTATCTACAACTTCCAACACCATCCTGTTCTTAATATTGCTTTTTTCCTCAAAACTTATCCTGGGATGTAAATCGGGAGAGTCATATATGGTAAAATACCATGTGATGCTCCAAATTAAACCTACGGCTCCCGTAGAGTAAAAAACACTCTCCCAACCTAGATAGGTTATCAAATATCCACATACAGGTAACGTAATGGCAACACCTAAACCTTGAGCCATCAAATTCGAAGAAAACTTCGATCTATCCAACGGAGGAACCCAGTGGACGGCTATGGGGAGTATAGAGGAAAATAACACGCCCAAAAAGATACCCATTAAAAATCTCGCTACCAGCGCCAAGTAATAATCAACTTTACAACACAGTGGGAAAAATATCGTGGTTATGCTCGCCAAAAAAATACCATTTCCGAAGATCAAACGCGTTCCATATATCTCCGATAATCTGCCGCCTACTAATACCGAAGCTGTGTACCCCCAGTAAAATATACCGAGGATTTCGTTTTTCTGCAGCGGCGTCCAGTTAAATCGCGTGTAATTTGAGGTTATATTGCTGTGTTCGATCATGTCTACTATAGCTATTGATATGTTTACACGTAGCATGAAATTAACCATGAACCCAGTGCTGGCCATTACGTAGAGGATGGCAGTGCAAGATAGACATCCTTAAAAAAAGGGACTGTCTACAGTTCCTACCAGTAGGAATTTTAGTCGCCGAGTCTAAAGTTCCTACTGGTAGGAACTTTAGCCACCTGGTCAAGAGTTACTACCAGTAGGAACTTGGTGTTCTGTGGTTCCCGTTCTTTGTCTATACTGTGTGTGTGTATAGGTAATAATTCGGCTATTGAAGATAACGGTGGACATTTCCAACATTTAATTTAACTTTTGAATTATTTTTTTTTTAATTTTGCAAATATCGTTTGGTTTTGTTACTTGTTCTAACGTTAAAATAAATTTTGTTTAATTAGTAAAAAAAAATTTAAATTGACCATGTTTTTAAACATAAAAGTTGATTTTTCTTGAAAACGGTCAATTTTAGAGCTTATGACAAAGAGTACCTTTTTTGTGTAGAAAACATTGGCGGATGGAATGGGCCTCTCAAAACCGTACTTTTTTCAGGGGCGTAGAAGTTGAGAAGAAAAACACCCGCTACCCCTTCAAAATCTCCACCAATTATAAGTAAAAATAAAAATTTTCTCGCACAAAACATAGCTTATTATGAGTAGAAAATGCTTACAAAAGCTGTTTTTTGTACGATAAATGGTTCCGGAGATATTCGAAAAAAAACAAATTTTTTTCTAAAATTTACACACCCTGTATCTCGAAAATTGTGCATTTTAGAGGGTAAGTTAATAGCGACTTTTTTCATCTTTTTGTATAAGCTATCACATCCTGAAGTCCTGCGCATATATTATGCACATATATACATATATATACAGGGTGTTCCGAAATTAGTGCACCAAACTTTAACATCAGATTCTACGTGCAAAAATAAGAAAAAAGTCCGTATAAATATAGGTCGAGAAATGCCTCCTAAGGGAGCTACAGCCCCCGAAAAGGGAGCCCCTGAAGATGGTTTTTATCTAATATAAATAAAAAAGTAGAAACACCATGTCACTTACTACATGAAACTGTCACCTGTCTTGAATTATTCTATTTTTTCCTAAACATGGCAGCCGTATTCCAAGGACCACGCGAGTCCATTTCTATGGTTGTGATTTAATTGTGAATTTTTATGCCATGTAAAATAATTTTCAAATCGATTTTATGCGAAAACGGTGTATGTTATCGAAGTTCAACAAGATGACCTTTTTTATGTGCAAAACTCTAAAATTTCATAATCTGACACCAAATTCTGGTACAAGATACGTAAAAAAAAGTTAAGGTGGTTTTAACCCTACTTCCTATCAATCTGACCCAAACCTCATAAAAAATTTTAAATTGTATTGTTACGTCTTATTGGTCATAAAAAGTTTAATTAATTCCCCAAATTTCACTTTTATATCTTTAACGGTTTTGGAGATATTAAATAAAAACCATCTTCAGGGGCTTTCCTTTTGGGGGCTGTAGCTCCCTTAGGATGCATTTCTTGATCTATGTTTATAGGGACTTTTTTTCTTATTTTTGCACGTACAATCTGCTGTTAAAGTATGGTGCACTAATTTATATATTTATAAATATATTTAGAAAACTAGAGATATATTTCTAGATTTCCTACCTAAATCGCAAGATACTTTAATATTTTATTTATAAATAGTTAAAAAGGATATATTTTTATGTTTACCATTAATTTTAAGTTACATTTTATTTTTGTTTTTACTAAATAAATGTTTGTTGTTAAATATATATTTTGAATTTAAGCCTTTTAGCAAAGATACCAAAACTATAGTTATTATAGAAATACTCTTTCTTATAAGATTAGTAAAACTTCTTTATACAATAATGAAAAAATATGTTTGATTCAATTTTTCATTTATAACGCATTGTACCTATATAATATTAGACCATTAAGTAATACTTTACTCAATGATAAAACATTATTGTAATAAAATAAGTTTTCCAAAGATTTTTATAAAATGTTTTTTTTTGTGCAGAACAAGTAAAGATTTGAACATTATTTCCCAAATAGGCCATTTTTAATCTAAACAGGTGGTAGTAACTTTGGCGTCCATAACAGAATTTCCGACTGGTAGTAACTTTTGACTCAGTGGCTGCAGTTCCGACCAGTAGGAACTTTAGTCTTGAAGACTTAAGTTCCTACTGGTAGGAACTGTAGACAGTCCCTTAAAAAAAAGGTGTTGATTTTGTATTCATTGGATTTTTCTTACCTTTTTTGTGTGTTTTTTTTACGTCCATGTTTAGTAAAACTAAGTTTAAATTTTTAAAAATTATTTTTACTCGTTATCTTTGTTCCTAATTATGATTATAAGTTAAACTGTCATACCTTAATTATTCTTTATAATTATACTAAATTTTAAATAAGTAAAATATTTAATTTAATGGCACCATTTCTGGGTCACTTGCTTTTTCCACGTGGTTCCACTTTTGCACGTCTCCAGACAAAAAAATCATAAAAATAGAACCTCCAGCGATATTAACTGCAGAAATAATGACAAAAATAGTCTGCCAACTTTCAAAATTGCTGCCTTCCTTGGTCAAAAAACCCACCATTTGATTACCAAGCCAACCGCTGAACGAAGCAACCACCAAAAGAATGCCTAAAATCGTGCCAGAGTAGTTTGGACCTATGTCCATTATATTTGATAAATAGGATGCTGATGCGCAACCTCTTATAGAATTAATTAAAGTCAGAAGACCTACAACTACTAAAGGATCGAATCTACAGAAGGCTACAACCAACAGCAGGATTGTTGGTATATAAAATGAAATAACGACAAATATTCTGCGCATATTTTTGGTCGAAATCAAGTTTTTTCGTAGCTTGTCTGCTAAATAACATCCTATGCATGCCATAATGTAGGATCCTATAAAAATTAATTAACTTTAATTTTGTTAACGTACATGTAGGGTTATTCGAAAAACCAAGATGTTGCTAGTATGACCAAGAATAAACTTTATTAAAATTTAATATTTTTTAAACGCCTTGATTGCGTTTTTCTCTTTTTTAAAAGTACCTAATATTGTAGTTCTTTGATCATATTAGCTACTTTGTTTCATGATAACGTTTTTCCTATATTAGATTAAACATAATATTATTACCTATAAACGGTGGACAAGAAGAAAGACCATTCTTTGCTATAGAAAAATTAAGAACGTCATTCATATAAGTTGGAAGTTGATTTGTGTATATGTATTGATAAAATAAGTTTCCGTTATGGGCTGCCATTATACTCCAAAAAGGCACTGACGTAAAAATACTTTTCCAAGGCACTTTTGATGGTTTCCTTCCTATATTAGCCATTGCCAACTGCATCTCGTGTTTAATTTTATTTTTTTCTTCAATAGATATTTTAGGGTGGGTATCTGGGGAATCGTATATAGTAAAGAACCATATGAAGCTCCATAATATACCTATGCTTCCGGTGACGTAAAAATTACTTTTCCAGCCTAGGTAAGTTGTAAGATACCCGCATAGAGGCAATGTAATTGCCATACCCAAACTCCCTGCTGATATATTTGACGTAAATTTTGACCTATCCAAAGGAGGTATCCAGTTTACTGCTATGGTTAATATCCCTGGTAAAGTGGCACCAAGACATACACCCAAAAGTAAACGACTTATAAGGGCCATGTAAAAATGCATTTTGCAAAAAAATGGAAACAATATTGTTACAATGCTCGCCATAAGAATGCCATTTCCAAAAACAAGTCTTGTTCCATACTTTTCTGCCAGTCGTCCTCCTATGAACCCCGAGGGTGCATACCCCCAGAAAAATATGGCCAACAGTTGATTTTTTTCGAGGGCTCCCCAGTCAACAAATTCACTTAATTTTGTCATGTCCACAAGAGCTATGGTTATATTGACGCGTAACATAAAATTCACCATAATTCCTGTTATTGACATTGTATAAAGGATGGTGACGCATGATAAAAAACCTAAAAAAAATTGTCGTTTATAGAATTATTATGTTAACTATATCTGCACTGTTTGGGCAAAATAAGATAGTACATAGTATATTAAAAAAAAACATAATAAAAACTTGATTAACACTGGAAATAAAAGATAAAAGTGCTGCCCGAAAAGTAATTTTTGACTTATCTAGTTTTTTCCAAATGTTGTAGATATTATTATACCTGAGTTGTTTGATGCCATTTGTAAAAGATATACAATATAAAAATACATTTCTATTTGTTTATTCATAATATACACAATATTAGGTACTATAAATATTTATAAATATTGTAACTGATTGACTATATTATTATTATAATACTAATTACAGTCAAAATTGATAACAAAAAATCCTTATCGTATCTAATAGGGTGCTACCAATAAACACCAGATTTAGATTCCTCGTTTTCTTCTTTCACTTGTTTCACTTGGTTCCATTCTTGTAACTCTTCAGAAACAAAGATTAAAAAGAACAAACCACCGGTCAAGCTTCCCAGTGAAACTATAATAAAAACGGACTTCCAACTTTCGAAGTTGCTGGTTTCTTTTGTTTAGGGCTTAGAGAACCCAGTACCTACCAAAGAGAAAAATTGTTTCGGATTGTTTTGTGCTATATCCATGACGTTAGTATAGTAAAATGAATAGCGATACTGCTGCAATGGATGATGGAAGAAACTACAACCATAATTCTTCTGACTGTGAATGTTGATAATTTCTTGCTTTTTAACATTGTATCTGTCACATAGGATCCAAGGAGCGATAACAAATAGTAACACTACGTTACTCGATATATTGAAGTGTATCACATCCTGTATATAAGTGGGTAGTTGCATAGTGTAGGTATGGAAGAAAAAAATCATAGTGTGCCGATATGCCACAGCATATTTCAAATAGCTTGTTTCAAGACAAGACAAATGATTGGTCGTTCGTCGAAATCGCTCAATTGTTACCAAAGTTATGATCGATGACATATTGACAAAATCGTTATAATCATGAAAATTTAAAAAATCATATCTCCAAAAACAATTGACAAACCGTGCTTAAATTAAAATTGAATTTTTATTTTGAGTCAAGGAACCACAAATGGACGGCGCATTGCCATTCAATAACAATGCTTTGTTTGCGGTCAACAAACGGTCACAGTCTAAGCGTCAAATTGGAGATAGAATTTTATGTTTTCTTCCAGTGACGTCAACAAACGGTCACAGTCTAAGCGTTAAATTGGATATAGAATTTTATGTTTTCTTCCAATGACGTATGATATGTAAACTTTGCTTACTTACCTATGAAAGGATAGATTTGGATTTCTTTGGTTTGTTTTTTTACAAACAGTACACTGTCGCACCATTTTTGGTAAAAAAATAATGTATTTAAACTCAATAAAACACAATAAAAATACCCAAACGAAAACCACAGATTATAAAACACAAAACAACAAGCTGTCAACCTTTTTCTATGCTGTCAATATGACGAATTTATCAACGTTGTTAATATTTAATTTTAATAATTATTAAATGAATATTTTCTTTAAATAGAGAAAAATATCTAAAGAAAATGATAAACAAATCCTTTTTACAATTTTTTTATTATTCAAACGAATTACTGGTAATTTTTAATGTTGAACGTCCAAACAGGCGTGTAATATATACTGACAACATTGGAAGCCTTGTTTCTTTCGACGGTGTTTAGAATGTGAAAGTATGCTTTACTCGCTTTTTAAACGTAAACAAATCCGTCCATTTGTTTTGGTGGTCTGTGCAAGGAACCCATGGAAAAATTGACAAGGAATTTCGAAATGGCAAGGGTTTTGTTCATGTCGATTTTACGTGGAATTCCCCATACATATATTTGTAACTGCATGCTTATTATTATAATGAGTTTTTTAACACTAATAACAGTCAAAATTGATTACAAAAAAGTCGGTATAGTTTTTAATTGGGTGCTACTAACAAACACTACACCTTTAGCGTTTATTCTTTTTTCAATTTTTTCTTTCGTTTCATTCTCGTAACTCCTTAACCAAAAATAAAAAGCTTTTGTTACGTATACCACCACTATATTGCCTAGCCAAGCGCTTATAGAAACTAGTAAACATAGTATCGGCTTTTTTTTCGGTAAACTTAAAAATACGCGTATTCGAATAACAGCCGCGTCTGTTATTCGCGAATTCACCCTTAATCCAACATAGCGAAAAAGCTGCAACCTAATGAATTACAATAATACCCATAGAAATCGGACTATTTTATTTATATTCAAAATAAGTTCCTTAAGAAAATTTTAATGAATTGTTGTGTAAGCAAATGTAACTTTTTGTTATAGAAAAAGTTAAAAAAAACATTTAAGAATTTTTTCGATTTTTATTTGTTTTATTACATGAACCTCAATAACTTATTTCTGTGACCTGAAATTTTATGGGATTACTCAAAAAACCCAAATGTAATTTTTTCTTATATGTATACATGGGCAAAACCAAAAAAAAATATCCAAATTCATTCCCTAAGTTTTGTATTGATAGGATTTTTTTACTCATTTTTTGGTGGTTTTTATCCTTATTTAATTTTTTATTAAATTATAATTATAGTAAATTTAAAATTAGAAAACACTTAATTTATATCTTTAATGGCATCATTTCTCGTTCATTTACATTTTCCACGTGGTTCCACTTTTGCACATCTCCAGACAAGAAAATCATAAAAATTGAACCTCCTGCAAAATTAACTGCAGAAATAATGACAAAAATAGTCTGCCAACTTTCAAAATTGCTGGCTTTCTTGGTTAAAAGACCCACCATTTGATTACCAAGCCAACCGTTGAATGACCCAACCAGCAAAACAATTCCAAAAATTGTGCCAGAGTAGTTTGGAGCTATGTCCATTATATTTGATACATAGGATGCGTTTGAGCAACCTCTTATAATAATATAATAATAATACTTTATTTATGCTTAAAAACAATACAGAATTGTGTGCACAAGTCGGGAACATAAATTAATAAATATATAATTATCAACTACACTAATTATAAATAAAAGAATAAATACAAGAAAATTTGTTGCATGATAAAATAAAGAATACAACAAATATAAACAAGCAAATAAAAGATTTAAAAAAAAATACAATTAAAAAACATTAATAATCAAAACACTACATGGCATCAATACATTACATTACTATCACAATATTCCAAAAACTCTTTCGTGCTATAAAAACAATGCTCTAACAAAAACAATTTCAAAGAAGATTTCAATTTTTTTAGAGAGTATTTTTTCCAACTAGGTGGAATCTTGTTGTAAAATATCACCGATTGGTATTTAAAAGACTGCTGCATTTTAGAAAGCCTGCATTTTGGCAGAGCTATCAAGCCTTTATTCCTAGTATCATGACCATGATGATCCCCCTGGCACTGATAGTCCTCAGAATGAGCATACAAGATACAGTCCAAGATATACTGACCACTAAGGGTCAAAATCTTCAGATCTTTAAAAATTGGCCTACAGTGATCAGTATATCCAGCACCATAAATAGTTCTCACAGCTTGCTTCTGCAAAAGGAAAACTTTGTAGGCATTAGAAGAATTTCCCCATGCCAAAGTAGCATAAGATAAATGGCTATGAAAAACAGCAAAGTATGTCATTCTGAGGACACTTCTCGATAATAGACTACGAAGTTGTCTGAGCAAATAGATGCTTTTTGACAACTTACTTAGTAAACTTAAAACATGTGCCTTAAAGTCCATTCTGCTATCCAGGTATATTCCCAAATATTTAATTGAAAGCTGATTATTAAAAGAAGGTTGTAAAGTAAAATACATGCTTTGGGTTTTCTCCTCATTTAAAAGCAAACCATTATCAGCAAACCAAAGTTTGGCATCACTTGCTGCAGTCAAGGAATCCTCTTCAAGACAAGCTTCATCCTTGCTTTTACATAAAATTGTTGTATCGTCCGCATACATAAAAACGGAAGCATTGTTTACAACAAAGTCATTCATAAAAATTATAAATAGTAAAGGCCCAAGAACAGATCCCTGCGGCACTCCAAATTTCATTTGAACAAAGTCGGATTTTATTTTGTCAATTTCCACACATTGATATCTATCGGAAAGGTATGACTTAACTAGTTCAAGGGCCACGCCTCTTACATTATAATGATTAAGCTTGTCCAGAAGAAGATCTCTTGACACAACGTCAAACGCCTTAGACAAATCAAAGAATATTCCCTTAGCAATGCATCCCTCATCCATAGATTTCACAATATTACATACTAAGGAGTTAATTAGTGACATTGTAGAGAGACCATCTCTATATGCAAATTGAAAAGTATTTAAAAAATGTCTTTCATTAAAGTATTTTTGAAGTCTGCCCTTAATTAAGATTTCTAAAACTTTACCCAGAATAGGTGTAATAGATATTGGTCTAAAATTGTTTGGGTCTTTTAAGCTACCCTTTTTGTGTACAGGGACAATTTTGCAAAATTTAAGAACATTTGGAAATATACCATGAACAAAACACTCATTCGCTAACAAAACCAAAGGATCGCCAATTATGCCAGAAACCAACTTAAGAGCTCTGCCATTTAGGCCATACACATCTTTACTTAAGGAGTTACTAAGATCATTAATCGTATTAGCCATTTCATTATAAGAAACAGGAAACAAGAAAAATGACCTAACATCACTTATTCCAAAGTCAGTGGAACAATTATTTATGTTGGTGTTATTAATTACCTTATTAATTGTCTGCAAAAAATGATCGTTAAAAGTTTTCGCATCTATTGTACTCTGTGAAGTAATTTTGGCATTCCTATTGTTATTAATAACTTTCCAAGCAGCTTTTTGTTTATTTACACTATTATTTATATAGTTGCTATTTGCACTAAGTTTTGATTTTTTTATTTCAAGCCTATAAAGTTTTTTATACTCTTTGTAATAATTATAATCTTCTTTACGATTAGAATTTTTTAGATTATCATTTAAAAAATTCAAAAAATCTTTCATACGTTTTAGCTTTTGATTATACCAAACATTATTTGTACTTACTTTTACTTTGGTTAAAGGAAAGGCAGCTTTATAAGCAGTTTGTAAGTTATTTAATAAAAAATTTGCAAGATCATTTGGATCACAAAGACCATAATAGCTTTCCCAATTTATATTTTGAACAAGATTGATATAACTTAAAATATTATTTTCACAAAAATTTTCAACAAGTTTAAAATTATTTACAGACTTAGTATTAGAATTATTTATTTCAACTATGATAGATTTATGATCGGACAAATGGCATTCAACAACCTTGCACAAATTAACGTTATCTTGACAATTTGAAAAAACATCATCAATATGTGTACTTGTCATTAAAGTCACCCTAGTAGGCTCTTTAACATGATTATACATATTATACATTTTAAATAAGTTTCTTATCTCAATTACGTCTGTATTGTTATTATTTAAAAAGTTTATGTTAAAATCCCCACAAACTATAATACTTTTGTTTTTTGGTATATTAAATAAAATTGTATTTATGTTTTCCTTAAATGCTTTTAAATTACCCAGTGGTGATCTATATAAGCAAATAATAATTGTATTAAGCTTAATTAACTCAATAGCTGCAAATTCAGAGTCAATCTCTACTGAAGAAAAATCAACTTTTTTAAAATTAGTACCATTTTTAACAAAAATACAAACACCACCATGTACATGAATTGATCTGCAAAAGTAAGCAGCTAATACATAATTATTTAACTTTAAATACGACATCGTTAGTTCAGATACCCACGTTTCACTGAAACACATAACATCCATTACACTTTCTTCAGTAATAGCTTCAATTAAATCCAATTTATTTGTTAAACATTGAACATTTCCATAAAAAATTCTAGTTAAGTTTTTGCACCTTACGATGCTTTTTTCTCCTTTGGGCGGGGGTGAAAAAACCTTGAGATGAAAGCTCCTTCAGGCCATAATTCAGGATCCATTGCTTTATCCAATTTATAAAGATCTACAATTACTTTGAAAGAAGAATAATATTGAGGATATTTAGATTCAATTTCCTCACATTCCACTTCCGGAAAATCACCTTTCAAATAGTCTATAATGCATTTACTTTTAGTGCCAGGCTTGAGACGTGATACATAGATAAATGCCTTCTTTGGGACTACTGATAGGGAACATTTGGTTGAGTTAGATTTTCCCACAACTCCAGTATTTTGTTTTTTATTCTTGTGATTTTTTGTCACTACGCTAAACAATTTTTTACTCTCTGCGCCTAAATCAGAATTTATATTTATTAAATTATCACATATTTGTTTAGATTTAATTTCTAAAACAGCATTTGCTACTTTGTTCTTAGAAACTAAAGGACTTTTTTCGGTTATTGTTGGCAGCTTTTTACTACTAGATGAAGTTTCAGGTCCATCGGTTTTTGATAAATCACCAGTAGGAATGGAAACTTTTATTTGCTTTTGAGAATTATTTATATTGCAATCTTTTCCATTGATAGTTTCCATTAAGGTTATTTGCTTAGATAAAGCGTTAATTGTAATTTGCTGATTGAAAATTATAGTATCTTTTTGTTTTAAAAGCTCTTTTAAATAAAATATTTCCATTTTAGAAGGTTCATTTAATTCGCTTAAATTATTATCACTTGGATTTGGTGTAGGTGTAGTTGGATTAGATAAACAACAATTAATTTGATTTTCATTGATGAAAACAACATTTTTCATCTGTTTAGCACAGCCAGGGTGCATAACAGCATTACAAGTAATACATTTGATGCCTGATTGAGGAACTTTTTGACACCTTTTACACTTATCATCCATGATTAAAATTATTATTAATGTCGTTTAAAAGTAAATTTTGTACAAGCTCTTAGTGGCTCAGAGGAGAACACCGCGCACCAGCAATCCCCGGCTCCGCAGGACCCGGGCTCGAAACCCAGCGCCGACACAAAAATTTTTTAATAAATATAACAAAGTTTTTTATGAAGGTTTTTTAGTTTACACTCACTGTGAAGGTTAATATTGTTCATTAAAATCGTAAATTAACGAATAGTCACTATCTAAACATTTTGTTTTGCATATTTGTTCTATTAACAAACATCACACACTAAAAACTATCACATTTTTAATAATTGTTTAAACGTAAAATCCACTTAAAACAAACATTAATTGGGAGCACATTTTTATACTTGAAGTTGATGGAACGCACAATGTGCAATTGCGAAGAAGACTAGAATGACTTAAAGTCAGAAGACCTACAACTACTAAAGGATCGAATCTACAGAAGGCTACAACCAACAGCAGGATTGTTGGTATATAAAATGATATAACGATGAATATTCTGCGTATATTTTTAGTCGATATCAAGTTTTTTCGTAGCTTGTCTGCTGCATAACATCCTATGCATGCCATAATGTAGGTTCCTACCAACATTAATTAACTTTACATGTGTGAGGGTCATTTAAAAAACAGAGATGTTGCTAGTATGACCAAAAATAAGCTTCAATATTTTTTTAGACGCATTGCTTGCGTTTTATTCTTTTTTGAAAGTACCAAATATTGAAGCGGTCTGATCATATTAGCTATTTTGTCTCAAGACCGTTTTTTTCCATATTAGATTATACATAATATTATTACCTATAAATGATGGACAAGAAAAAAGACCATTACTTGCTATAGAAAAATTAAGAACGTCATTCATATAGGTCGGAAGTTGATTTATGAATATGAATTGATAAAACGTGTTTCCGGTTTGGGCTGCCACTATACTCCAAAATGACATTGACGTGAAAATACTTTTTTCTACGCTTATTACGGAATTTGACAGTTCTTATATGACTTTTTAATCTGGAATTACGTATATTCCATAAAGTGTTACAGAATAATTATTCCGCACATGTTCTAATGATGGAATGAGCACTGGGGGCGACATCTCTATGTTTATTTTATAACTCACTTGTATTCCTACCAAATCTAGTTTTTTCAGAAAGGCCCGGTAGAAAATATTAATCGGTAGTGTATACAATAGGATTTAAAACAGTTTGCGTTAATAAAAATACCCAAAATATATCTTCTTTACAAGCTAGTTGTAATTCTGTTTGGCCGATTTAGTAGGATCCTATTAGAATATTTAGGTTTGACTTAGTCCCAAAGAGATGGCAGCACTGGTTAATTGTTTACGTCTGTCATTAGTTAATTTAAAATTTGAAATTCAAATAATAACTTATTTGTCATTCCTTACAATTTGTCCATTTCTTCTTTATACTTCCTAATTTAGGTTCTGCAAAATTATGTAAGTAATTTTTATAAGCTTATTTAAAAATTATCTTATTTACTACCATCATAAAATCTAACATCTGTCAAAAGATAACCTAACTTTTTTCCAATTAAATAATTTCTCTGGTATTTTTTATAAGCGTAGAAAAAGTATAGTCTGAAACACGTTTGGAATTGCATATTCCACTCTCGTGAAACCGTCACACTCGCCTTCGGCTCGTGTGACAAACTTTTCACTCGAGCGGAATATGCTGTATTCCAAACTTGTTACAGAATATACTATTCCAAGGCACTTTTGAGGGTTTCCTGCCTATATTAGCATTTTCCAACTGCATAGCATGTTTAATTTTAGTTTTTTCTTCCGTGGATATTCTAGGGTGAGTATCTGGGGAATCGTATATAGTAAAGAACCATAGGACGCTCCATAATATACCTATGCTTCCGGTGACGTAAAAATCACTTTTCCAGCCTAGGTAAGTTATAAGATACCCGCATAGTGGCAATGTGATTGCCATACCCAAACCCCCCGCTGCCATATTTGACGTAAATTTGGACCTATCCAATGGAGGTATCCAGTTTACTGCTATGGTTAAAACCCCTGGAAAGGAGGCACCAATACATACACCCACAAGTAAACGACTTATAAGGGCCATATAAAAATGCATCTTGCAAGCAAGTGGAAACAGTATTGTTAAAATACTCGCCATAAGAATGCCATTGCCAAAAACAAGTCGTGTTCCGTACTTTTCTGCCAGTCGTCCTCCTAGGAATCCCGAGGGTGCATACCCACACAAAAATATAGCCAACAGTTGGTTTTTTTCAAAGGCGCCCCAGTCAACAAATTCACCTGATTTTATCATATCCACAAGAGCTATAGATATATTGATGCGTAACATGAAATTCACGATAAATCCTGTGCTTGACATTGTATAAAGAATGGTGATGCATGATAAAAAACCTTAAAAACGTGTCGTTTATAGAATTATCATGTTAACTATATTTGCACCGTTTGGGCAAATTATTAAACCATTTTGGTGTCTACATAGTGTAAAAGTATTTAAGTCGAAATTTTAATAGCTTAGCAATAGATTAAATGCATTGTTTGAAAACAAATAATAAAGGACGCCCTAAAAAGTGAATATTGACTTATCTAGTTTTTGCCAAATGGTGTAGATAATATTAAATATTTCAGGTACATACCTAACTTTTTCAAAGTCATTTGTTAGTACATAAACAATATAAAAATATATTTTCTTTAGTTTATTACTAATCTGCATACTATATATATTTGTAATATTGTAACTGCTTGTTATTTTATACACCACTTACAGTCAAATTGATAACAAAAAAGTCTTATTTAATTGGGTGCTATAAAAAAAGAAACCTTTGCCCCAAGGAAATCTGCCATTCCCTTAAATGAATGAAGGGTTTAAAGCAAATACGTCATTTCATTGAGATCATTTCATGATTTGTCTTTGTTGCAAAGAAACATGAATTTAGAAGATCTTCATTATAGGTCCTTAAATGCCGTGCTTTTATTAATAACTCGGTACTGATTTGGATCAAAGGCTGGAGTAATTTGAAATAAAGAAAAGCGGGTTTACAACAAAATCTTAGGTTCTTGTTCTTAAAAACTTAGGAATTTGTATCAAAAGTCGGATGTGTGGATTTAAATCTATTGGCATTTAAGTTAAGTGATTTAATTTTTTGTAACAAAATCCGGGTTCTTTATTTTAAATCCATTAGCGTTTGATTAAAAAGTTTTGTTATTTGTATCAAAACTCGAATTTATTGCTCTATAAATCTATGGGCATTTTAACCAAAGCCCGAATTTCTTTAGCTGAAACTCTTTGATTTTGAAAAAATTGTCCGCGTAAATTAAAAAAAAGAACAATAATTTTTACTAAAAACATATATTTATTAAAAATATAAAAGACATTATTCATACAGTCAGAAACATAAAATACATTGATTATACAAAATAGAAAAAACTGATTCATCTTACACTCATAAACATAAAATACATTGTTTAAACAAAATACAAAAAACTGATTAATCTTACACTCACAAAAATTTCCACCTTTTGCAGCTGTAGGCTATGGCCTAGCTAGCCTATTTAGAAATCCGCCTCTGGATATCTGTCAAGAAATAAGAAGGATATATTCTCCTCCCAAAGACTAGAAAATAATGCGGTAAGTATTTGTCAATATGTTTTAAGACTTTAACACAAAACTATCCTAATATTGAATTAATCCCCGTGCATTTGAGCCAAAACCTATATATAGGTGTGTTTTATCTATGGAGGACATGAATTGCTGACATGTAGGTTTTGGATCAAATGCATGGGGATTTATTCAATATTATGATGGTTTTGTGTTAAAGTCTTAAAACATATTGACAAATGCCGCATTATTTTCTTACAAAATTTTAATCTTTGGGAGAAGGTATAGGTAACCATTTTTATTTTCATGTTCTAAGAAAGCGATTTACAGAATAATTATATTTGCATGAAATAGTTAAATTTTAGTCGATTTTAGCTTATTAATTAGGTACTTATCTTTATTAGATTCCTAATTAATTAAAATTTTAAAAATAAGAATACACAACCTATAAAATTAAACGTTGGAATAATGTCCCAAAGTTTAAGCAGTTCCTTTATGGTACCCATAATCTCGATCTGTAACACTTTGGTACAAATAATCTTGATTTATAACCATAGAAAAAGTCTAACACTAGTTATTTATTCGGAATAAATTATTCGCACCTTTGATGAAAACAAAGTACTGTCGACGCGACGCTTGGACTGATACTGAAGGCCCCTCTTGCACTAAGAGAAAAGAATATTTTTACCAAACGTTGCAATTGTTTGAGCCTGATAGCTTTGAATCAAACAACTGAAATTTAATTCAAAATTAGTGCTTTTGCTTAGAATAGGTGAACTGCTTTGCCAGAAATGGTTGATTCGTTTAGGGTGCTGTGTTTGCTTGGAATATTATTAAGTTCTATGCAAACTTTGTACTGATAGTCATTAAGATTGGGTTTTTTACGTTTGAATAAAATTTATGTAGGTTTCCATAAAACGTGCAATATTTTCCACTAAAATTTATTAATGGATTAACTGAAATAGATAAAACTTATTATAAATCTGCTACCATTTTTGCGAAAAGCTGAGCATTTGCAACAAATTTAATAAGTTTGTGGCAAACATATCGAAGTTAATGGGTAATTGTGCTTAGTTTGGAAAGGGCAATTTTTGGAGTGGGGGAACGCCTCTTCAAACGCGTCTTCTCGTGCACGTACAGTGTCATATAAAGTTTTAAATTTGCCTCAATTTATATATACGGTTCTTACAAAATAATTTTGCTTCCATGCAAACATTTGGATGAAACGGCATAACGTTTAAGAATATTGTATAAATCATCGGCCTTATCACGAAGTGGCCTAACCCACAAATTTGAAAACAGTGACATTTTGCGAGAGTTAACTTACGATGGTCTATTTTATTACTCCACGAGGTGGCCTATAGTACAAAGTCTACTATAAAAATACATTTCTTGATAATAGAATAAACCATTGTAAGTTAATCTGCGAAAAATCTCATTTTGTTTTTCAATTTTGTGGGTTAGGCCACTTCGTGATAAGGCCGACGATTTATAAAATATTCTTAACCATTATGCTGTTTCTTCCAAAGAAACCGAAATTTCTTCAGAAATGCACGTCCGTTTAATGGAAATGAACTTAATTGGTAACAAGCAGATACCAATTTTTCCTAAAATTAGTAGGTTTAAGGCAAACCTACATCGATTCATACAAAATCGACTATACTAGTAGCAAGCAATAACCAATTTATCAGAAAAGTATTCAACAAAGAATTCAAACTCAGCAAATTTGACACAAATCTAGATGCGTTTCGTTCAAAAGCAGTTTTCCGGAATCGCCAAAGTGATGGTTTTTTACCATTAAAACTTGGTATATTCCGCCGTATTTAAATATGTCATACGTTTGAAACAAACTTTATGCCTTTCGCTGAAATAAAACCTTCTCTCAGTGTGTTGCAAGAACTATTAAATTACCAAGTGATTTCCGACAAATGCTTAGTTCTTGAAATAAAGTTATTAAATAATATGTTAATATAAACTACACTGTTTAAAAGTTTCACTTTTTTATTTAAATATAACAATTGTTTCGCTACACAGTAGCATCTTTAGATCTTATCCAAACTAATATTAATTTTCTATTTATAAAACTGATGGTTTTAACAGGTAAAATCCTTAGTACAATATTGGGGGTAGATTAATTAAGCGTTATACATTAAAGGAAACATAATTGTGGGAATGCCCTTTAATCTTTATAGTTATATAATACTAAACTTTTTGGATATATTAAAATAAGTATAATAACGGGGAATTATTGGTATCTATTTGGTAATTGAGAATAATATCAGTTTTTTTCTTTAATTTGTTAATTTCTATGGACTCTAATAAATTCAGTTTCAAACTTTGGTTTTCTATATGTAAGATTTTAAAGTTAGAATTAAAATTATGGTTGTCATTGATATATCATATCATATCATATCTTATAAGATGGGTTGCAAAGGTGGAATCTGTTTTATGGTTTATAAATGATTTTCTATGTTCGTTTATTCTAGTTTTAAAGCAGCGTCCTGTTTGTCCTATATGGGTAATTCTTTTACAAACCGAACACTTTTTGACCGACACATCTCAGATTTGGCTGAAACTTTTTTTACGGATTCTATGTCGAAAAATAAGAGATACGTGTCCGAGAAATTTTTTTTCTCTCGCATATTTTCGATAATACAAGCTATCGAAAATTTGAGAATAACGAGTTTTTTGGATTGGAGACTCATTTTCAAAAATTTATAACTCTGGTTATATTTGAGCTACAAACTTCTTTTTTTTTTTCATTTTAAAGCTAAAAGACTGAATTTTGATAAAAAAATATTTTTAATAAATATTATTAACAAATTCATATTGTTATTAACAATTTCATTATTTAAATCAATTTTTAACAATGGCCCCCACCTCGTAATAAGTTTTTAGTATTTTTATCGTATTCTCCGTCAAATTTTACATAAAAAACATGTTTTCAAAATATGGTACCTTTATTATTACTATTGTTAAAACATTAATTTGTATTGCGCGACACATAAAAAAACGGTTTTTTGTTAATAAAAAGAAAACTATAGCTCGGATCAAAAAAAGTCAAATATATAAGTTGTAGATAATAAAAAGATCTACAATTTTTATTTTATTTATTTTTTGACATAACCTTACTTTTCAAATAAATTGAAATTTTTCAATTTATTTGAAAAGTGAGGTTATGTCAAAAAATAGTTAAAATAAAAATTGTATATCTTTTTATTATCTACAACTTTTATATATGACTTTTTTTGATCCGAGCTATAGTTTTCTTTTTATTAACAAAAAACCGTTTTTTTATGTGTCGCGCAATACAAATTAATGTTTTAACAATAGTAATAATAAAGGTACCATATTTTGAAAACATATTTTTTATGTACAATTTAATGGAGAATACGATAAAAATACTAAAAACTTAATACGAGGTGGGGGCCATTATTAAAAATTGATTTAAACAATGAAATTGTTAATAACAATATGAATTTGTTAATAATATTTATTAAAAATATTTTTTTATAAAAATTCAGTCCTTTAGCTTTAAAATGAAAAAAAAAAAGAAGTTTGTAGCTCAAATAGAACCAGAGTTATAAATTTTTGAAAATGAGTCTCCAAGCCAAAAAACTCGTTATTCTCAAATTTTCCATAGCTTGTATTATCGAAAATATGCGAGAGAAAAAAAATTCCTCGGACACGTATCTCTTATTTTTCGACATAGAATCCGTAAAAAAAGTTTCAGCCAAATCTGAGATGTGTCGGTCAAAAGGTGTTCGGTTTATAAAAGAATTACTCATATACGTTTTAGGGAATTTGCCCAAGTTAATTGGTAAACTCCTGATTTATTGTTTTTACTGGTCTTATCTTTATTATTTTTAATGAAATTTCTTAAATTATTATTGGTTTTAAATGTGAATTTTATGTTTTTTTTGTTTAGAAAAGAACACAACTGTCTCATATTAGTACCTAAATATGTTAAAGTGTTGTATGTTCTTCTAGGGTTCTTAGGTATTGGGAATATTTGGTTAATTGCAATTTTATCTACTTTTTTATTATAAATGTTATCTACTATTTGTGAATTATATCCATTATTGGCAGCGATTTGTTTTATTATATTTAGTTCGTACGTATTTGGAATCTATTTCAGATAATGGTACATTTAACAGTCTATGAATCATGGAATCATGGAATTAAAGTTATTAAAAAGGATTTAGCCAAAAAAATCGAGAGTGCCTCAAATGCATCAGCTATTTAGCCAAATGCCAAGGAATTTGCAAAAAGTTAACTTTCTTTAAACTAAAAGAATAATTTTCAAATGAATGGATTCTTTTGCCTAAAATAATCTATGTTTATCAGTTTAGTTTGGCACAAAACCGTGGGATTTCTAGCAATAACATTAAAATTTGACAGAAAGACATGAATTGAAGATTTCTTTTGTCTAAATGCCTTTACTTTGCCTTAAAGTAATTAAATGTCAAAAGAATCGAGAATTACACCTAAATGCAGCAATTATCTTATCCGAAGAGAAACGAATTTAAAATAAATACAGTTTCTTTGAATTGAATCAATGTTTTTAAAATGAATAGATTCTTTTGCCGCAAGGATACTATTTTTATCAGTGTACATATCAATAAACACAACGTTTTGCGGTTTAGATTCTTTTTTTAATTTTTTTACTTTTAACTCTCGGGAACCAAATATTAAAAAAAAACACCGGGTACGCATCCCAGTAAAATTATAATAAAACCGGACTTTATCTTTGTTCCTAATTATGATTTTTATTTAAACTGTCACACTTAATTTATATCTTTAATGGCATCATTTCTCGTTCATTTACATTTTCCACGTGGTTCCACTTTTGCACATCTCCAGACAAGAAAATCATAAAAATTGAACCTCCAGCAAAATTAACTGCAGAAATAATGACAAAAATAGTCTGCCAACTTTCAAAATTGCTGGCTTTCTTGGTTAAAAGACCCACCATTTGATTACCAAGCCAACCGTTGAATGACCCAACCACCAAAACAATTCCTAAAATTGTGCCAGAGTAGTTTGGAGCTATGTCCATTATATTTGATACATAGGATGCTGTTGAGCAACCTCTTATAGAATGACTTAAAGTCAGAAGACCTACAACTACTAAAGGATCGAATCTACAGAAGGCTACAACCAACAGCAGGATTGTTGGTATATAAAATGCTATAACGATGAATATTCTGCGTATATTTTTAGTCGATATCAAGTTTTTTCGTAGCTTGTCTGCTATATAACATCCTATGCATGCCATAGTGTAGGATCCTACAAACATTAATTAACTTTAATTAACGTACATTTGTGAGGGTCATTTAAAAAACAAAGATGTTACTAGTATGACCAAAAATAAGCTTCAATATTTTTTTAGATGCATTGCTTGCGTTTTTTTCTCTTTTGAAAGTACCAAATATTGTAGCGCTCTGATCATATTAGCTATTTTGTCTCAAGACCGTTTTTTTCCATATAAGATTATACATAATATTACCTATAAATGGTGGACAAGAAAAAATACCATTACTTGCTATAGAAAAATTAAGAACGTCATTCATATAGGTCGGAAGTTGATTTATGAATATGAATTGATAAAACGTGTTTCCGGTTTGGGCTGCTATTATACTCCAAAATGACATTGACGTGAAAATACTTTTCCAAGGCACTTTTGAGGGTTTTCTTCCTATATTAGCATTTTCCAACTGCATGGCATGTTTAATTTTAGTTTTTTCTTCCTTGGATATTCTAGGGTGTGTGTCTGGGGAATCGTATATAGTCAAGAACCATATGACGCTCCATAATATACCTATGCTTCCGGTGACGTAAAAATCACTTTTCCAGCCTAGGTAAGTTATAAGATACCCGCATAGTGGCAATGTGATTGCCATACCCAAACCCCCCGCTGCCATATTTGACGTAAATTTGGACCTATCCAATGGAGGTATCCAGTTTACTGCTATGGTTAATATCCCTGGTAAGGAGCCACCAAGACATACACCCATAAGTAAACGACTTATAAGGGCCATATAAAAATGCATCTTGCAAGCTAGTGGAAACAGTATTGTTAAAATACTCGCCATAAGAATGCCATTGCCAAAAACAAGTCGTGTTCCGTACTTTTCTGCCAGTCGTCCTCCTATGAATCCCGAGGGTGCATACCCACACAAAAATATAGCCAACAGTTGGTTTTTTTCAAAAGCACCCCAGTCAACAAATTCACCTGATTTTATCATGTCCACAAGAGCTATAGATATATTGATGCGTAACATGAAATTCACCATAAATCCTGTGATTGACATTGTATAAAGAATGTTGATGCATGATAAAAAACCTAAAAAAAGTGTCGTTAATAGAATTATTATGTTAACTATATTTGCACCGTTTGGGGAAAATGAGATAGTTTATTAAACCGTTTTGGTGTCTATGACATAGTGTAAAAGTATTTAAGTCGAAATTTTAATAGCTTAGCAATAGATTAAATGCATTGTTTGAAAACAAATAATAAAAGACCTTAAAGTGCTGCCCTAAAAAGTTAATATTGACTTATCTAGTTTTTCCCAAATGGTTGTATATTTGAGGTATATACCTAACTTTTTCGATGTCATTTGTTATAACATAAACAATATAAAAATATATTTCTATTAGTTTATTCATAATCTGCATTCTATATATATTTGCTTGTTACTTAATGAGTTTTTTTAAACACCAATTACAGTCAAATTGATAACAAAAAAGTCCTTGACTTATTTAATTGGGTGCTACATACCAATAAACACTTCACGTTTTGCGGTTTAGGTTCTTCTTTTAAATTTTTCACTTGTAACTCTCCGGAACCAAATATTAAAAAAAAATAAACCACCGGGTACGAATCCCAGTAAAATTATAATAAAAACGGACGTTCTCTTTCTTCCTAATTATGATTTTTATTTAAACTGTCACACCTTAATTTTTTATTAAATTATAATTATAGTAAATTTAAAATTAAGAAACACTTAATTTATATCTTTAATGGCATCCTTTCTCGTTCATTTACATTTTCCACGTGGTTCCACTTTTGCACATCTCCAGACAAGAAAATCATAAAAATTGAACCTCCTGCAAAATTAACTGCAGAAATAATGACAAAAATAGTCTGCCAACTTTCAAAATTGCTGGCTTTCTTGGTTAAAAGACCCACCATTTGAGTACCAAGCCAACCGCTGAATGAACCAACCACCAAAACAATTCCTAAAATTGTGCCAGAGTAGTTTGGAGCTATGTCCATTATATTTGATACATAGGATGCTGTTGCGCAACCTCTTAAAGAATGAATTAAAGTCAGAAGACCTACAACTACTAAAGGATCGAATCTACAGAAGGCTACAACCAACAGCAGGATTGTTGGTATATAAAATGATATAACGATGAATAATCTGCGTATATTTTTGGTCGATATCAAGTTTTTTCGTAGCTTGTCTGCTAAATAACATCCTATGCATGCCATAATGTAGGATCCTACAAACATTAATTGTGTGAGGGTTATTTAAAAAACAGAGATGTTGCTAGTATGACCAAGTATAAACTTTAATATTTTTTTAGACGCCTTGCTTGCGTTTTTCTCTTTTTTGAAAGTGCCAAATATTGTAGCGCTCTGGTCATATTAGCTATTTTGTCTCGAGACCTTTTTTACTATATTAAATTATACATAATATTATTACCTATAAATGGTGGACAAGAAAAAAGACCATTACTTGCTATAGAAAAATTAAGAACGTCATTCATATAGGTCGGAAGTAGATTATTGTATATGAATTGATAAAATGTGCTTCCGTTTTGGGCTGCTATTATACTCCAAAATGGCATTGACGTGAAAATACTTTTCCAAGGCACTTTTGAGGGTTTCCTTCCTATATTAGCATTTTCCAACTGCATGGCATGTTTAATTTTATTGTTTTCTTCCGTGGATATTCTAGGGTGTGTATCTGGGGAATCGTATATAGTAAAGAACCATAGCACGCTCCATAGTATACCTATGCTTCCGGTGACGTAAAAATCACTTTTCCAGCCTAGGTAAGTTATAAGATACCCGCATAGTGGCATTGTAATTGCCATACCCAAACCCCCCGCTGCCATATTTGACGTAAATTTGGACCTATCCAATGGGGGTATCCAGTTTACTGCTATGGTTAATACCCCTGGTACGGTGGCACCAAGACATACCCCAACAAGTAAACGACTTATTAGGGCCATATAAAAATTCATCTTGCAAGCAAGTGGAAACAGTATTGTTAAAATACTCGCCATAAGAATGCCATTGCCAAAAACCAGTCTTGTTCCGTACTTTTCTGCCAGTCGTCCACCTATGAATCCCGAGGGTGCATACCCCCACAAAAATATAGCCAACAGTTGATTTTTTTCAAAGGCACCCCAGTCAACAAATTCACTTGATTTTATCATGTCCACAAGAGCTATAGATATATTGATGCGTAACATGAAATTCACCATAAGTCCTGTGGTTGACATTGTATAAAGAATGGTGATGCATGATAAAAAACCTAAAAAAATGGTCGTTTATAGAATTATTATGTTAACTATATTTGCACCGTTTGGGCAAAATGAGATAGTTTATTAAACCGTTTTGGTGTCTACATAGTGTAAAAATATTTAAGTCGAAATTTTAATAGCTTAGCAAAAGATTAAATGCAGTTTTTGAAAACAAATAATCATAAAAACTCGATTAACACTGGAAATAAAAGACCTTAAAGTGCTGACCAAAAAAGTGAATATTGACTTATCTAGTTTTTCCCAAATGGTGTAGATAATATTATATATTTCAGGTATATACCTAACTTGTTCGATGCCATTTGTTATAACATAAACAATATAAAAATATATTTCTATTATTTTATTCATAATCTGTTTACTATATATATTTGTAATATTGTAACTGCTTGTTATTTTAATGAGTTTTTTCAACACCAATTACAGTCAAATTGATAACAAAAAATTCCTTTTCTTATTTAATTGGATATATATTTTGTATTGACAGGATTTTTTACCTATTTTTGGGTGGTTTTTATCATTTTATTTATTACTAATTATTTTAAATTAAACTGTCACATCTTAATTTTTCTATAAAATTATAATTACAGTAAATTTTAAATGAGGAAACACTTAATTTAAATCTTTAATATCGTCAATTCTTCTTCATTTACATTTTCCAGTTGGTTCCACTTTTGCACATCTCCAGACAAAAAAATCATGAAAATTGACCCTCCAGCGAAATTAACTGCAGAAATAATGACAAAAATAGTCTTCCAACTTTCAAAATTGCTGCCTTCCTTGGTAAAAAAATCCACCATTTGATTTCCAAGCCAACCGGTGAAAGAACCAACTACCCCAACAATGCCTAAAATCGTGCCAGAGTAGTTTGGAGCTATGTCCATTATATTTGATACATAAGATGCGTTTGAGCAACCTCTTATAGAATGACTTAAAGTCAGAAGACCTACAACTACTAAAGGATCGAATCTACAGAAGGCTACAACCAACAGCAGGATTGTTGGTATATAAAATGATATAACGATGAATATTCTGCGTATATTTTTAGTCGATATCAAGTTTTTTCGTAGCTTATCTGCTGAATAACATCCTATGCATGCGATAATGTAGGATCCTACAAATAAAAATTAACTTTAATTTTGGTAACTTACATGTATGAGGGTCAGTCGAAAAACAGAGATATTGCTAGTATGACCAAGGATAAACTTTATTAAACTTTAATATTTTTTTAGACGCCTTGGTTGCGTTTTTCTCTTTTTTGAAAGTACATAATATTATTGCGCTTTGGTCATATTAGCTATTTTTTCTCATAATAACTTTTTGTTCTATGTTAGATTATATATGTATAAATAATATTATTACCTATAAAAGGTGGACAAGAAAAAAGACCATTACTTGCTATAGAAAAATTGATAACGTCATTCATATAGGTCGGAAGTTGATTTATGTATATGAATTGATAAATTGTGCTTCCGTTTTGTGCTGCTATTATACTCCAAAATGGCATTGACGTGAAAATACTTTTCCAAGGCACTTTTGTGGGTTTCTGTCCTATATTAGCCTTTTCCAACTGCATGGCTTTCTTAATTTTATTTTTTTCTTCAATGAATATTCTAGGGTGTGTATCTGGAGAATCGTATATAGTAAAGAAGCATATGACGCTCCATAATATACCTATGCTTCCGGTGACGTAAAAATTACTTTTCCAGCCTAGGTAAGTTATAAGATACCCGCATAGTGGCAATGTGATTGCCATACCCAAACCCCCCGCTGCCATATTTGACGTAAATTTGGACCTATCCAATGGGGGTATCCAGTTTACTGCTATGGTTAATACCCCTGGTACGGTGGCACCAAGACATACACCAACAAGTAAACGACTTATAAGGGCCATATAAAAATTCATCTTGCAAGCAATTGGAAACAGTATTGTTAAAATACTCGCCATAAGAATGCCATTGCCAAAAACCAGTCTTGTTCCGTACTTTTCTGCCAGTCGTCCTCCTATGAACCCCGAGGGTGCATACCCCCACAAAAATATAGACAACAGTTGATTTTTTTCAAAGGAACCCCAATCAACAAAATCACTTGATTTTATCATGTCCACAAGAGCTATAGTTATATTTGCTCGCAGCATAAAACTCACCATGCATCCTGTGATTGACATTATATAAAGTATGGTGATGCATGATAGATGACCTAAAAAATGTGTTGTTTAAAGAATTATTATATTAACTATATCTACACCGTTTGGGAAAAACTAGATAAGTCGATATTGGACCAAATAAGATTTATTGGTGTCTAAGACATTGTGAAAAAGTAGTCAAGTCGAAATGTCAATAGCTTAGCAATATATTAAATGTATTGTTTGAAAAAAAATATCATAAAACTTGATTAACACTGGAATTAAAAGATCTAGTTTTTTCCCAAATGGTATAGATATTATACAATATGTATGTACCTGATTTCTTCAAAGCCATTTTTTGTAAACAAAATAAGTATTTTTCGCGAATTCATTTTTGTGTTTATAATCTATACATTGTTACTATAAATATTTATAAAAATCGCAACTGCTTTACTATATTATTATTATAATGTATTTTTTTTAGCACTAATTGCCGTCAAAATTGATAAAAATAGTCCTTGACGTATTTAATTGGGTCCTACCAGTAAACAAATTAAGCGGTTCAGATTCTTCTTTCACTTTTTTTAACGAATAAACTTTCCAGTAAAATTATAGCAAAAAGGGGCTTTTAACGTCCAAAGTCGCTGATTTCTCTTGTTAGGTAACCTACCATTTTATTGCTTGGCCAACCGCTTAGAGAACCTAGTACATAGTGAAAAAGTAAAAAAAAAACATTTAAGAATTTTTTCGATTTTTGTTTGTTTTAATGTATGAACCTTATTTCTGTGACCTGAAATTTTGAAAAATTACCGAGGGGATTACTCAAAGAACCCAAATCTAATTTTTTGTTACATGTACATACCTATCGGCAAAACCATGTACATACATATCGGCAAAACGATGTACATACCTATCAGCAAAACCAAAAATATTTTGTATTGATAGGATTTTTTTACCTTTTTTTGGGTGGATTTTATCATTTTATTTATTCCAAATTATTTTAAATTAAACAGTCACATCTTAATTTTTCTATAAAATTATAATTACAGTAAATTTTAAATGAGGAAACACTTAATTTAAATCTTTAATATCGTCAATTCTTGTTCATTTACATTTTCCAGTTGGTTCCACTTTTGCACATCTCCAGACAAAAAAATCATGAAAATTGACCCTCCAGCGAAATTAACTGCAGAAATAATGACAAAAATAGTCTGCCAACTTTCAAAATTGCTGCCTTCCTTGGTAAAAAAATCCACCATTTGATTTCCAAGCCAACCGGTCAAAGAACCAACCACCCCAACAATGCCTAAAATCGTGCCAGAGTAGTTTGGAGCTATGTCCATTATATTTGATATGTATGCTGCTGTTGCGGAACCTCTTATAGAATGAATTAAAGTCAAAAGACCTACAGCTACTAAGGGATCAAATCTACAAAAGGCTAGAACCAACAGTAGGATTGTTGGTATATAAAATGATATAACGACGAATAGCCTCCGTACATTTTTGGTCGATATCAAGTTTTTTCGTAGCTTATCTGCTGAATAACATCCTATACATGCGATAATGTAGGATCCTACAAATAAAAATTAACTTTAATTTTGGTAACTTACATGTATGAGGGTCAGTCGAAAAACAGAGATATTGCTAGTATGAACAAGGATAAACTTTATTAAACTTTATTTTTTTTTAAGACGCCTTGGTTGCGTTTTCCCTTTTTTAAAAGTACATAATATTATTGCGCTTTGGTCATATTAGCTTTTTGGTCTATGTTAGATTATTATGTTAGATTATATATGTATACTTAATATTATTACCTATAAAAGGTGGACAAGAAAAAACACCATTACTTGCTATAGAAAAATTGAGAACGTCATTCATATAGGTCGGAAGTTGATTTATGTATATGAATTGATAAATTGTGCTTCCGCTTTGTGCTGCTATTATACTCCAAAATGGCATTGACGTGAAAATACTTTTCCAAGGCACTTTTGTGGGTTTCCTTCCTATATTAGCCTTTTCCAACTGCATGGCTTTCTTAAATTTATTTTTTTCTTCAATGGATATTCTAGGGTGTGTATCTGGGGAATCGTATATAGTAAAGAACCATATGACGCTCCATAATATACCTATGCTTCCGGTGACGTAAAAATCACTTTTCCAGCCTAGGTAAGTTATAAGATACCCGCATAGCGGCAATGTGATTGCCATACCCAAATCCCCTGCTGCCATATTTGACGCAAATTTGGACCTATCCAATGGAGGTATCCAGTTTACTGCTATGGTTAACATCCCTGGTGAGGTGGCACCAAGACATAACCCCATAAGTAAACGACTTATAAGGGCCATGTAAAAATGCATTTTGCAAAAAAGTGGAAAAAATATTGTTACAATGCTCGCCATAAGAATTCCATTGCCAAAAACAAATCTTGTTCCGTACTTTTCTGACATTCGTCCTCCTATGAACCCCGAGGGCGCATACCCCCACAAAAATATAGACAACAGTTGATTTTTTTCAAGGGAACCCCAATCAACAAAATCACTTGATTTTATCATATGCACAAGAGCTATAGTTATATTTGCTCGCAGCATAAAATTCACCATGCATCCTGTGATTGACATTATATAAAGTATGGTGATGCATGATAGATGACCTAAAAAAATGTGTTGTTTAAAGAATTATTATATTAACTATATCTGCACCGTTTTGAAAAACTAGATAAGTCGATATTGGACCAAATAAGATTTATTGGGTCTAAGACATTGAGTAAAAGTAGTTAAGTCGAAATGTCAATAGCTTAGCAATATATTAAATGTATTATTTGGAAAAAAATATCATAAAACTTGATTTACACTGGAATTAAAAGATCTAGTTTTTTCCCAAATGGTATAGATATTATACAATATGTATGTACCTGATTTCTTCAAAGCCATTTTTTATAAACAAAAGTATTTTTCGCGAATACATTTTTGTGTTTATAATCTATACATTGTTACTATAAATATTTATAAAAATCGCAACTGCTTTACTATATTATTATTATAATGTGTTTTTTAGCACTAATTGCCGTCAAAATTGATAAAAATAGTCCTTGACGTATTTAATTGGGTCCTACTAGTAAACATATTAAGCGGTTCAGATTCTTCTTTCACTTTTTTAACGAATAAACTTTCCAGTGAAATTATAATAAAAAGGGGGCTTTCAACTTCCCAAGTCGCTGATTTCTTTTGTACCAAAGAGGAAACAAAAATTATTCTGCTGCTGCATTAATAACACTATGATAGTTCGAATTACATTAAGAATTACATTAAGTACCTACCTTAAGTACATTAAGTACCTACACCCACTTATATTACCTACTTTTGGGCTGCTGATTTCAAAAACACTTGTTTTGCTCCAGGACCTATATATAGGATTCGAATTGCGTAATAATGCTCTTCCCAATTATCTTAAAATGCAAGTTTTTTTCAGGGCTGGCAAATATCATGATATTTATATAAATATCCAAATATCTGATATAAATACGAGGTGTGTTCAGAAAATAACGGGAATTGTTAAGGCCTAATAGTGAGTCTGCTAGAAGTAAAACAAGAGTTTACAAGTGATATAAGAGTTTCCAAGATGGCCGTGAAGACGTTGCCCCGAACGCACAAGCACATTAACAACCGATAAAAACATGGAAACAGTGGAAGAAATGGTTATAAACCATCAGAAAAGTCGCTGATCATGTTGGTATATCAATTGGCTCATCCCATGAAATTTTTTCGAATGTTTTAGGTATGAAACGCGTGACAGCAAAATTTGTTCTAAAATTGTTAAATTTTGAACAAAATTTTTGGCCAAAAACAATACTGTAATGATGCCCCAGCCTCCATATTCGCCAGACATGCCTCTGTCTGACTTTTTCCTATTCCCAAAAATAAAGAGAACCTTAAAGGGCCGTCGTTTTGCAAGCATAGATGACATTAAAAGCGCATCGCTGAAAGAATTAAAGGCTATCCCAAAGATCTAGTTTTAGAAGTGTTTCGAGTATTGGAAGAAGAGCTGGCACATGTGCATAATATCCAATGGGGACTATTTTGAAGGCGACAACATTAATGTAGGCGAATAAATAAATATTTGTTTCAAAAAACTAAAATTCCCGATATTTTCTGAACATACCTCGTATATCAAAATTTGGATATATTTTTTTTATTTTAACTATTTTCTGCTTAGAGAATTAAAGAGATATACATAGAGACTTACATATAAGTTATATAGAAAGACATAATTTCACTGCCGAGCCGATAGCCGAGGCAGTAGATTGTGTGCGAGGCAATTATTAAGCTTTCTATACTATTTGTTTTAAGAATTTAGTAGAATAACTTCTGTCGCGATAATTTGTGCTTTTCCCCCCTAATGTACTATTTTTTAATAAATAGTTTAAACAAAATCTGGCAACACCGCAATTACATATTTGTCAACATCGCATTATTACTTGATAATTTGTTGGGACCCCCCTGTGTAATTGTTTATCTTTATGATATAAGTCTTATAATTTAAAAATCATTGCCTTGTTTTGCGAAAAGTGTATGAATAAATTTAATAAAACCATTTATAAGATGAACAAACGTCCATTAATTTTTTTTCACAAATCATATACCAAACAAAATACCAAGCAAAACTTTGACAGATGAGACGTGACAGGTGACAAAAGACAATTATAAAAAAATCTAAATAAGCAAATTGGTGGCATTTTTCTTCTGAATAAAAATGGAAAAACAATTGAACGTCGCGACGCGTCGGGTTTCCAAAATATTTTAAAAAAAATATTTTTTTAATGGGACACCCTGTATATTTTTATTTATTTTGAAAGACAATTTAATTTGAAACAACAAATTAATATTGCAAAACTGCCCTAAACCTGAACTTTCTGATGGTTGTTGAAATATCCTTTATTTTAACTGCGTGCTAAGTGCTTATTAATTGTTTATTTTTAAGTTTATAGTAGTATAGTAATATTTCGGAACATTTAACATTTAATTGTTTTTTGTATTTATAATTTCAATCAAAAGAAAAAATGACACTAATTTTCTAACTAACCAACTTTGTAGTTCAAGCCCAATAAAATAATTTTTGACCTATTTTAGTTTTTCCAAATGCGGAATAAACGCCAAAACATAAAGAACTATTAATTTAATATTTTTACCTGCATTTTATAATTATATGTGAGGTGCCACGCAGTGGTCTGAGAGGTAAATTTACGCGGCAAAAATTATTCTTTAAATATTTTCTCAAGACGTGTGTTTTTTATGTTTTTAGGGGGGCTAAATTTACTTCTTATATAAATTTTTTTCAAAAATATTTGGTATTGAGGGGGCTAAGTCTACAAATGATATAAAATGAATTTTTTTAATATTTGTGTATTTTTTGTTTTTTTTCTATTTTATATTTAATAATTTATTTATTAAATAAATAAATGTCTATAGTTCGTACCAAAGGGCGATCGCCAATGTTGGCGATTGCAACATGGCGCAAGCATAATTTTTTATCATGAATAACTGAAAAACCATTACCTTCAAAGTACCAAAAATATATTATTATATCAACATTTTACATTTCACCATATTTCTTTTTAACAACCTTTTAGCCAATATCGTGATGGTTGACAATAGGAAAACTTATTATTTATATTATGCTTTAAATACTTTTACTTGTTTTAAAAATGAGATTCCTATAGAACAATAATTATTGTACTACCCTATTAAAGCACTTTGCTGTTTTTTTTATTTTCTGAGCACCCTGGACATTTAATTAAAAATGTTTGTTAGGAATCTCATTTTTAAATACAAGCAGAAGTTTTTATGACATTTTTACGTAAATTTAGCCTTGGTAAAAATATTTTAATTAGACTTAAAAAGATTTATTAATATTCATATTTAGTATTACAAAAACAATCATTTTTAACACGATATGCAAATATGATTTACCTCGCCATTAGTGTAGATAATAACAAAATGTATTCTATCATTTTTAATTAGGTACTATTTACATGGTAACTACACATTAAGGGGTTCCGTTTCTTTATTTTCTTCCACTTTCTTCTTTACTTGGTTCCATTCTTGTACCTCTCCAGAACCAAAAATAATAAAAAACAAACCACCAGCGGCGCTTACTAATGAAATAATAATGAAAACAGTCTTCCAACTTTCAAAATCGCTGTGTTTTTTTGTCAGATAGCCCACCACTTTGTTGCCAACCCAACCGCTTAAAGAACCTAAAACTAAAGCTGAACCAAAAATTGTTCCAGAGTAGTTTGGAGCGATGTCCATTGCATTAGCTACGTAACCACATATTGAAATGCCTTTAGATAAATGTATTAAAATTAATAGTGTTACTGCGGCAATGTAATGCATTTTGTAAAAAGCCAACACCAACATCATGATTGAAGGGATAAAAAACGAAATTGTTATCATAATCCTTCTCACTGTAAAGGTGGCTAATTTTTTGCTTTTTAACATTTCATCTGCAACGTAAGAACCTAGTAGCGAGGAAAAATAGTAACCTACGAAAGGAAGGCAGGATAAAACTCCGTTACTCGATATATTGAAATGTAACACATCGTTTATATAAGTTGGTAGTTGCATGGTGTAGGTAAAGTGGTAAAAACCATTACCCATTTGTGCTAAAAATACAGCCCATACAGGTAGTGAAGTGTATAGTTTTTTCCATGGTAAATTGGCAGGATTTTCACCGGAACTTTTCTGATCTTCCTTTATCTTGGTTTCAATGTAATTCTTTTCTTCCGCTGATATTCTTGGATGACTCCCCGGCGAATCGTACACAGTAGAAAACCAAATTACACACCACAACAAGCATATGCTACCTGTGACGTAAAAAACGCTTTCCCAGCCCAAATAGTGTATCAAATATCCACATAAAGGTAACGTGACTGCCACTCCAAAACCTTGTGCTGCCAAGTTGGAGGCAAACTTCGATCTGTCCAAAGGTGGAATCCACTTAACGCCCATGGGTAAAATAGCAGGAAAATACGTACCAAGCGTAACGCCAAGCAAAAATCTTATTGCAATAGCAAAATACAAATGTACTTTACACACTACAGGAAAGAATAATGTTAGTACACTAGAAACTAACATTCCACTACCGATTAAAATACGGCCGCCATATTTGTCAGCTAACCTTCCTCCAAATGATACTGAAACAACGTAACCCCATAAATAAATGGCGAGAAGTTCGTTTTTTTCTAAATTAGTCCAATCAAATCTCGTTACATTGTCTGTAGCGTTCACAGTTGTGTTTGATGGTTTGGTCATGTCCACGATTGCTATTGATAGGTTTACACGCAACATGTAGTTTAAGGCAGTCCCAGACATTGTCATTGCATACAATATTGAGGTACATGATGGAAAACCTAAACAATATGTTCTTAGATATACATATGAGCTTATATAATATTTAATATAGAATGTTTTTTACCTGGTTTTGATGACATTGTTAGGTTTATTTTGCCTTATTAAAATTACTTTAATATTTAAAAATATTTAGTATTATTATTTTATATCACAAAAAATAATTATAAACATGGTATGCAATTATGATTTCCCACGACATAAGCGTAGATAAAAATATTCCTATTATTTTTAACTAGGTACTATTTAGAAATAACTACTAATAGGTTCAGTTTTTTTACCACTTATGCGTTCTTCTTAACTTGGTTTCATTCTTCACCTCTCCAGCTCTAAGCTTCCCAGTAAAATTATAATTATAACGGACTTCCAACTTAAGAAGTCACTGGATTCTTTTGTTTTATTGCCTAGCTAACCGCTTAAAGGACCTAGTACCAAAGAGGAAACAAAAATTGTTCTGCTATGGTACTATCATGCGGTGGGGTCCTTGAATATGTGGAATAAAATTAATAGCCTCTCCTAAAATGTAGTTCATTTTTCTGAAGAAACTACAAACATAATTCTTCTGACTGTGAATTTCATTTGCTACATAAGATCCTAGTAGCGAGGAAAAATAGTATGAAAGAAAGGCAGGATTTAAGGCAATATCTATATTGCCTCCTGTAGGAGGAATAATTTGACCCGTCCAAAGGTGAAATCCACTGAACAAATATGGGTAAAATAGCCGGGAAAACAGTTCCAATACCAATCAAAAACCTTATCGCCTTAAGGACAAAATACAACAAAAACCAACGGAATAAACATTAGCCACTGACCAAGGCAACTCCATAAATAAACTGTTCGTTTTTTCCAAAGGAGACCAATCAAATATCGTTATGTCGTCTGTAGCGTTAAGGGTTGCGTTTGGTGGTTTGATCAAGTTCGATTGCTATTGATAGGTTTACACGCAATTTGTAGTTAAAGGCAGTACTAGGTGTGTATATAGTCTGGTTCAAATGGCTTCATAGCAATATGGTTTTAACGAACTTTTTAAATTTGAATTTTTGTTATGGTGGATTCAGATGAGATGTGGAGGGATTTTAGGGAAATCAAGTGTTGCCTAACGTGCCTGGGCTTTTAATCATAATTTTTGGTTGTCGAGTTTCGGTGATATTTTATTATAATTCAGTTAAAACTTAAGTGAAAATGGGCTGTTTTGGTCTGTACAAAACACATTCGATTTAGCAACTGTTAGGGTAACTAGAATTTAAAAATGCCATGGAGGACACTCCCTGGAAAAGTTATAGTCGTTTACAAAATATAAATTTATTAAAAAAATATACAGGGTTTAAAAAAGGGTAAAATATTTCTAGGACGTATAGTATATTGGCATTTTTCGATCTAACACCCTTTATTAGTGATTAGTTAAATAAAGAAGCCAATCACAGGCGTGCTTTTGCAGAATTAGTAGAGGTGCGACAAACTAAAAAGAATGTCAGAAAACCTAACCTATAGGTATATATAAAACCAAGACACTGACAATGACAACTATACAATTCAATTTTTATTTAATTTTTAATTTCTGTATTTAAATATGCAATGTTTTTATTAATTAACAACAAAGCCTCAAAAATGTGGGGGGGCTCATAATATGATCAAATTAGGAGCTGAACATAAATATTATTTTCATAATCTAACTTGAGTAAAAATTAAAAATATTTTCTAGTATTTTTAAGTAAGCATTTTTCATTTTATAATGATAGCCAAAATGTGTAATTACTATAAAAATTGTATATTTATAAATATTAATATAATAATATGTAAATTTTATTTAAATTTGTATGCAATACTAGTTTAAGACGTCTCACTCTTCTTGTAAATACTAGTTGTATTTGGTTCTTTTTCCACCGAATTCCATTTTTGTACTTCACCTTTGGCAAATATTATAAAAAATAATCCTCCAAACAAACTAACACCCGACATCGTCCAAAACACGTTCCTCCAACTATCAAACGTCGAATTTTTCTCAGTGAAGACTGCGACTACTTTTGTCGACGCCCACCCAGCTATCGAGCTTACCGTAGTAGCAATACCCATGATGGTGCCGCAAAAATTGGGCGAAATATCCAAGTTATTTGGCAAATGACCAGCGGTTACAGCACCAACCAAAGAAATTGAAGTCACCAACGAGAATAAGGCTACAATATGGTTTTCTCCGTAAACAGCCATGAATGCGCATACAATGGCTGGACCTAGTGTCGCTATACCAGCAAAAATTTTTCTTGTTGTTAGTAGAGACAATTTTTTGGATTTCCAAAGGCAACCAGCTGCAATGGCTACTAGATATTGACCTACAAGTAAATTACACTTGTTACTATATGAATTTATACTTTATTTCTATATTACCTAAGTTTGGAAGGCTGGACCAAAGCCCATTTTTGGTTGTATCAAAATGAAGAACATCCATCATATAAGTGGGAAGTTGGGTTATATTCAAAAAATGTACAAAACCCGCAGCACCGTGTGAGAATATTATAGCCCATGCTGGTGCCGAAAGTAATATTTTACACCAAGGCAAATTTAGCGGCCTATCAGATATTTCCACGTCTCCTATTTTTGACTCTATATACAATAGCTCCTGGTCCGATATTCTAGGATGTTTTTGCGGAGTATCGTAGACCAAGTAGAACCAAAAACAGCTCCACAAAACACCTACGAAGCCTGTAACATAGAAAACACTGGGCCATCCTGATAAAGAAATAAGAAGTCCGCATATAGGTAAGGAGATCGCTACTCCAAGTCCTTGGGACATCATGTTTGATAGAAACTTTGGTCTATCATCTGGTGGGATCCATTTTATAGCCAGAGGGGCTATACAGGGATAAGTAACACCTTAAACACGTGATATATTAGTATATCCGTATATTTTTAATCGTGATATATTTACCTACCTAGAAACATGCCAAGTAGGACCCTTGAAGCCATTGCAGCGTAGAAGTGCCAATAACAGGCTACTGGCATCAAAACCGTTATAACACTGGCCAACAGCATTCCTCCACCAAAAATAAGTCTAGGACCAAGAATTTCCGACAATCTTCCCCCTATAATGTCTGTCAGAGTATAACCCCAAAAAAAAACGCCCCCAATAGATTATTTTTCTGCATAACATCCCATTTGAATCTATGTACATCCACTGTAGTAGAGTTTTCGGAAGACATACTCAACATATCTACTATAGCTATGGATAGATTTACTCGTAACATATAGTTCGCCATGAATCCTAGGATTGTCATTAGGTTTAACACCCTCGTGCATGTCAAAAACTCTGGAAATAATGGAGTATGTTTGTTTTAGGGTTCCAGGTTCCAGATTCTAAAGTGCTTATCGAAAACTATGGATTTTGTAGGTGATATTAATCTGACGTTAATTGCCACACAAACTGAGGGTTTTTCAGGGGCTGATCTGCAGTCTGTTTTGTATACTGCTCAACTTTCTTCAGTGGAAAATATAATTTTAGAAAACGTAAGTTTTTCTCTGTATATATAATAGTATTTGCATGAGGAGGGTTAATTAGTAATAGTCATAGCTTAGTATATCTTGGTTTGGTATCTCAAAATCTTAATGATTAAGATACCTTTAGTGGGTCTATAATGAACGTTTCGCTGGTGCTCGAAATTTAGATTGTTGATAAGTAAATTGATAATTGAAACTTTGGTTCACCTAATGTCTTGGGTTATAATAACAATTGTTCCAATGTTACCGTGTTGAGAATATTGTTAAGTATTTAGAAATATAAACAACTAATTAAATCTTTGAGTAAACCTTAACATATTATATATTAATTATACAGGGTCCAGCATGCTGGACCCTGTATAATTAATATATAATATGTTAAGGTTCACTGCAGTGAAACCTGACGGTTTTTACTATATACAGTATGAAACAAATATACAAGGTGATTCACCGAACTTATTCATATTAAGTTTATGGAGAAAGGAAAAGGTTATCGATTTAAAATTTGTATAGCAATTATAAGCCAATGTAAATTATTTTTTTAAATTATTTTCAATGCGTTATCAATTTCGGTTAAACCGGAAGGGATATCAACTTTGTTTTTTTAAATGAAACCATATAATTATTATTGCATTTTTAAACTCAACGTAAAATACTAAAATTCAATTATTTTTTTATTTTTAACAGTTTTTGAGATATTTAATTTTTTTTTTTAAATTTGTCAGATGTATGGTCTTACTAATATGTCTGTATTACCACTAATTGTAATGTTAAAAAGTTAATTTATGGTGTACTTGTTAACTAAGGAGCACTCTAACAAAAGTCATTATTGATATTTACTTTTTTGTCACTTTAAATACCAATAACTTTCTTATTTCAAACAAACCTACCATTCAATTTTCACATTATTCGACACAAAATAATATTTTCTATTGAAATGCTGCAGCATTTTCTCTACCTAAAATGAATATTTACCGAGGTATTACAAAAAATGTGAAAAAAACCGCTTATTTTGTATTTGTTACCTACGGTATGAAAAATATTAAAAAATAAAATTGAATGGCCGGCATCTTTACCCGACTTATCCCCTTGTGATTTTTATCTGTGGGGTTATCTCAATGAAAAAGTTTTTTTTCGATAATCCAAGAATTTGGATTAACTTAAGGCGAGAAATTCGTGAAAGAGTCATGACGAGGGACTGGTGCCCTGTAGGGATATGTGTGGTCAACATTTAAGAGACATAATTTTTACATGTTTTTTTTTACTTTTCAATTACCATAATTTTTAAAATTAATAAATTTAATAATTTTTGTTACTTATAAATTAAAAAAAAAATTATACTGTGAATAAATTTTCAGTTTTCCTCTTTACATGAAAAAAAAATTAAAATCTCATTAAGTTAAGCCTTTTACAGAACCCTCAGGTTTCACTGCTGGAACCTGTATAGTTTTATTGTTGAATTTAAAACAGGAGCACCAATATCACCCACATAACCCAATGTGTCCAAATAAAAATATATTTTGACAATTACTGAATATTTTCAATTAATAAAAGCAAAAACTTCAGGTATTTATTTGACATTATAATTTACTTACCTTTTGGTTTGTTTTCCATACTTTTTAATTCACTGATTTTACCATACTAATAAATACCAACAAAAAATTTAATAACCAAGCAAATCTCATTGTTCGAGCATTTGGTTGCATATATTATTAACCCATTGTAAAATTATTAATTATAACTTCTTTATTGTACCAGTCTTTAACTTAATCTTTGAGATTTATATTCATTTTTATTAATATTAATAATACGCCTATAATTATATGTTTCAAGGTTGGTTTTAACATAATTTATGTGGTTTTTTAAATTGGGATACTTATATGTAATTTAACTCCATTTTTATTCATTAGGAAAAATGGGTGACCTTAGCTTAGAGTATATTTTGTCATAATATAAATATATATTATCATAATTTCACCAGTCGATAGATTATCGAAAAATAAAGTTAAACTTTATTTTTTTAAAATGTGGAATTTAATTTTAAAAAGTATAATAGGTATGATACCACAAAAGAAAAATATTTCAAATAATGGATTTCCTTTAGATATAAATACTTACCAAATTAAAATAATTTAATAGAGAAAACACCCATTAAAAAGGAAGCAAAATTCGGCCATCGTTAATTTGATAAACAAACATATTTATAAAAAAAACTATCGAATGGTGAAATTCTGGATATAATCTGGATCACCCTACCCCTTTCTAAGATACAGTGTGTTAAAGTTAAAATGCTTTTTAAGATTTTCTTTAATATATTCTTTTTTTTGTTGTTGTAAAATTTGTGGTTAACAAGTCGTAAGTAAAACAAAACGTTAATATTACGAAATACAGAATTTTCCTATTGACTGAAAGATGAAGGGTGTAAAAAGGGAGCTAATTAGGTTGATTCATTAGAAACAAGTTTAATATGCTATAAAGGAACACAGAAGCAGTAGAAAATTAATGAAGGCAGTTAATGCATAAAATTATTAAATTAAATTTTAAAATAAAAGCCGCCACTAGTCAGAACGAGGTTTATTGATACTATAATTTGATTTTGGCTTTGCTATTAGGTATTTAAATTTAATTTATATAAGGTATTGTGTGACGTTTTACTTTTGTCATATTTCTGGGGGCGATAATTTTATTTTGGCTTCGTTAAAGAGTTGTATAATTAGCATACTCGTTAGGAGAATTCGTTTAAGTGAGCAGATTAAAATGCTGAGTGCGAGATCGCATCTAGAAACGGAATGAATAAAGTATGATAAGACGGATGTGATTTGGGTTGCATATGTTTGTTATGAAGTTTTATTTCAGAGTCCAAAATCATCTAACTCGCCAAAAATCACTCAAAAACATTTGGTGGAGGCCCTAAAAAAGACCAGACCATCTTTGACCAAGCAGGAGAGGGCTAAGTATGAAAGAATGTATGTATTAAACAAAAAATTATTAAGACATTTTTCAGTAATTTTTATTTTCAGATATGCCTACTTTCAAGGAGGGTACAAGGAAGATTTTAAGGCAGGAAGCAAAGCCACTCTAGCATGATTATTTTTGTAGATTTTAAAATTGATTTTCTTGTTTTATTATTAATTGTTATAAATAATTTAATTGTTGTTGTTTGTTATTAATAAAAAAATTAAAAAATATATAGGTACTTCCTTCTTAAGACAGTTAAGTTGAAATTAGGGTGGTCCACAATTGTATGGATAAAAGCAACTTTTATTCTTTTGATCACCCTAGTTGACATACTTAACAATCGTTCTATTAGCCGTTGTTTATTACATTCACAAACACAATTTTCTTTAGTTCAAAATTACAATCCAACTGAAATCGTGTGATTATTAAATGTATAAATATTCATGCCTCTAGTTAGGCTTCATTCAGGAAACTTGGAATTTTAAAAACTTAACTCATAAAAAATTTTTTCAGCTAATTCAGTAAAGACGCGCAAATTTTAGACTCGAAATTAGCTTTTATTGAAGTCAAAACCATTTTTCACGGGACATTCAATTGCCGTTTGTATTTTTCAATGTTCATTTGTCAACTAATTGAGAAACCAGTGGTACCACACAAGTTTCCAACCAAAAAATTACTCAAAACACAAGATTGATTTTTGTTAAAAACAATGTTAAAACCGATATTTTCTAAAACCATGTTTTTTCAAAAAGTTGATAAATAAACATAAAGATTTTAAAAAATCTTGAAAAATTTTGAGATTCGCTGGTTTCTCGTTTATAAAAATGTTGTTTGTTATAAGACATAAAACTTTTAAGAAATTTACTTTTTAATTTCTATGCAGCGTCGTTTCTGCAGGGTCTAATTGAGTTTATAAGGAAAAACTTTACTGGTTCTTATTTGTATTCGTTTGTCCTTTTTAAAATGTACAAACCATTAGTCTCATTGTGCTCGAATACTTCGCCATGCCAAAAGAAAAATTCAATCTTGATTACCATTACAAATGACTGTAATGATTTAAAAATTGAAGGAATTAATGCATAAACGTTTTTAGGTTTGGTAAAATTACCAATTTTATACAATATGTGTGTAAAAATAAGCATCTGTTTCTTCTTCATAATCGGACAGAAAAAAATTACTAGGGAACAAATCGAGTGAATACAGTGGCTAAGGCAACAATTTTAACCGAAATTCAGTCATAAACTTCAATTAAAATAAAAAACAAAAATATCGAAATTATATGACCTAAAATATATAAAACCTGATAAAAAATCAAAATATATGTAGTTTAATACCTCAAATGCTCAAAACCCAAACAAATGACAGTCGAAAAACAATTGCGGTGGAGCTTTTTATTTTTAAAATAAAGTATGGGTTGTGGGGGCTCGTTTTTTATTATTTTTCATGAGGATTTAGAATATCAAAAACTGTTTTTGATATCACAAAATAAATTTTGTCGGAATAATTTTATATGACATAACACATACATAACCTAATAGAAAATATAAATCCCTGTCGTTTGATACCCCACATGCAATGCTTTGCTCAAAATGCAAAAAATGACAGTCGATAGCTTTTGTTTCTTTTTATTTTTAAAGTGAAGTATGGGTTGTGGGGGCTCATTTTAAAGAATTTTTCATGAGGATTTAGAATGTTCAAAAATATTTTTGATGACGCGAAATAAATTTTGTCGGAATAATTTTGTTTGACCTAAAATATACGTAACTTAAAAGAAAATAAAATTTCCTGTCGTTTGATACCCCAAATCCAATACTTTACTCGAAACGCAAACGAATGACAGTAAAAAAAAATTGCAGCGATAGCTATTGTTTCTTTTTATTGTTAAAGTGAAGTGAGGGTGTGGAGGCTACTTTTAAAGGATTTTTTAAGAGGACTTGGGATATCAAAAAATATTTAGACCTACCACGTAAAATAAAAACGTTATTTTGTTTAAAACTAAATCTTGATGAAAATTGTTTTTCCAGGATACATTGTGGCGGATCAGGAAAAATTTCCAACAGCGCTTCTTCTTTTATAAGTCTATAGACAAACTCGACATGTGTGAAAATAATCCCATTCTATATGTGACAATTCACTGATTCTGCATAAAAGATGTATTCACTCAAAATGTATTGAAAAGTTTCCATTATATGAATCAAACATACGGAATCAAAAAAGGATAACAAACCCCACGTATGACGGAAAAGTATTGACGGAAAGAATTTTAAATTAAAAAAAGAGTTATTTGTTACTTTTAACAATAAACAAAAACCTTGTTTAATAAAATTTTGTAATTTGTTTGATAAATGGTCTTTGGTTATTTTTTCAATAAAAAGTTGGTATCAACTCCCCACAAAGTACTTCTTTACTTTCAATTCAATTCAATTCCGATAAGTGAATTATTGCTTTTCAGATGCTTTCTTTTCATTACAATGCCATGTTTTCCGAACAAATACTCTGATCAACTCATAATCACTTAATCAATAAACTAGGTAACAAAAGTAACAAACCATCTTTTATATTTGGAGTAAATTATAAATATTAAAAGAACATTCTGTGTGACCGCTATTACCATATGTAATATTTTAACATTTTTTCGAAAGGTAGTTTTCGAATTATTAAGCATTTACAAATAATTTAGATGTATAAAAGCCACTTAAAAATTCAGAAAAAAAGTTTAATTTATTATAAATTTTGACCTCCGATATCATTTAAATAGATGGTTTTACAAAAAAACATTTTTTGTAGAGCATAACATTTCCTACCAAAATATGTCTTATGTATTTTTATGTCATTAAAATGTCACTTGAAGGGGTAAGAAGAAAAAGGATACAAATGCAAAATATATGTGGAGTTATTAACTGGATACTTCAATAGTGTTTTTTGCATTAATTAACATGCCGAACTTTTTACAGTATGAGAAATTTAAAAAAAATATATGCATTAATTAACATGCCGAACTTTTTACAGTATGAGAAATTTAAAAAAAAATATGTATCTACTTATTTTTTCATCCTAAAATTCACAATTTTTTTAGACTAACCTAATAATTTAAATGACATCCAAGTAAAAAACAACTTGAGAAATAACGGACATTAAGTTTACACACATTTTTTTAAATTTTTTGTTTTTCGAAGAAAAGTCATTCGTGATAAAAAGTTTTAATCCTCAAAAAAATTACATTGACATAAACAAAAATTGGGATTTTATGCACAGGATGTTTAAAAAATAGAAAAACATATAATCGATTTAAGAGAGAAATATTTGTAATATTTTTGAACATTTTTATAAGATTTTCCATTATCAAGTTTATTTATACACTGCGCGTCAAAATTAACGCATAACAAGTAAAAAAAATCCAACTCTAAAACGCCTTTACCAATTTTTATAAAATTTTGGATAAAAATACTTTAACTTATATCTCAGTTTACGTATTCAAGGGTTTTTTGAGAAAATATCTTTAAAGCCCTTTTTTTTTAATAATAAAAAACGCTCGAGAAAAAATTTTATAGGGAATTTTTTTTGAAGTAAATAAATAATATACTGTGAAAGACCGAATTTTTGTTTGTAAACCCTAAAAATGTTGTAAAAATCAAACGAACAGTAACGAAAATACAGCGCTTCAAAGTCGTCAAAAATGACCATTTTTCAGCTAAATAATCAAAAAGGGGTAATGTTTACGGATTTTGAAGCGCTATATCTTTGTTACTGTTCGTTTAATTTGTACAAAATTTTTAGGGTATACTAACAAAAATACGGTCTGTAACACCATATTTTCTAAAAGTTATTTTTGAAACGTTTTTTTTATTATTTAATTAAAGGTCTTTAAAAATATTTTTTTGAAAAACCCTCGAACACGTAACTATATAAGTAGAAGTATTTTTATACAAAATTTCATAAAGATTGGTAAAGGCGTTTTAGAATTTTGACAGTGTATTTATATTTTTGATTTTTCTTAAATAGATTTTGCTCCCAAATGTTACTACGTGAATGTTATTTTGTTGACAATTAAAACATTTGATCAAAAATGACTTCTTTGAAAAATCATAAATATTAAAAATAGAAATAATCTTTATACTGAAAAAAAAACAAAGGAAAATCAACTTTATAATTTTAATTTTATAATTTTTTAGATAAAATCCTAATTTTATTATGTAAATTTTATTTTTTCGACGATTAAATGACTTGCGTAAAAAACAAAAAATAAATATTTTTTTCCCTATTAACCCATTAGTGACATACTTTTTAATATAAAAAAATGTTTTTGTTGGGTACCCTTTCGAATAAATGTCCCATGTTTTAAAAACATTTCAATTTAACCCTTCGATATTGGACGGGATAATACGTGTATGTGGTGATATTGCAAATGAGGAGACAGGTTGGTTCATATTTTCTGGCAATTTGCACTAATTTTGATGGCGTTGTCGCACGCTTTTTCTATTTTTCAGACATGATTGTAATTCTTCACGGTCCAAAGCTTCAGATCTGCTCCCGACACCAAATCGCATTATTGTAATTTCCGTTCTGACATTTATTTCATCATGGTTGCGGGCATGCTTTTTATTCGTTTTGTTTTCTTTATATTTTATTTTGTATTATGTTGTTATATATATTTTCTGAAAACCTTAATGTTGATTTATTATTGAATATTATTATTTTTTAACGATTTTCTACAATTTTAATAAAATTAAGGAATTTCCGCGGGGTGCATCCTTGACATCAAAGTTTATATAACGAAAATAAGCAAAAATTTATTTTTATACTCCCACCTTTAAAACGCCAATTCTCGTACATATCTCAATGACACTATATAAAGTGCCCTTCTTGTAAAAGAACACTAAATGTTAAAATTATTTTATTATCTCAATAAAAAAGTATTAAATAGTTTGTTGGAAATTGGAAACTTAAATGAATTTCGATAAGAAATTTGGCTTTATTAATAAATTAATTAAACAAAAAAAATTAACACATACCTACATAAATTAACATAAAAATAACATAGACACAATTAAATAACACACCATTCTGAAATCATTAAATTATAAAGAAATTTGGTACAATATAATTATCAGTACTACTTTAACACTAACTGATGAATGTATTTCGTAACTTTAACCCACTTCACTGTTTTCCCTAATTTCAGTTTGTTGGAATCTTTTTTCGGATACTTCGCACA